AAGACTGGAGAGAAACGTTTATGCATCGATTATCGCGCTCTTAATCGAAGAACGAAGAAGGATCATTATCCACTCCCCCGTATTGAAGATCAACTAGACCAGCTTGCAGGCAGTAAGATGTTTATATCTCTGGATCTAGCATCAGGATACTACCAAATTCCCATCGCTGAAGCCTCTCAGGAGAAAACAGCCTTCGTGACCCCCGATGGTCAATACCAGTTTACAAGAATGCCTTTTGGCCTTGTAAACGCCCCGTCTGTCTTCCAGAGAACAATGAATAAAATACTAGCAGATGCAAAAATTAAATACGCACTAATTTATATGGACGACTTTCTTATTCCCGCAACTTCTTTTGAACAAGGTTTAGATAGGTTGGAAGAAGTTCTCGCATTAATAAAGCGGGGTGGCCTAACCTCAAATTAAGTAAATGCAGGTTCTTTTTTGACAGGATCGATTTTCTTGGTTTCGAAGTTGGCGCGGATGGCATTAAACCTGGCAGTAAGAAGACTGAAGCTGTGGATAAATTCCCAGCTCCTAGGAGCGTGCATGAACTACGGCAGTTCGTGGGTCTGGCTAGTTTTTTTTAGAAGATTTGTAAAGGGATTCGCGTTAATTGCGAGACCGCTCACCGATCTCCTCAAGAAGAATTCCGAATGGAAATGGGATGCCCCACAGGAGGAAGCATTTGGTAAATTAAAAGCCAATTTGGTACAAAGACCCGTTCTCACTCTGTATGACCCTAAACGTGAAACTCAAGTACATACTGACGCATGTAAGAACGGCGTTGGAGGCGTGTTGGTTCAAAAAAATGATGAAGGTCTATTCAAACCGGTGGCATACTACAGTCGTAAAACTACAACTGAAGAACAACGACTGCACTCGTTTGAATTGGAAACTCTGGCGGTAGTGGCATCTTTAGCCAGATTTCGAGTATATCTAGTTGGTATTCCTTTCAAAGTCTTGACGGATTGTAACGCCCTACGGACTACCATGACTAAAAGGGATCTTATTCCTCGAATTGCACGTTGGTGGATTCAGCTACAAGAGTTCGACTGTGAAATAGAATATCGTGCCGGATCCGCCATGCAACACGCGGATGCATTAAGCCGCAACCCAGTTGGAGAACCTGAAAATGATATACACATACTAGATGTGTTAAATACCAACATTGATGATTGGATCGCGACAGTCCAATCTAATGACGAAGAAATCTGTCGTATCAAGGACGTACTGGGAAATTCCGAATCAGCAGAAGTGGCCGATATATTAAAGAATTATAAGGTCAAAAATGATAAAGTGTTTCGGATTACAGGTAGTAGTGGCTCAGATTTGCGATGGGCGGTACCAAAAGGAGTTCGTTGGCAGATTTTAAAGATGAATCATGATGATTTAGGTCATTTCGGCTTTGACAAAACTCTTGCACGTATACAAGAGACATTCTGGTTTCCCAAAATGAGGCGCTTTGTTAAAAAGTATGTTCGAGCATGTTTGCAATGTGCTCACCATAAAGGGACTACGGGTAGACAGGAAGGCGAGTTACATCCTATACCAAAGATTGAGATTCCCTTTCACACCATCCATGTAGATCATCTTGGGCCTTTTGTGCGGAGCAGCAGAGGTAACTCCTATCTTCTTGTTATAGTAGATGGTTTTACGAAATACGTGAATATTAAACCAGTAAGGAACACTAAAACTAGTACTACTACAAAGGTTATACAGGAACATATGAGTTACTTCGGCACCCCGACGAGGCTTATCAGTGACCGAGGAACCTCATTTACGAGCTCAGCGTTTCAAACCTTTTGTAAGTCCAACGGGGTAAAGCACATCTTAAACGCTGTATCTACACCAAGAGCTAATGGACAAGTGGAGAGATTCAATCGCTCTATTTTAGAAGCCCTGTCCACAAAGTGCTCAGATAAAAATGATAAACACTGGGATGAATATATATTCAGTATTCAGCTGGGCTTAAATACGACAGTTCACAAAACAACTGGAAAAAGCCCATCCGAGTTGCTCTTCGGGTTTAAAATTAATAGTGGTTCAGAAAATATACTAAGTGATGTAATTATTGAAACCATCAATAAGAAATCGGCAGAGGACCTTGAAGACATACGATCTGACGCAAGTAAGAACATTGAGAACCAGCAGAGGAAGGAGAAGGAAAAGTTTGATTCTAAAAGGAAAGCTAGCACCGTGTATTCTGTAGGTGACTTGGTGAGCATCAGAAGAGATGTTCCTAGTGATGGCCAGTCCATGAAGTTGGCTATGAAATTCCAAGGGCCATATCGTATAAGGAAAATATTACCCAATGAAAGGTTTGTAGTCGAGGACACCCCTCTAACCAAGAGTAAAGGACACCGCCACTACAACAATGTTGTGGCTGTAGACAGAATAAAACCTTGGTTACATTTTGATAATAATTTTGGGTCCAGTTCCGAATCCGAACCTGAAGTTGTAAACTAAAATGTAATAATTATCATGTAGAAAGTTAAATTATTATATACAAGTATTTCATAATATCATCATTTAATTTTAAGTTGGCGAATATTATATACAATTATATTTTTACAATATATTATTTCTTAGTTTCCAGATATATACAACATTTATACATGCCTATACATCTGTAGTTAGAATATTATACTTTCTCTGTAAGAATAACGTTTTGATGTAATTGTTTTAATGTATTGTAACTAGAATGATAAATTACTACAACACTAAAGTGTTACAAACATATTAATAACATAATATAGATTATATTATCAACTTAGTAAACTAAGCTAGTTAATTAAGTTGTGTTCACAATTTGTTCACAACAATTCACAAAGTTGTGTAATCATTATATAGTCAGTATAGTATATTTAATATCAAATCAGGTTATGAATGAATTTTAGTTATTTTCTTTGTCGTTAATATGCTGAAGTATATCACGTTAACTTCAGAGTCCTAAACTGAAATAAATTTGAATATGTTTGTGAAAAATAAGGAAACAAATAATTAGTACTGTTATAATAGTTACATAATTAGGTTAATAATATTAAATTAATTTCAACATATTGAATTGTGTTCTTATAATTGTGAAGTCAATATTAATTGTTTTAGTTAGATTTGATGTATGTACAGTTACATCTGTGGGCCCGACGAAGGGACTCGTCTCAGCAGGATGGCCGAGTTGTAAGCGTACATTGGTAAAGTAGCAATTAGTTTCTCTTGTTAGTAACATAGATGGCGCTACCTTAGCGCCCCACGTACCGTACTTTGTAGATAATAGTTATTTTTGGAACTACAATTTGTAAGCGTACATTGGTAAAGTAGCAATAGTTTCTCTTGTTAGTAACATAGATGGCGCTACCTTAGCGCCCCACGTACCGTACTTTGTAGATAATAGTTATTTTTAAAACTACAATTGGATTATTGGGGCATAAAACGAGTAGCGGTTGTTGTGTGAAGACGTTGTCGGAAACATCACAGAAAGGATCATCACTAACCAAGGAAGCAGGTCAGTTTTACTTAATTTATTATGTTAAATAGGCTTAATTGCTTAGTTTACGTAACATTGTAGTGGTATCCATTATGTACTGAGATTGTATACGTGTATGGAGAATAAACTTTATACGGAAAGTATGATTTTGGGTTTCAATTATATCAACTCCTTTCAATCTCTAAAATACATTCGAATCATTCATTCAATTCAGGTCAACCTTATAACTATGTAGTACTGAGTATTTATTTACTTGACAAAATCAAAAACATGTTTCATTCAGGTATTGATATACATTCGGTGGGCTAATTATGTAACACGATATGAAATTGTTTCTGTTGAAGTTGTGATGCAATATGAAATCATTTCAATTTAAAAAATGCGATCAAGTAAGGTCGAATGACCGCAACATAAATCATTTCTATCGATAAAACACTACTATGAAGTTGCAGCGGAATATTGTTAATCTGACCAATTTAAAAAGTCAGTACATTAGATAGCCTATACCTTTAGAGGGATACATTTTAATTTATTGGGTTGTTGTGCGTTCAAAAATTACAAAATATACTGCAGCGTTCACTTGTTCTTTTATTTTAATTTTATTAATAGACATTTAATAAAATAAAATAAAGAAAGTCTATTCTATTCTAATGAAAAAATAAGGTTAATAATTTTGAATATAAAAGCATATTTTATACAAACTATTTATAATCATTAATAATATTAATCTAACCTACAAATTAAATTTTCTTTTCTGCTATAGATACCTAGGTAAGTACGTAGGTATCCATATAAATTTAAAATGATATGGGCACATCTTTTTAAATTTGTACATAATTGTAAAAACTTTAAACAAATAAATTTATTTACTTTAAACAAATCACAGAGCATCATAAACGTTGTATTCCGTTCACAGAGTACCGTATTCATTGAAATAGTTTTTTAATTATATTAATATCATAATCAACCCTAATTTTATATTAAACATTTACTCTAGTTAATACAACATTCTATGTGATTTGGGACGAAAATAAAATATCGAATTGGCAACACTGATGTCGTGTTGTGAGTCGTGACAATTTTCCCATTTTAATAAATTTAAAACCTTTTCACGACTTTCTACGTAATATTTAATATAATAAAAAGATATGTAATACTGAAAATTACCAAAACAAGATAAATAATGCTGCTAATGCTGATATTTTAAAGATTGTAACCAAAAGAAACACCTTCTAAATTGTTTCTCATAATGTATAAACCGTTTCAATTCCACGCTGTCATTTCGGCAAAATAGCGATTACGTGACGTTGCAACGAGGTTACTAAATCGACATTCGATAGAAATAATTTTTATCGATATGTAAAGTTGCGTTTACGTTGCAATGCTAGTTGACAGCGTCAAATGGCGTCAATATGATCGCATTATTGACAGATGACGTCATTTTCACTACGTTACATACGAAAATCGTTGCGAAGTTACATAATTAGCCCACTGTGACCTCAAGCAATATATTTTTTCCTTCTAATTAATATGTTGTATTTTGTCTGTAAATATAATAAATTCTGAAATTTACTAATTTTATGTTTGTGATACATTACAAAGTGACATTTTATACCTAAGTTTGATATATTAATAAGTCGGACAAAGTGTTTGTGGTAAGTTCTTCTATTTTGACATATTACAATTAAAATTCTCACTTCGGATTCATATTACCAAATAATATGTAGGGGAAACAGTATAGTTATCGGCCAGTTAAGCGACCACTCGATAAAAAAATACAAATAAAAAAAAATGCATGGCTCTAAAATAAATACAACTCGCGATATATGGTTCTTTATTAATGTATTTACTATACCAGGTGCCTTACATAAACTTTTATTAAATATTATAAGAGTAATGTTAACTTAAAAATATAAAAGTTGAGATCACAGTAATTGGCCATAAAATTACAGTTACTGGCCATCAAATCATATAGCTATTGGCCACACTGAAAAATAAAATATAAATTGAAAATTTAACAAAAAAGTAGTATCATAATTATATTATTAATAACTAAACATCTCTTCATCGTGGTTTTCATCTTCAGAACATTCAGAATTATCACCAGTGTCGTCATTTAACGATAAACAGTTGTGGCATATAAAGTCAGAAAGTTCATCGTCATCTAGCATATGTTCTAGGTGTTATTGAGGAATGCAATGACAATGGTAACACTTTTTACATAAACTACATACTACTGACTTATTTTTATTAGACAGACGCTGGCACATATCACAAGTAACAACCACTATATTAGATGGAATCCTTATTTTACCGTGGTTGTTAATTTCAGTATCAATATTTTCCTCTTTAGCATTTTCCGTTACAGTCTTCATGTCAATATTTTCCTTTTTCTTATCAATATGTTTTACTTCTTTCCTACACCTTTACCTTTTTTGGTCTTCAGAACATTTTCTTTTTTCTCTTTCCTTTTTCTTGCTTTTCCATATCTTTCTTTTCAATGGTTAAGCTAAAATTCTCAGAAGTCATCACAAATGGAGTCTTTTCTGCCTTTCGAATAAACATTCTTTTATTTTCTAGAGCCTCCTGTAAGTACTTAGTAATTGACTTATTAAGATGAGTAGTTTCTGTCTTTGTGGTTACAGAGGTAGAAGTGGAAGGTTGGCACAAAACTTTAGGCATTTTGGTAGGTGTGAGAGTAATTTTAACTCTTGTCACATTATTTTCACTCATAAGATTTACATTTGTTGTGTTATTAGTGGATTGTATTTCAATATTAGTGGATTCTTTCTGTGGAAGATCACTTTGAAAAAAGCTCCAAAGTTTGAATAATATGGAAGCGGAATTATTCTGCATAAAGCCTTCAGATTTCAGTATTTTCATCTCGTCTATCATTTCCACCCCTACAATATCTTCGAACTCTCTTAGTGACATGACCTTGTTTTCGTTATTTTCTGCAGTTTGTCTATCTGTCTTTTCAACACTTGTAGGTGCACCTAAACATTTGGAGTAATCTATTGCATTCTCATCAAAGGGACAAAAGCCACATGCCCGAAAACCATTTATAATTGTGTCAGATTTTAAGTCGTTAACAATGGTTTTTAAAATAATAGCTATGTTGAGCTACCACCTCTCCAACATTTTCTGATTGAAATTTACGTACTGCATTTCGATACATTTTTTTATTGGTCCAAATACAGAAACATCTGCTGGCTGAGTTAATTATAAGCTTTGTTATTTATCAAAAATAAATAAAAAAAAGATATAGTAATTGGCATACTTTTTCTATAGACTAGTTTTACGAACGATACAGTTATTGGCCTAGGCTATTAACTGTGAATAATGGTTTAAAATTTGTAGAAATTGTGTAGGATACTACACAGTGTAACAGAAGACGTTATCTTTAATAAAAACGCTACCTTAACTTTTTTCAATAAATACAGCTATTAGCATAGGAGGCCAATTACTACGTACTATTCAATTAATCGAGACACTAATTGGCTAACAAAATTTTGCTGTTATTGAAGAAAATAAGTTACAATACAACTTTAATCTGTTTATAACACATAAAAAGGCTATGTTTTATCAAGTTTACATAACGGACTGACTACATACACATTTCAAAATATCGCACAAAAAAATAAATGCAGTCTTAATATTTTTTTAACATCAACTCACCTGATTTTGTTCCTCCAGCAAAAAATCACACATCGGAAAAGAACCAAATAATCTAGCGGAATTTTGTTGAAACTTTTAGACAGAGAATAAAATTGTCACCATTAATCAGATTTCAAATCTACTATTTGTATGGGATGTTGCTAGTTTTTTGGCAGTAAAGTTGAAATGGCTAATAACTGTAAAGGGGCCAATAACTGTACTGTTTCCCCTATTAGACCAAATTAAAAATGTTTATAATATTGTTGTAGGTTTAGATTTAAAATACCTCTCTAACCTACCATGTAATCATCGTTATTTATATCTAAGCAGTCGTAATACTTTTAGTGCAGTAAATTGTTGTTTTTCCGACTTTTTGCTTCATTTTTCTATTTTGTTTGGTTATTTTAGTTAAACTATAAGAACTTTTTAGTACCTACTTATTTATTTATAGATAGGTAGGTAAGTATGAGGCCCATAAAACAACAAATAACGTTAGAACCTACCTACATACATTTTGTTTTGCAAAAACAGAACAACTAGAGAATTACCAAACTTAAGTTAAAAAAACCAAAAAACAAATTGTGAGGCAAATTTTAAGAGAGATATCGCGTATCTTAAAAAAAAATATTGCTGGGTACGGATGTCTGTCTCTCTATTAAAAGGAGTTATTTCAATAAGCATTTAACCTTCGAAGGTAGTAGGATCAGCTCAGTAGTTAAGCGGTATATTTAAAAAAATCCTTTTTTTACCAGTGTATTGTGCCAGTTCTGTCTTTAAAGATCGAGAATAACAGAAATGATGACTCAGTAAGCGATGTAGGTATTCTTACCCGCCAAACACGATGCCAGTCAATTCCCAGGAGAGTATATTTATTAATGGAATTTCGTCACGATAACTTAATATTCATCCTATTATTCTCCATTGGGTGGTCCCCAATGGAGAATAATAGGATGAATGTGTGTAAAGCGTTAAAGCTGAATGGTGCAACCATAAAAGCGATTAAAAAAAATGGTTTTATTTTTGCATAGAAGTTCTTAATGGGTATTCTGATCTAGAGCCCTACTTTTTGGATATTTTTCAAACTAGGATAAAAAAAATTAAAATCATTTTTACTGTCCCTTTTTTTTTATACTATATTTATTGATTTATAAACTATATAAATTATAAAAAGTCAAAAATTCATCCAGTGACAGGCCGGTGAAGTTGGGGTTGCCAGTCAATTGTTGGTTGACATGATTCCAACCCTTGTAGTGATCGTGAATACTTCAAATTAATATTTTTCAATATCCAAGGTCCAAGTGATAAAGAGATGTATAAAGAAGATTCTCACAAAATTTAGAAGGAATCGGTCAGATAGAACTTAAGATATCGTGTCGACCACCTCAACAAAAGAAGTTTTGAGAAAAACGCATTTGAAGTTTGAGAAAGATTTCCAGTAGAATAACTCAGATAATAATATTTAATACTCACTTTGGATTAATCGGCGATGCCATATCCATAGTTTGAACCTTCTTCTTTCTCAAAATCAGAACATAACGAGCTCAAGTCGGATACAAAAGAATTTCTGGAAAACATCTGCCGTTCATCTGTGATCCCTCCGCTCGGCCGGCTTAGGTGCCGCGTCACAAAATCCACTAGGAGATACCCCAAAATAATTCTAATTTTGAAAAATCCTTTTAAGAGCATATTTTTGAAAGTCTAAGCTTTGAAAATATGCAATAAAATCGATTTTTTTAGATTTTCTAGACCAGAATACCCCCTTAAATGTTAGCTAGGTATTCAAAATATTGTTACGTATCGTTAAATTATAATTACTAGCTTTTATAATGTGAGAAAATGTGTTCCGAAGTTGTTGATACTACTGTGTGTTATTTTTTTCAACTAAAACACGTGGGGTGTTTTAGTTGATAAAATATGCCTCAAAGCACCATAATGCACGCATGAGCATTCCACCGTAAGTCTAATGGTGAAATTATAGAACTTTTAGTGCCTAGTTCTCAAGTTATGCTATAGTGTGCTTTGTAACTGTAATATTGTTACTCTTGATTCTACTGATGTAGTATATACTGACATACGTCCATGCCGCAAGTTGGATCCTCGCACAATATATTCCTTAGTATATTTATTATTTTGGCTTATTCCATAATAAACAAAAAAATACATATTTATTGCTGTATATTTTGTACTCACAGGAAGCGCTGATTGGTTAAGGACTAAATATTACTAAGAATTGCTCAAATGTCCTTATTTATTTATTATATCAATAACCCTACAAGGAATTCAAGTTAAAAGAAAGTTATTTCAACATAAATACTTACCAACTTGAAATTATCTGATAAATGTCCGATATCTTCAGATTATTTTAGCTACTTTATTGGAAATTGAAATCTAGTATGATTACACGATATATACAACTAAATCTAAAATACTTGTTTTTAGATATATTACATATATTTACAATTAGGAACGTTTATTTTTCTGTTACAGTCTACCATCATGGCTTCTCATTCAGTCGAAATTAATCTGGGAAATAAACACAAGCTTTATAATGACTTGATAAAAAAAAGTATCCAAGATGATAAAATAATCACATCTATTGAAATTGGAGGTCCCGATCTAGAAAAGTTTATTGAAATAGACTTTGCATGCCATAAAAGAGATATGATTTATTTTCTAAATATACTCATGGGCGCAGACATGCTCTTTGTATCTAGAGCTATAAAAAAAGGTCTTTGGATACTTGAACCCGAATATGCCCACATTATAGAGCCAGAATATCTGCACACAAAGATGTTTCCGAAAATGACCGTGAAAGCGAAGAATAAACTCATGAAATTTATTAGAATCAATCTGAAAGATGAAATCCGTGTCGAAGCCTTTTTCAAATACGAAAAAGACGTTAAAAAAGCATTGAAGTGGTTACCTAATTGTTCTTTGCCCTTTATTAAAAATAATGTCAAGTTACATGTAGCTGATTTAAGTTCAAATTTATTTCAACGGCTATGTGAAAAATCTATTGATATTCTTGAAATTGGAATTGATAATTACGAAGGTTATAAAAGAGATAAATTGCAACTTGCCATGGCTTTTTCAAATACTAATATAAATAAATACTTAGATGTAATTGAAAAGACTCAATATTACGATTATCCTGTATTCAATCACAAAATGACTAACGTGATTATGAAACATTGCTCCGAACGGATCATAAATAATTTTGAAAAATATGCTAATAAAATAAATATTGCAACTTTTGTAAAATATTTAAAAAAAGATAATATTAAAGATTTTCTTTACACACAAGCTGAAAAAATACCGAAAGAAGTACACCAGGTACTATATTATCAGCTGTCACCCATCTTTAAATTTAATACTTTAAAATTTTTTATAAGAGCAATGCCATTTAATAACCGTTTTAACTTCGTCAAATCAGTTTTTATAGATAAAGTGCACATAAACAAAACAGGAGAACGTATATACAATGATTTAGAAATTAATAAAATGAGGCAACTGTACAAAGTTGCTAAAGGCGAACAGTATAAACACGAGTATGTGTGGTATGAATTCGCGTCATTCGATGAGGCCTTTATAGAATTAGCAAAATTAATACGTGCTGAGTCGTCTCACAAACAAAAACAATTGATGTTAGAAGTACTAATACTATGCGTGAACAATAATATACAACATCTACAGATTTTATTACAATACTACTGTGATAAGCACATCAATGACAAAATTGAGTATCAAATCAATTTTGTTAATAAATTACTTTCTGAAACTGCGATTCAGAATTATGATGAAGAAACATGGAATTTGCTTAATACTATATTTAAAAGTATGGATATTTATCTCGAAACGGAAGTTGAATATGACAATATATTAGAATGTATTGAAGCAATTATTGTTCATAACGTGCTTACAGACCAAGAGGTACCAAAGATAATAGAAAAACATTTTGCATTTAATACTTTAAAGAAATATGGCGATAAACTAAACAGCATTGATAAAGAAAAAATTTTCATTTATTTATATAATCTTATGATTATAAAACTGAATAACCAAAAAAATATAACTAATAAATTAGAATTCGAAAAAAGCCTTAATACATTATCTAATATTCTAAATGTTTTAAAAGACTGGGATAAAGATATTGCTGATTATCCAATAGTACTTGATAAGTTGAAAGAATTCACTCAATTAAATAACAAAAATGAATGGGACGTTGAACTTTCATTCTTATATAGCTTTAACAAGACTTGGAGAAAACATATGTTTGAGCAATCTTTAATTATACATCCATCCGAAGAAGTATGTATAAATGCATTAAAACATGATCCAGAATTATTAGTGAAATATGAAAGTGTACTTAACACCATATCTTACAAAGACAATGTGTCTTTAAGGCGGTTACATAGCAAGTTACGAATTTATTGGCCCCAAACCTTGGCTAAAAATATATCGGATCAGTATCTGAGTGCACTTGATAAACCCGATAATCACAATGCACTCACACGCGGACTCTGTGCAATTCTACCTCAGGATCAACTTCTTAATATTATAATGAAGTACACTCCCGAGGAGTCAAAAGTAAATTGGGATAATATTGATGGTAATTTATTGAACTTACAAAAATATATTGCTAAAAACATGCATAAAGCAAGACCTCATCCGCCTCCGGACACAATTTTATTATATGCAAAAGGAGATTATCTTCAGTACGCTCTTCCATCCCTTTCAGCTATATTTCATAATTTAAGCCCACTGTCTAGTATAGATCACATACCCAAGTTACTAAATTCTCCTGTATCGTTACAGAAACATGGCATTCGATTTGCATTTGCTAAATTACAATCGGATAATATTAAAAGCATTTTCGATAATATCTGGAAAACTACTAAAAACGTGACAATACGCGCTATTATTTTTAAATTTACCTATAATTTTATTTGCCATGAAGAAGATCCAAACAAAATTCAAGAATTTTGGGAATTATTCGAGTTTTTTATAGATAATTTATCTTATGAGGAAGATAATAAAATTTATGAGTTACTAGACAAAGTCGACAGTATTCCTCTAAGTATTAGACCTAAATATTTAGTGAAATGTTATAATTTTTTGGTACGTTTAATTAGTAACGCACCTAATGATAAGGCAAAATATGAAATGATGACTCGTAACCTCATACAGAGTACTCGTACTATAATGGTGTTCATGTGTCCAGATTTTATAACAGAAAGACTACAAGAACTTTTAAAAAATAAGGATAATAATTTATCTGGGTACGTATATGATGTATTGTCAGCATTCTTGTTAAGCGCTAAGAATGAAGAAACTCAGATAAATCGTTATGAAAATATTTTGTTACCATATATGCAACTTTGTTTTTCTACCTGGCAAGAAGGTTGTACTAAAAGGAATTTTGAAGCAGTACTTTCAAAATTACAATATGATTTGCGGGATTATGTTATAGAAAAAAAAATGTTCGTTCCGACAAATCTATTTTCAAAGATACAAAGGGAATTGGAAAGTTCATTGTCAAAGGCAGACAACTATTTATTGCTTACTCGATGGAAAGTTGTTGTAACGTTAGCTAAACTGATAAATAACGTCAAAACTTCTGAATGGAATGCAATATGCACGGAAATAGCCCCAGAATTGGGAAAAGCGTATCAACAATATTTAAAAGAAGATGTAGAAACACTTTTTCCATGTATTTATATATTATACTCTCGGGTAATAGATAGCACATTGATTTATTTCACCAACAGTGCCAAACAGAATGTTTACATATCTATGCTTTCAGATCAAAATTTCATACAATCATACCTCACTGTTATCAACATAACTTACGATAAATACGATTCAGATAATATAAAACAATTGCGAAAAATATTTTATGAACATCCGTCTTCTGAAGTCAAAATGCATTATTATTATGAATTAGGCGAGGAGGAGTAATTAGAAGAAATATTTGCTTAAACTATAAACTAAGTACCTACATTAAGCATATATAGCAATCACATATATAATATAAGATATAGCAATTATACAAAAATACATAGATAAGGAGAAAGCATCTGAACAGATTATTCGGTCTTGTTGTTAAACAAACGTTAGTGTTTCTGAGTGATATAATCGTACTAAAAACAAATAAGTATAAACTAATATTTAGCTTGTTATTCAATCTGAACTTTTGTCAGTATGCCTACCTATGACTTGCCTGTAATGTTATTGCAATAAGTGTTGGAAATCTTAAAATTTTGTCTATTAATTATTAAATTAATAATATATGTAACTTCATCTGTTAATAATTAAAGTTCAAGTATTCATAGAACTGATGTAATAGTATTTTAAACATTATTTTTAATATTTATTGTTTTTTATAATACTTACCTACTAGCACTATTTTGTAAAAATAAGTGATTAATTAACAATAAACAAATTTATTAACAAAGTGGTTACATTAAATCTCTGTTATTAAAAACATCAATTTAATCAATTAATTTTACTATTCAAATACAGAAAATAACAACAAAATACCTATTATTTAAAAAAGTCACCAGACCCCTCAATTATAAAATAAAGTATTTTTTGTTTTAGCTAATTATCTTTGTGAGGTATAGAAGATAATAAATTAGCGTATTATGTTTTTTGTCTAACACGAATAGCAAACAAACTAACGGTGCATCTGAAATGGCGACTGTCCACTAAATAAAAACAGTAATGACCATTGTCACGTGATGCCCTAAAAGTAAAAGTGTCAGATCTCCGTACTCTTAAAGCCGAACCAAACTGCTGGCAGCTGAGAAAGGTGATACCGATCCAGAAACATGCGCAATTGCGCATACACCATGTAATGTAGGTAATCTGTAAACCAGTTATTCGTAGGTAGTTGGAAATAAACTTGAGTTTCGACCTACAGGTGTTTATTATTGTGCTCCCGTATTTTCTAGACATTACAGTGGCGACGAGGATTGTAGTTGATAATTGATCGACTGATTATATATATAATAATATAAATAACGTTAAAAATAATGTCAATTTACGGGAGTGTGCCGCTATTTGACTGTAAAAGTGACGATTGGTTGGTGCATATTGCGCAGCTGAAAATTTTTTTTGTGGCTAATGCCATTCAAGATACAAGTGACATCGGTGGTGTTAAAAGGCGTGCTATATTGCTTAATTGCATGTCACAGGACTCATACCGGTTAACTCGTGATTTATTGTTCCCTATTTTACCGGAGTCAGCCGCCTACACGACAATTGTTGAAACATTGGATGCGCATTTCGAACCAAAAAAGTGTGTATATGTGGAACGTCAGAAATTTTATTCTGCAAATAAGGATTCCCACGAATCTATGTCAGATTATGCTGCGCGCATCCGTGGCTTAGCATCGACGTGCCAGTTTGGTGTTTCATTGGAAATGTGCATGACTGACCGTTTCGTCCTCGGTGTGGATTCCGCGGTCGTACGAGAGAAGCTTTTCCGGGAGGACCCGGGGCAGCTTAAATTGACGCGAGCTGTGGAGATAGCGGGAGCCGTAGAGAGCGCGCAACAGGTCGCTTGTTCGGAGCTGGCAGCACTCAACGTTAAATCAGAGGCCATGCTATATTCGGCAGAGCGGCCAGGTCCGCCCCGCGCGCCTGCCGGCGGCAGGTCAGCCGGCAACGGGACCGGTGGCGGTGGCAGTAGCAGCGGCAGCGGAGGCCGCGCAAGCGGCGCGATCCCACGCTGCGCCGTCTGCGGCGCTAAGTCGCATGTGTCTTCTGAGTGCGGTTATCGTAATTTATCATGTGATAATTGTGGCATTAAAGGACACCTCAAACTTGTGTGTACTTCAAAAAATGTACGTGTGATAAACCACAATAGTAAATCACGTGGAAATAAACGGAGTGAATGGCGAAGTAATTTCATTAGTGAAGGTGCCAACGACAGCGAAGTTAGTGACGATTGTGTGTTATTAAATAATATTAGGTGTTCTGAAGGCACCCCCATGGCGGTGGCAGTGACCGCAGGTGGGAGGTCGTTGAGTATGGAAGTAGATTCGGGCAGTGCGGTCTCTGCACTACCGGAGGCAGTGTGGCGCAGGTATTTTGCAAATAAGTACCCACTCGGTGAGTCTGACAAAATTTTACGTACTTATAATGGTTCACTGTTGTCACCTATTGGAATATGTGATTTATTAGTTACCTATAATAACAATTCTAATTATATTAGATTTTATGTGGTGAATAACGGCCCGGTTTCACTTCTTGGTAGAGATTTTTTATATAAATTTAATTGAGAACTTGTAGCAGTAAATCACTGTTCACTGAATGCCGATAATCGTATTTTAATGAAATATAAGTCCCTTTTTTCGGACAAACTCGGCACTTTTAACCAATACAAATTGTCATTACATTTAAAAGAGGGCGCTACCCCTAAATTTTGTAAGGCTAGAACGGTGCCCTTTGCATTAAGGGATAAAGTGAGTGCAGAATTGGATAGACTCGTACAAATAGGTATTTTAAAACCCGTTTCCTACTCGAAGTACGCATCGCCGATTGTGGCCGTATTAAAAAAGAATAACGAAGTACGTATATGTGGCGATTATTCGGGTACCATAAATAAAATATTGAAAGTAGATTCATATCCATTACCAAAACTGAACGAATTGTGTATTTCATTGCACGGTTGTCGCTATTTTAGCAAGCTTGACTTGTCGCAAAGCTACAATCAGTTTTTGCTAGATCAGCAGTCTCAGGAGTATACGTGTATAAATACACATAAAGGATTATTTGTTTATACGCGACTCGTGTTTGGTTTAGCGAACGCACCAGCACTTTTTCAACGTGCTATGGTTCAGTTGTTAAATGGCATTGATGGAGTAGTGTGTTTTCTTGATGATGCGCTTATTGCAGCACCTACTCCTCAGTTACATTGAGAACGTGTGGAACAAGTACTTAATAGGTTAAGAGGCGCGGGATTGATATTACAAAAAAGCAAATGTTCATTTCTTCAGGAAAAGGTTGAATATTTAGGCTTTATAATAAATCGTGATGGTATTCATAAAAATCCAAATAAGATCAAAGCTATTATGGACGTAAAGGTACCTCTTAATACAAAACAATTAAAGTCATTTCTAGGTATTGTAAATTTTTATCACAGTTTCATACCGCAAGCGGCGAAAGGATGTTGAGTGGGTTTGGTCGGAAAAACATCAAAAATCGTTTAATGATGTAAAAAAAGAGTTGGGTTCGTCACGAGTGTTGGCTCACTTTGACCCCCGACAACAGCTGGTGCTCACCGTGGACGCAGCGCCGGGCGGCCTAGGTGCGGTATTGGCAGTGCGTTACCACAACGGCACAGAGCGTCCCATTAGCTATGCGTCACGGGCATTGAATAAGAGTGAGCGTGAATACAGTCAGATCCAGAAAGAAGCTACGGCCATAATTTACGGTATAAAAAAATTTCATCAGTACCTTTATGGCCGTCAGCAACCTTTCATTTTAAGGACCGATCATAAACCCTTATTATCCATTTTTTTCACCAAACAAAGGGGTTCCTCAAATGACTGAATCCAAGCTTCAACGTTATGCATTAATTCTCGCTGCGTACAATTATAAAATAGAATTTATTAGCGGGGAAAATAATGTTGCTGATTATTTGAGTCGTTTTCCAGTCAAAATGGAACCGCCGGAGGTCGATACTTGTACTGAATTACCAAGTTACATAAATGCACTAGCCGAAGCTGGCGCCGCGCTTCCCGCATCATTAGGTGAGATGCAGTCAGCTACTATTGCTGATAATACGCTTTCTGCGGTGATACAGTACGTAAATAAAGGTTGGCCAAGAAAAGTACGAGCTGAATTGTTGCCATTCAGCCGGTGTCAGCATGAACTGCATGTTGATAATGGATGTCTAATGCGTGGACATCGTGTAGTTGTGCCGGAGATGTACAGGCCGGCTGTCATCCAAGAACTGCACGCTGCACACTTGGGAATTATAAAAATGAAATCGTTAGCTCGAGAGCGTTGTTGGTATCCGGGTATTGATCGAGACATTGAACAAGTAGTGTCTAACTGTGATCGTTGCATTTCTCTTCGGTCGTCACCACCAAAAGCTACACTGGAGCCATGGGATTGGCCCTTGGCTGTTTTCGATAGAATTCATTTGGACTATCTCGGACCTTTACATAATAAAACATTTCTTTGTTTGGTCGACGCGCATAGTAAGTGGATAGAATGTTTAGACATGTCAAATATGACTTCTCAATGTTTAATTTTTAATCTAAAGAAAGTTTTTTCGAGATTCGGATTGCCCAAAACAATTGTAACAGACAATGCTACAACTTTCACGTCTGCTGAGTTTGCAAAATTTTGTAAGGTTAATGGTATTATACACATATTGACACCCGTTTATTCACCACAAAGTAACGGACTCGCCGAGAACGCGGTGCGAACGTGTAAAAAATTCATTAAAAATGCTCTAAAGGATGGTACAATTAAAAACATTAACAGTCGGCTAGATGATTATTTATTTCATTACCGAAATACGCCACACTGTACGACCGGAGTATCGCCGTCAATGCTTATGTTTAATAGGAACTTACGCTGTAAGCTCGATCTCATTTCTGTAGGACCATCAACCGATACAGCTAAGCAATCATTCGTGAATGATCGTGTGCGGTTACACCAGGGTCGACAGAGGCGTAATTTTGGTGGCAAAGGAAGGTTTTTTTCTCAGGGTGATAACGTATGGATAAGAGATTATCGATTTAACCCAAAAAAACCTGTGTGGGTTTTGGGCTCGGTTGTCAATCGTGTAGGTAAGGTTCTGTACCACGTAAACGTGAAGGGGACAGACATCGTTTGGAGGCGTCACGTAAATCAATTACTAGACGCCAAGATTAATAATCGTGCGTTAAATAGAGCTGCTTGGTCATATGAAAAGCACGAGGGCGCGACGGCTCAATGTCACGAATCGGTTCAGTCGGCTTCGTCACCTATAGCCCCGGAGTCGGGTGCACCGGACGCGAGCGGGCCGCCTGCGCGCAGTCCCCGCACGCCGCCCGGCTCCCCCGAACCGTCGGCACTCAGCGACGCCGACGATGGCTTGTATGGAACGCCTCCCAGCGATGTACCCGACGAGCGATCAACGTTACGTGTATCGTCTGTTCCCGAAGTCCGCCGCACACGGTCGGGTCGAAGAGTTTACCCGCCAAAAATATTATTTCTTTGATATACATACGTTAGATATAACTACAGATTATGGTGTACTATATTTCAGTATTTTTTTTGTTGTTGTTGTTACCTTTTTTTTATAAACTAAAGATATAGAATCTAAATATAAGTCACGGTTATAATATTTATATAGATATTAGAGTCTAAGTTATAGGTATACTATAAATATAATATGTTGTAGTAGATTAGATACACACAGTATGGATATTGAGTTAAAAAAAAACTCTCAGGCAGTTTCCACAGTTTCGAGTTCATTATTACAAATGTTTTTACTTAAACTTAATCTTAATATTCCTGTGCATACGTAAATCATGTTATAGACGGGACTTGTTTTAGAAAGTTACATGTCATTTTCTTTACTCGCTGTATTGTGATAGGGATTAATGACCTATTTATATATATATTTGCATATTACTTACACAAATTTATATTTTATAAGCTATCTACATATTTGTATTCTATCTGCTATTTTTCCCCTCAGTTTTAATTTAATTGTGGAGGAGATGTAATGTAGGTAATCTGTAAACCAGTTATTCGTAGGTAGTTGGAAATAAACTTGAGTTTCGACCTACAGGTGTTTATTATTGTGCTCCCGTATTTTCTAGACATTACACACCATTATATACAATCTACCTAGGTAAATATATATATATATATATACATACATATACCATAATCATTTAGAAGGAACCGTGTGTTAGTAAAACCGATAAGAACACATAGCTAGCATTGTGACAAATAGTTCCATTCCTAATGTCCTCTCCCTCCATTACAAACCTAGGTACCTAGTCCTGCCGTCGGAGTCAGGGTGGAGTGCACATGCGAAACCCCTGGCTGGCGTAGGCCCTCGTAGGTACACCGTGTGGTTTTAAGTGGATAAAAATCTCATACACCGCCTCCACCTCCCTCCGGTATAGTGATGGTTTTTTGAAGATTTTCACGCGTTAAAAAAAGGTCCTAGTCCTAGTCCTTAGTAGTTTGATGAGAGTAAATCCGTGACATGATGTGGGTGTCAAATTCCAGGGAAACAATGATTAGAAGTAAACCTATAACTCAAATGTGATTTTGCAACCTAAAAGAGCATCCTCTGCCGCTTCCGCTACGCCTCTGGTATAAATATACATAATATTTATTCAATTACTAACTGTCCCGGCTAACGTTGTCTTGACATATAAATAAATATTGCTATTAAAAAATAGGGGTTGATGGTAGAAGGGTGAAAATTTAAGGCTATATGTATTTTTATCGCCACATAATAAAAAATAATCGTCAAAAAAACGAAAAAAATTTTTTGGAATTAGCGACCCTTAAGAAATAGGGGCACAAAAATTTGTTATAAACCTATTCTCAGACCTGCTGAATATACAACTTATAAAATTTCATCAAAATCGGTCATGCCGTTTCGGAGGAGTATAAACACGAAACCTGTGACACGAGAATTTTATATACATTTGATCATTTTCCTCTTAATAATAACTATGGGAATTCCAAACACGATGAAATGTCGATCAATATCATAACAATGTTTTTCTCTCTCAAAACTGACTTGAAGCAAGAACGAGTGAGTTAGTTTTATGTTTATATTAGTCACTCGCTCGTTATACCTACACCATCAAGTATGGATGGACGACTAACTTCAGTTTACTTTTAGCATTCGTATTACATTAGTTGCAATGTTTCTAGTGACTGAGTAGGTACTTTTATTATATTTGCGTTACTATAGTATTAATCACATAGAGTATTGTTATATTGTGTTATCATTGTTACATTTTTTATTTTAACAGAAGATGTATACAATAATTTTGTAATATCATGTACGTGAATGATATTCGCATGGATTTTTCAAATTTACACTAAATGTATAGATATCTGGATATATCAGGTATGCCTTCAATATGTTTTAATACAAATAGCTACTAAGCAATCCATGAACTGATTTACCTAAGAATGAGACGTATTCAATTGTAAAACCGTGTGAAATAATATTGAATAATGAATCATAATAATAATGAATCAGTCTCATTTCGTAATATTTAAAATTTATTAAATTTGTAGCGTAAATACAAAATATATATAACACGAAAATGTCATAGTGTAAATTTCTTATCTGCTTTGGTACCTTTTCTAGTCGGACTCGAAAGCTTCAGTGATCTCACGGTCACTTTTCAGCTTTGTAATCTAAATCACACAATTACTTAAAATTTAAATGAATCACGATCAATTTCTACATTGTATCGTTCATTAACCTTCTGTTGATGATCATGCATTCGATCTACTATAAAGTGTATACACAAAATTATTTTAACCCAATATTATTACGATTTACACTCAGGTGTAGGTCTCTTAAATGATAGATATATGATAGGTATATCCATCCATAAATCAACAATACATAGCGCTGAGGGGAAGGAGATTGTTAGTAATGTGGACTAATAACCTCATTTCTGACAATGTACCATATCACCTTGACCGCCATGTGGTTTCCCCTGGAAACCATCGTGAATTTACTACGATAGGCTGACCTAGCCTCATGCTCATTAACCTCGACTAGTACCTACGCCGCCAGGGTATCTCGTTAGCAGGCGGGTGCACCATTCCATTATTATCAATAACATATATATATTTAAACACTAAATTTTAAGTGAATCTTTAATCTTTTACCCATTGCTCTGTTTCTATTGGTCGTACCATGATGTTATATAGCACACGGGGATAATATATCTTTCTAACAGTGAAAACATTTTAAAATCGGATCAGCAGAACCAGAGATTACCCCGAACCATAAACTTTACCTCTTTATAATATTAGTAGACATATAGATGAATTATTTAATTTAATATCTAAGCCTACTACGTTAGGGTAGTTATAATTGAGATAACATTGAAGATGTACTCTATTCAAAAACCGATTTTAGTTTGAAAAATAAGATGGAATAAAGCCGGAAGAGTAGTAATATAATGATAAAAATGATTTTTTTTTTCAAACGACCTAATTATATGAACTATATATATGCAAAGAATAATAATCATATATTTTTCAATTCCAGTTGGTGAAGATGACACCATTCCAATTGCATGGACATACTCTTGGAGAAAGACATAGAAACTATAATGCACACTTCAAAAATATTATTGAAGAAAACTGTGGTTCTCCACTTGAAAAAATCAACAATGATGACATCGACATCAACAATTTTCTTAAAATAGACCTTGCTTGTCATAACAGAAATGTAAACTATGTCCTTGATATTTATAAATGCGAAGATACGCTATATGTGTCTAGAGCGATAAAGCGAAGCACTTGGTTAATCAAAGACAATCAATATGAAAACATCATTAATCCCGACTACTTGCACACGCAACTATTTCCGCATATGACGTCTAAAGCGAAATGTAAATTATTATTGTCTATCAGACTTAACTTAAGAGGAGAAAGTAGAGTAGAGACTTTTTTTAATTACATTAAAAAAGACAGTATATATAATGCTCTAAAATGGTTGCCGCACTGCTCTGCGCCTTTTATAGAAAAAGTATTAGATGATCATTCCGATATAATTAATCCCTCATTAATAAAAAGGCTTTGTGAGAAATCTTTTAAATATTTAGGTATGATAATATTAAAATTTTATTGGAATTCGATAAGAAATTTAGAGTACGACTTAGAAGCCACAAAATTACTAATGCATACTGACCCTGAAAAGTATATGGACATAATACTAAACGTTCGAAATTTTTTCATTCCGAAACTTGGAGCTAGAGCTACGAAAACAGCAATGAAATACTGTCCTGAAAAAGTATCGAATTCATTTCATAAGCTTTCTCGTTACATTCATGTCCCGACATTTATAAAATATTACAAACACAAAGAATTAAAAGATTTTCTCATAGAGCAATTAAAAAATGAACCTTTTAGAAAAAAACTAATTTATTACATCTCAATATTTAAAAAGTATTTGCCATTAGAACACCGTATCCAAATAGTAGAAATCTTCACAACATTTCAAAAGCAACCCTTATCGGTTAAAAATATTACAGAATATGATATGGATGAGCTGTTATGTAAATGTGTTGAAGCCAGTATCTCTCCATTAGCTAATATAGTGCCAGGTGTCGGTTACAAATGGTACACTTTGCTACCCTTTGAAATCGCTTTTCCAAAAGTAAAAAGTATTATTCACACAGAATCACTAGGGCGTTCTAGGAATAATTTACTAAAAATATTAATATGCTGTGCGGGGAACAATTTGAAAAATATTGAATCGGTGTTAGAATACTATAGTGATAAGCATATAAATGAAGCATTGGTATTCAAAATTCACTTTCTGAATAATATAATTTCACTGACGACATGTACGCATAAATTAAGTAGTAAATCCTGGAAAATTCTAAATAATCTATTTTACAGTGTAGGTATATATGAAGATTCAGACGAAACTCTTCAGAATTGTGTTGATTGCGTTCTCGTGTACAATATACTTCATGGTATTACTGTGCCTGAAATAATCAAAAGAAACATAAATATGTGTTCGATAAGTATTTACAAAAACAAATTAAATAAGTCAGAACAAGAAACTATTTTCGACTTTTTGTACAACTATCTTTTAGTACAATTACAAAAACGAGACATTACAAATGAAATTCAATTTCATAATAGTGTTCAAATATTAGAATCTATTCTGAATTTATTAAACGACTGGGATAAAGAACTGTCTCACTATACAATTTTATTAGAAAAAATAAAGGAATATATTAAAATTAATAAATCAGAGTCATGGAATTATAATCTATCAAATTTATATAACATAAAAAAATCATGGAAAAAGTATATGTTTGAAGAATCGTTTGATTTATGCCCTTCGGATGAACTATGCGTGTATGTACTAAAGCATGATCCAACTTTTCTAGACCGACACAGGTGGGGAATATTAGCATTATTATTCGATGACAATTATAATAAATTGAACTCCTTAAAACGTACTCTTCAAAAATTACGGACCTACTGGCCTTTATCATTAGGGCCAGAATGGGCCGAATCATTGCAGGGGCGGTTTAACACACCCTACGCACACAAAGCTGTAAAAGGACTATGCGTTCTTTTATCGTCAGATCAACTTATTCAATTCATTAATAAATACATACCAGTTGAATCCAAAATTAATGTAGACGAAACCATTAATTCAACATTGTGCCTACAAAAGCAAATTGCTATGAATATGTATATATCCAGGCCACCACTTTCACTTGAAATTATCTTATGGTACAGTAAAGGTGATTATGTACACTATGCCCGACCTTCACTGGATGCAATGTTAAGTAATATGAGTCCAGTTAAAAGTAAAGAAATTATATCAATATTGTTAAAAAGTACTCGAGTATCATTGCAGAAGTATGGTATTAAGCTCGCAGCAGATAAACTAAATAGCGAGGATGTTAAACCTCTAATGTACAATACGTGGATTTGCACCAATAATATGTCTGTACGTAACTTTATCTTCAAAAAAGTATTTAATGTATTAATAAAAGAAAAGGACATAGAAATGTGGAAACTATTGAGCTATTTTATTGATGATTTATCAAAATCAAATATTGGCAGTTCCACTATATCCTATACCTTAAAAAAATGTTACTTAGTTCCTATTGATATAAAAGTTAATTTTTATATGAAGAGCTATGTATATATGTCGTCTTTACCATTTGATCTCATAGGCGTGAAAAATTTAGAATTGCTGAAATCGCATATAAATCAAATTATATCATTGCATTTATTATGCGCAAAAGATGAGGAAGCACAAATGCAAGCATACAAAAATGTTTTAATCCCTATCATGGATAATTATAATCTGAATGAATTAACCAACTGCATCATCGGGGATTTACATAAGTACATCGGAATTAGTAGTACAATACCATTTAAAATATTTGTAGCTATACAGAGCGAACTGGAAAACAAGTTATCTGTAGACAAAAACTATATCTTACTAACGAAATGGAACTTGACAACAGGTTTTCTTAAAACATTGGCTGACTACGTATACAATACAGTTGACGACAATGTAACGACGTCCGATCCAAACAAACATTTGATACAAGCCTCTCTGGTCGATATATTCAATAGTTCAGAGAAGAAAAATAAATGGAAAGATATATGTGAAATCATGATACCTCTCTTCAAAGATATAATAGAGCAATATTTGAAACAACAAATTGAAAAGTATTCGCCCAGCATATATACATTGTTTTCAAGTGCCCTGAATAGTACAATTGAAACATTACGATTTGAACGTCGCACGCTGTTATTAAAAAACTTGTTATTGAACGAGAACACGTTTATGAACTTGGTGGTGCTACAAATGATTACTATAATTGATGAGACGAGTGAGTGTCAAGAAGATACTGAAATACGTGAAAAAATTTTATCTCAATTACCACCCGAACAAAAAGTTTACTATTACAATAAATTTAAGCATAATAAGAAATAAGTTAACCCAACATTTTTTGATGATTTTGATATTGTATTTACTTATGTAGTTAGCAAGTTGAAATCAACATTTACCTAGCACTATATATTAGATGTAATGTTTTACTGCATTTTATATAAGTTTGTTATAGAGGAAAGTGACCAAATATGGAATAGTATCCTAATATGGTATTCGTCCATTTCTCTAAACTGCGAATTCACACATTTAAATAGACAGTGATTTTCTACCTCTTTCTACTCCCATTTACGCATACAAGTTATAGCATGTCAATCGAGGAAGCCTTTTCGTCGTTGTGACAGTGTTTTGTTTTATCGCTACCACATAGTTTCTAAAATAATTTTGTTAATTATATATTTTTCATTGTTTATAAAATAAAGAAAATTTATTGGCAAGAAAACAAAAAAATAGAATGAGAAGAAATCAAAAGAGAATATTAAGCCTACGTCAGATTCAGATGATGAGATGAAGCTGTTTGATACTGATAGTGAACCCAATTCCTTGATATGATATACAGCTCCAGATTCTGCAGATTCGGAGTATATTTTTGTAATATGCTGTTTTTGAATGATACTCAAGGGAAACATGGATTAAGTGCCTCATATGGGGGCTCTGCGTATATAATAATTGCGTTAGCCCTGAGATTTATACCTGGATTGGCGATTTTTGTACATAATTTGTGTTGCTTTCTATATTATACCAAACTTTTTTAAGAGTCTCTTAAAAATTAAGGTTAATTTTTGATATTGTTTATGGTATTCCATATTTGGGTAGCTATTGCATATATGGGTACCTTTATTGCTATTTAGTTTTTAAGAATTTTTCTTACCCCAAAGTAATCAATATAACCTAATATTTTCACAAATTAAGTACAGATATATGACTGTTAATAATTACCACAAAAAGTTTTTTTTTATAAGATTTGTGGAAATTATGCCTAAAATCAAAATGGTATTCCATATTTGGTCACTTTCCTCTATTATTGTATATTACAACTCAATGAATTTGTATAAATAGTTATAATTGCCTTATTAATTATTGCCTATTATAATAATACTAAACATATAAAGCTGTGTACGTGATACATTCCTATTACCTATATATTCTACCTAAGCATATATTTTTATAATGAAATAAAATTAAAAAAAACGCCTGCAGACTTTATGACTATTGCCTTTAATGCCAAAATTTATCGCAACATAGAAACAGAATATTTATTTTGTATAATACTAGCGTACGCCGCCAATATCGTCCTGTCCGGAAGAACAACTCACCGGGTCTAATTGTGTTTTTAATCCAATTTAGTCAATTGAAATATACACACAAAATTTCATCTTAATGGATTTAGCTGTTTAGGAGGAAATAAGTGACAAACATACTTAGAGAAGAAATGCAAGATGTTACATCATACAAGTACAAATTTAAGCATCCGTGAAAAAGTAAAGCTGTGAAAGCTGTATATATACAAACAAAAAAAATCCGACGTTATGATTTTATCGTAAGCATAATAATAGCTGAACCACACGCACTCGCCTATCTATTTATAAAAATTATTGCTTCATAAATCACGTTATGCCATAGTTAATTAAACGACTATTGTTACAGTTATAAGCAGTCCTAGCAGTGAGTCGTCATTCACTGCACAGTGTACCTTAATAAATACTTCATTCTATTTCATTCAACAGTCAATGAAAAAAGTTCATGTTATATCACAGTACACTGTCAACTGTCACATCCTCTACTATACAGGAATACTGATTCCTCAGTCCCTCACAGTCTTTGTATACATGCACAGTGAAGCAAACGAGTGAATTTATTAGCTAGTTACTCACTCATTCACACACATCAAACTACAACTTGTAAGTGTTCTGTCTACACTACAATCAATACCAAAGTTACGTTCATATAAATTTATTTTTACAAATCCTTTGTAATGTACATGTAGTATACCTTTTAGGTAAATTTAATGTACATTGAACAACTTTGGAAATATCGGGTAAGCATTTAATTTTTTTTTTAAATAGTAGTTTATTTATACATATTTATATCGTTTATTATATTTTCATATCATAATTAGAACTTCAATTAGAATTATTAACTTCAACAAAATATATGGCGCAATAACTAGGTAATAATAGAAGGTTACGCCGGTATACTCAAGGCCGCATTTTATGATGACTAATGTATCTACCTACTAACTTTGAAATCTATCTAAAATGTAAAATTAGTCTTTATTTTTTGTAAATAGATGTATATTCGTATATACACCTATTTTAGATATGCTACAAGGCAGTTGAAGTAATTAGATAATACATATGTATAATATTCGCTATTATCTCTATTCTCTAGTTAGGTACAATATACCTATGCACTAGTTCACTTTATAAAAAGGCTTGATATGATGAATACCTATCTACTTTATTTTATAACAAAATTACGGCTCATTTATAGATTAGATACAGGCAGTACATTTTTAGAGTTCCATACTAAAAACGATAAAATGAAATTCCTATGGTAGTACTTTGACTGTCTATCTATCATAGCTAAATTAGAAAAAAAATATATGTAATGTAATGAGACCAAATGGAACGCTAGAATTTTCAAAGTAGTTCCAATACCAGGAGATCATAGCATGTATTTGTACCAGTGACCAAATATTTATTTATTCAAAATGGGAGATCAATTTATTTATCGCGCGGTTTCTGAAATGGCACAATTTGGAGACACCGGGAAACCGGGCACAACGAGCTGAAAAAGCGACAGTCACGTCCAGAACGAGACTCTAGTCACGTTAGTTACGACACTATTATCATACCTCATGTACACCTACGGTGAGAATTTTTACATTGATTTCCACTTATTTTAAAAATGCAAACACCGCTCTGTGCCTCCCAGGTTAATCATAATTTTACATTTAATAAAGAGTACATCTATATTAACTATAAATCTGACTTTATGTCCTATGCAAGTATAACAATGTTATTAGTTAGTAAACTGTCATAGTTTTTGAGTAATCTTCTAAACCTCATAATAATCAAGACTTGTTATCCGTTCCGATGCTATATACGAGTACACATGTCTTCTAAATATAGAAAAAATACGAATTAGATTGATCTCTATTACACAGAACACTGTAAATATATATCATACTTACATAAATATATGTATTAAATAAGGTACCTGTACCGAGGATCTCTCGGTACGTGAGTTCGTCTTATAATTTAACAATATTTATTTTATAACTCTTTTTTGTCTATATCAAATAGTATGATATCTATTTGCATAAATATATTATATATAGTATTATACAGATAAAAATATGACAATACGATAATAAAAATAATAGGTCAAGTTCGTATTTAGAGTGTAGTGTCCGGGCCGCATCCTCATCGCCATTTTGTAGTATCCGGGCCGTCCGTGACACCATGTGAATAAAAATACAATTAAAAAATCAAACAGCCTTTTTGTATTTCTTAAACAAACGTAATTTAAATTATTTACAAACCCTCTTAATAATAAAATAATTAACCAACAACAAAACTAACTTCGTTCTACCATAGATTTATTATTTCTTCTTGCCATAGATTCAATATTCATTCCATAGACACATTATCTGTCTATTATAAAGATTTGATTACATCATTTTAAATATACCTACATCATAGTGTATTCGTATTTATTTAGTAACTAGCTGACCCACCTTTTGCAATATCTTTCATTGCAGCTCCGATTCTATAGATCGTAGCGTAATGTAATAAAGCCTTCGTCGACAAATGGACTATCCAACACAAAAATATTTTTTCAATTCGAACCAGTAATTCCTGAGATTCAAACAAACAAACTCTTCAGCTTTATAATATTAGTATAGATACGTACTATAACTAGAGTAACTACAAAACTCTATCACTATCTCCGATCGATCCCTATCCCATCCATCAGGAATCGAAATTACTACGACCTAAACATTGGCTCAAAGCGTTCAGACTAACGTCGTATCCGATAGCCAAATGTTGACCATCGACCTCTCCATTAGTTTTCCTTCTAAGTCGAAGGAAAACTAATGGATGCGTGTCTTTTGCACTCTCTCTTATTTTCCAGAACTGTTGTAGCAAACGGTATTGGAGGAGGAAAACGCCTGGAAATAACATTCGCCGTGGAACAAAAGATAATGGTCAAAATTAGTTATTTCGCAAAATAATCAATATTAGTAGTTAATTTTTTTTTAAAGTAGCTATTGTCGCCTTTATTTTTTCCTGAGCACCATGTAACATTGGGGAGCCGCCTTCATCCATTGCCGGCCGGGTGATTAAGGACATGTCCTCAAACTCCTGTTCAAAACTATTTAATATTTGGATCTAAAACAAAGTTTTATTTTTTCAGTGCTAAGTACTGGAAATGGCGCCGTATGAATTACATGGATATACTCTGGGCGAAAGACATAAAAACTATAATGCACACTTCAGAAAGCTTATTGATGGAAACTGTGGTCTTCCACTTGAAAAAATCAACAACGATGACACCGACATCAACAATTTTCTTAAAATAGACCTTGCTTGTCATAATAGAAATGTAAACTATGTCCTTGATATTTATAAATACGAAGATACGCTATATGTGTCTAGAGCGATAAAGCGAAGCACTTGGTTAATCAAAGACAATCAATATGAAAACATCATTAATCCCGACTACTTGCACACGCAACTATTTCCGCATATGACGTCTAAAGCGAAATGTAAATTATTATTGTCTATCAGACTTAACTTAAGAGGAGAAAGTAGAGTAGAGACTTTTTTTAATTACATTAAAAAAGACAGTATAAATAATGCTCTAAAATGGTTGCCGCACTGTTCTGCGCCTTTTATAGAAAAAGTGGTCGAAGAACACCGTGACGCCATTAACATCCCATTGCTTACACGTCTTTGTAAAAAAAATTGTAGAGTTCTAGAAATAAGGATGTCCAAAACCAATTGGCAAGTAAATCCAGAAATGCTCTTGAGAGCCACAAAATTTCTCATACATACTCATCCTGAAATATATATGAAAAGCGTACTATCTACAACATCATATTACATTCCTCGATTTGGAGCGAGGGCTACCAAATCAGCGATGAAATTATGCCCTGACAAAATATTGGGCTCATTTGACATAATATGTCAATATATTCATCTCCCAACATTCGTAAAAAATTACAAACATGAAGATTTAAAAGACTTTCTTTTATCCATAACTGAACATAAAAACCTTAAATACTGGATAAATTCCTCAATACCAATTTTTAAAAAGTATATGCCTAAAGAACACAGGGTACAAATAGTGCAAGCTCTAACCGATACACCGCCAAAACGAGCTATTATAGAAAACACTACGGGATGTGATATAGATGAGCTTTTATCAAAATGTGCTGTAGCAAGTAATACAAACTTACCGGGCTCAGTAACAAGTTTTGGAGATGACTGGTACAACTTACTACCCTTTGAAATCGCTTTTCCAAAAATTATACCAATCATACGCACTGAATCATTAGGCCGTTATCGGAATAAATTACTAAAGATATTACTTTGCACCGCGGGAAATAACTCGGAACATATACACTCAGTATTACAATTCTATCGCAATAAACATATAAATGAACCATTTATATGCAAAATTGAATTTATAAACAACGTGCTTTCTCAGACTTATACTCATCGATTTGATAAAAAAACCTGGAATATTCTGAACGAACTATTTTGCAGTATAGAACTATATGATGATGATGCAGAAAAAACCCTCCAGAATTGTGTTAATTGCGTTTTAATTTACAATGTTCTTCACGGCATCAAGGTACCTGAAGCCATTGAAAAAAAAATTAAAACTGATTCATTTAAATATTACCGAAGTAAGTTGAATCAATTGGAAAAGGATAAAATTTTTAATTATTTATATAATCATCTTTTGTCAAAACTGCAAAGTCAAAAAGTGACCAACGAAGTTAATCTTACTACTGCCGTTAAAATATTAGAGTCATTATTCAAATTATTAGACGACTGGGGTAAACAATTGTGCAATTATACAATATTGTTAGAAAAATTTAAGGAATTTGTAAAAATAAATAAAGCAAACTCATGGAATTATGATCTCTCAAACTTATACGTTATAAATAAGTCATGTAGACGATATATGTTTGAAGAGTCTTTAATTTTATGTCCTTCAGATAATCTATGTATGTACGCACTTAAACATGATCCAGATTTTCTGAAACAACACAGAGAGGAAATCATGGCATTAATATTTGAAGACAATAGTAATAAGCTAAACCACTTGAAGCATACGCTGGAGAAGTTACGTACGTACTGGCCACTGTCAATGGCACCAGAATGGGCCGATGAATATCAGAGGCGACTCGACACCCCCTCGGCACATAAAGGTGTAAAAGGATTATGTGTTCTTTTATCATCGGATAATCTTGTGGACATTTTTAAAAGATACGCACCAATTGAATGTAAAATTGATATAAACGAAACTATTGCTCCAATTGTAAGTTTACATAAACAAATCGCCATGAATATGTATGTAGCTAGGCCACTTATTTCACTTAATACAGTTCTCTGGTACTCTGCAGGGGATTACTTTAAGTATGCTAGATCGTCTCTTGATGCAATTATGTATAACACTAGTCCAATCAAAAATAAAAAGTACATTTCGATATTGTTACAAAATAATCGAATATCCGTACAAAAATATATTGTCAAGTTTGCAGGAGATCAATTGACTAGCGAAGCTATACCTCTAATCTACAATATGTGGAAATCGACTAATAACATATCGCTTCGTAATATTATATTTACAAAAGTATATAGTATATTGATGAAGACCAAGCACATAGAAGTATGGGAAGTCTTAAGTAATTTTATTGATGACTTATTAAAATCGAATACTGGCAGTTCCACTATCAGCAATATCTTACAAAACGCTAACAAGGTACCTACTGACATAAGAGTCTGTTTTTATGTTAAGAGCTTTATATATTTGTCATCGTTGCCTTTTGATCCCATGTGCACTAGGGCTTTAGAATCGTTGAAGTCTCAAATCAATCAAATCGTATCTCTGCATTTACTATGTGCCAAGAATGAAAAATCACAAATGGAATCATTTGAAAAAGTTCTAATTCCTTATATAGAAAAATGCAATATAAATGATTTTACCAACTGCATGATAGGCGGTATCCATAAGTACATAGGAAATATTAAAACTGTACCAGTAAAACTGTTTGAAGCTATACAGATTAAACTGAATAATACATTGCCGACAGACAAAAACTACATCGTACTAACCAAATGGAACTTAACGACTGCATTTTTAAAATCCTTAGCTAGCTACGCGAAATCTGCTGAGCTTGATGATACGCCAGAAAAGAGAGTTTCAGCCCTATTAATCGATACAGTTGATGCTTTTGAAACAAACGCTAAATGGAAAAAAATATGCGTAATCATGACACCTCTCTTCAAAGATATATGTGTACAATATTTAGAACAAGAAGTACAAATACATTCACCTAGTATCTACACCGTATTTTCGACGGCTCTAACCGATACAATAGAAACACTACAATTTGAAGACCGACAATCATTAATAAAAAGTTTATTAGCAGACTACAATCGTATTATGTATTTGGTAGTGCTGAATATGCTACCTAAAGATTACGATGAAACTAAGGAAAACGCTGAAATACGTGAAATACTTTTATCTCAGTCGCCTCCGGAAGTGAAAATGTACTATTTTGAAAAATTTAATCAACCAGTATAATAACTTTAATATTTATTCTCTATTATAAGTAACAATGTAGGAAAATCATAATAATAATATTCATAATTCTAGTGAATTCACTACACAGGTGCAAACCGTATTTAATAGTGATCAGAAAAATATATAATAGGGATAACTAATAGTTTGCCATGATATATTAAAATTTTATACGCAAGCTAAACATGAATATAATGCAGTGCATGACAATGCCGTCATGAACTGCATTAAGTTTACCGTCGACGTCAATAAAAAGGCTCTCATACAACTGCATTTGTTGTTCTATTTATATTGTGAGATTAAAATTGTACGTGTATTATTTGTATAAAAACAAACAAGCGCACATCACAAAAAAAAAATTATATACCTATTTTATTATAATAGGTACCTATAAAAAAATGTGTCTTATCATAGGCCTAATCCGTATTGTTCCCATGTATAAATTTAATATTAGAAATTAAATTTAATGTTACTAAACTATTGTTCTAGTAGTTGAAACACTACTAGAACAATAAATTTATACACTGGAACAATTACTGATTTTTTTATAAAACTCTTCCTGTATAATAGAAACATGTGTAAATAGTGAAGAAATTGCGCTTTGTTACGTAGTCGTTTATTTATATAATTAATTCTTTTGTTATATTCATTTGTAGTACTAATTTTAATAAAATGTGAAGTAGAAAATATTACTTTTTTTTTACCTGTATAATATAGGCCTCTTTTTAGGACATTCTGCGCTGAGGAAAAATCTGCCACTCGATGCCCGTTCACTTCCTCCTATAATTCGTCAGGTACCACGAATGTTGTATTGTGCCCGCTATTATATATTTTATATGAATTATGTAAGAATGTAGTGGTGAATGCTATTTCAGTCCTCCATATTCGTGAAAAAACACTACCTTCCTAACGTCTGATGGAGCATTATTAACAAATAAAACAAAATGTTGGCAAAATCATTTATTGCCCATTCACTTAACCTAAGATGTTCAATAGTCGGCTACTTGTTATTAATATAACAAAATTCATGCCAACGATTGGTAATTTACGACTAAATTAGAGAAGAGCGACAGTTTAACAATCTTCGATTTGGAATGATATTCAAATACATATTTTACATTATTTGAACGTCAGTACTCGACTTTGACGCAACTGTTTTCACAATTACAATATATTGATAGTATTGTTCGTATGTTGTATACGATTGTCAGATCCAAAATAAAATAATTAATATAGGCATTTGTCCTTTGCATATAAGTAAGTAGGCATCACAACAATACATAAACACATACTTAGAACAATTTTGAAGAATCTAAATCTTTCACTACTGTACAAATTTGATCTATAGAGAATAAACCGTAATAATAACATCCAAAAAACTGTTTCTTAATTTTAACGATAATGGAATATTCTTATACATTAATGTTTCACATGTACACTTACTGCAAACATGCCCGAAGTTTCCTAATATCGAATTCATCACGTTGAATACTTTAGTGAAAACGCGGTCTGAATATCTTGTATTTACAATAATTTGAACATTGGTAGTTATGAAAACTTTAAATATACACACATTTTATACAATTAGGTGCCAAATTTATACATAATTATCCTCTTATTATTCATTTTGACACAATCGTGTGATACCTCAAACTATAATATAATGCAAACAATAAAGAAGTAATGTTACTTCATACTAAAGAGATTTCGATTTCAAGTACTCAAAACAAGTATGTTAAATATAGTAAAACAACAGAATTACAAATAAAAACATCTACATGAGAAAGGGCATGTTTCACTCAACGATTCCAGAATTTATGTTGATTAGAAATACAACAAGTATGTCAAACTCAAAATATGGTTATTTTTACTGTTTTGAAGACGCGGTCCAGAAAAAAAAAAAGGGTACGTATACATAAGGCCGAATGCCGAGTAATTATGTTTATGGCTTTCAGTAAACGAGTATACGAGTATGAATGTATTCTCGTTTACTTAAAGCCTCTCTTTTACAATAAGTCAGATCCAGAGTATAAAATCTAACAACTACAGCGAACTTTCACACATGCAATATACTCCAGTGGACGCAAGTGATTCTATTCTCTGGATCGAAAAAACATCAGTTTTCATTCTCGGTAAACTTAATATGGACATTTTTATTTCAGTTCTCCCATTATTACCATTAACATAATGTCAGGTAGTCTAGAGCTGACTCTAATTATACAGTATGTTAAACAGTATGGAGACTAGTCATAATGTCAAGCTATAACAAATATTATTTATTATGAAGTTTATTTAAATACACGCATGACAGCTAGGCGATGCGACAATGACCATTTTATATTAAAACAGTATATTTCTCTTTATGTTTATCATAACATAACAATATAGTAAAACTATTTATTTATATTTTTGTTTAAAAAAATGGATGTGGTCGATATTTGAATGTTGATCGTTTCTTAATAACAAGTTATCAATTTCCGTTTTATTTTTCAGCAGCACTGATAAAGGCCAGCACTTAAGCAAGACAATATTTGTATTGAAATGTCTGAAGCGACCAAATAAAACAAAATTAGCCAATCATTGGAGACCACTCCAATGGTGTGGGAATTTCTTCATAAAATCTGCATTAATTTGTGTGTAGTTTTTATTTTGCTATATTTTGCCATTTAGACAATTTATATTGGAAATAAGGCTTAAATCAGGAATATATTTATTTTTAACACAAATTAACTTTATCATACCTAAGCGGCACGTTAATTAACTAGTTTATGTATGCACTGTCCCCTACTTACAATGTTTAAATTGATAAAGATACCTGTACATCGAAGACAAAGCTAAAACCGACGTCTCAAATAAACGCCGGTTCTGGCGGAGCCCCGTCCTAATAGACGTATAACGTCAAATAGATAAAACTAAAAAAATATCCTTTTAGTTACTCTAGTAACAATATTATCATTTTTTTAAGTGTCGATTCCGCGACTATGTAGTATTTTAGTGGACCTGAAAATAACATGCATATTTTTATTAAATTGAAGAATTAAAGTCTGTAGAACTTCATAAAAATAGGACGTAAGTGACCTCTAAGTTAATATAACAACAATTAGTATCCTGCTAATGCATGTCTGAAAATTAAAGAGCAAAACATTGCAACTGAATTTGATTAATGTGTGTTCCCTTATTTTGCTCCCTTTCACAGTCCTACAATGTCACGCGTGGTATCCTATAATTTCACAGCCTGCTCAACATTCAACTGAAATGAATACATAATATTTGTACAAAATATACCTCTTTTATCTACATCAACTGGAATTCATGAGCTCTATTGTATTTCCAAATCCGAAATTGTACACAATAGTTGATTTGTTAACATATTGAGGAATTTTGATAAAAACTAGATCACAGCTCAAAGGATCAATAAGCTAAATATGTTTGTCTATGGTGGATATCTGTTCAGTAATGACTAATAGATGGTTAAATTGATAATGTTTTATTTTAGGATTTTATTAGTCTTATGCACCAAACTAACTAAGTTTTATGTTACAATACAAACTGACATATAAAAGTTCGAAACTGACATTGTCAAACAATTATATAAAAAAAAGTGTATAAGGGTGTAAAATATTATATATGGTATAACTAACCAAGTGAATGCCTAATCTTCATTAGCAGTCTCATCAGGTGCTGGTGTGTGCCATGTAAGTCGCTCCTCATAAAACTGTATTACAACCTGTGGACAGCGAACATTGGCCTGTTTCGCTGGTACCAGATCTGCTTCATCAGTACCCTGCCACTTCATAAGGAACATCAACTCCCCACTGCTGTCAGTTGCACCTAAGAATAAAAAATGAACATATATGTCGCTTACATTTACTAGTGCCACTTTCACAACTACTTAGATTAAATACACAATTTTCACGTCAAAAACAGCAATGCATTGTACTTCAATGGAAAGTATAAGATGGATTGTAAAGGTAAAAAGTTTGATTGTTTCTTTGGTTAAACATGTTAATAACAGAAAAACCTATTCAAATTGTAACATTATTTTACTGTTGGATACCACATTTATTAAGATAAACTATATAAAGCTATGATCATTGGCATTGCCAACGAAAAATCGTTCACCACACATTAGAGATATAGTAGCATGAATAGACATTAATTAATTTATTTAAAATGATAAATCTAACTTAGACATGTTATTGAGAGTGATACACAAATAAGGAAACACTTACCAATAATTTTTTCAGGCTCTAATCCACGATCAAATCCTGATGCTTTCTTGTCATCACTCTTGCTCTTCTTAGCACCTTTGAGATCAGGTGTGGCAGCTGAAGACTTGCGCTTCTTAGGGTCTTTCTCAATTTTGGTTACTTTCCCCTCTGTAATTTTTATTAAATGCATTAAATTAAAGAATAACCAACCATTCTATTTATTCAATTAATTTAGTTGATATTTTACTATATTATTACATGGGGACTGGGGTTGCTTTTAATGTATTTTTGCATCCATTAAAAGTAATGTGGTCCCCTTGAAAACCAGCATGATAAATTTAACACGATGGGCTAACTGACCTGGTTTCATACGTATATTTTCATCATTTACTGGTACCCCACCAGCGAGTACTGTTGGTGCAGTCCGGATCATAGCATCATTAACAAAAAAAATAATATACATACACATTTTATTTTTACCTCTACTATTACTACTACCTACTGTCCATTAAGTTAACCAAAAACAGAAGCATGCAGAAAAATAACTATAACAAGAAATCTTATCCATTGATCATGTATTAGTGAGCATAGCTGGGCATTAACTCGTTAATCTGTTAATCATTAAGTAATGAAGTTAACATTTGGATTAATGGATTAACTTTTAAGTTAACCCTTAAAAATGTTAATGGACACACACAATATGCAGAAGTCCGTTAATTGTTAAGCCAATGTCTACTATTTATCATATGGAACCACGGCGCGGTGTGAAAATCAGGTTCAATAACAAAAAGGTTCCAACTCTTTAAAGAGTAAAACGCAATATCTCAATAAAATATGTCTGGACATATATAAAAACAAGACTCAACAAAAAGAGGAACAGATACTCATAAATCTAGTCATTAAATACAATAACATTAACTTGCATTAATTCTTCTGAAATGTAACTCTAATGTTTAAGGAAGCTAACTTTTTTTTGTAGCAGATTAATGAAGTTAACTATTTGATTAACTATAGCCCAGCTATGTTAGTGAGTATTAGTTTTATTTTAAACATTAATTTCAATAAATAATGTTTGTCTATGTCTATGTTTAGTCTGTTTACCCAAAAAAATTACTAAGTCAAACAGTAACTTTATTTAAGAGACTTAACACCGAAACATCAAATTTCCAATTCCACTAAAATAATAGTTTAATTATTGAGCAGAGTTCAAAGCTCATCTGAAATGGCTTGACAGATCGAGACCAAAATTTCACTAAAGGTCAAACTTTGATTCTCCATCATTTACCACTCCTAAAAATTGTGATAGGTCAAGGTCTAGTTTTTAAGAATAAACATAGTCCACTCAACATGTAACTTGGTGTATAAACAACACACTGATGACAAACCTAGTATATTGAATGAGACTATGTATTCTATTAAAAACTGTAAAAAACAACAGGGTATGTATTTAAAAGTATTAAATTTTATATTCAATACAGGATTGAAAAAGTCAAGAAGATTCTCACCAGCTTCTTTCTTTTTTCTGGCTTCTTCAAATGTCTGAATAAGATCTGGACAATCCAGATTCTCTTCTGGCTCCCAAGTGTTATCTTCATCACTATAGCCCTTCCATTTTAAATAATATTCCACCTGACAACAAATTTATATTTCTACTATAAAATAAATATATAATATATATATAATAAATATATTATGCAATATTAATCATTATTAGATTTCTAATTCAACTTAATGCAAATATTTTGAGACAAAAATGTTCATCTTCTAATACAGATGAAACTTCATTAAAATCTATGTGTGAAAGTGGAAAGGCAATAAAATGACATATTAATTTTCCAATTATAATAGAGGTAAAAATTACACTGAATTGTATAACAGTCCTTATTACTGAAATCTCATTTGTGGTTTTATTCTTGAATAATAAAAAATAAAGTTACCGAAAACACAAATAATAATTTACAAACCTTGCCATTTCGGACACGGCGGTCTAACACTTTCTCAACAGAGAATTCCTCCTCACCTTCAGGTTCACCTTCCTTCTTTTTATCTGCCATTCTGTAATTAAATAGTCCAAAATACAACAAATATATAACAACACATGTAAAATAAACTGAAATACGACAAATAGAACGGAACTTTTTTTATTAAGTTTCTATTGTTTATTTTGTTTTTAATAAATACAAATGTAAACAAGTTTTGTAATATTTAACATTTGTAATATTTAACAACAACTAATATTTGTAATATTTAATATATGGTCATGTTTTTAAACTTATAATACTTCAACGAAAAAATAGGTAGTGGTTATACAATTCAAAAGATATTACCCATGAGCAGAAAAACAGTAGCTTAGCGAATTTTACAATCACTGACGAATCCTTTCTTACCAAGTTTAAAGCTAAAATTCACAACTTAAATGAACAATAAGATTACTTGAACACGAAATTATTTAGAGCAATTATATTTAGAAATAAGTAAACGGATGTAGCTTCAATATTTAGAGGGAACAAGTGCCGCCATTTTAAATTTGAATAAAATGCTGAATTAAATTCAGGTTTACCAGTCTTTGTTTATATGATTTTATAAACAAATAAAGATATAAACATAATTATATGCATTTTTAAGTCCTAAATAAGAACCAGGAATGTGTATTAAATGAAGTAAAACGTACCTTTATCAAAAAAGATAACAAAATCAAAATTTCAAGCCGGCGTGAGAACGGAATTACAGAACGAGATGTTGAATTGAAATGAATGAATGAAAATTATTGAATGAATGTATTTATTTCTCAACCTCAATGTCACGTAGTCATTCAACAATATCGATATGTTACAATATCGATATTCTTAAATAACTATACACAGCCATCCTTCGAGGGCCTGTACATACGCAAAAATTGGATGTCTTTGGGACTGCTACGTTTCTATAGTGTATTTGACAAATTCTATATAAATATTACACGAACAGATGTTGTCATAAGTGTGTCGTTTTTGCCTTATCATGTAAATATGCAATACACCGAATTACTCTGAACAAATATTAGGGTTTTAACTATTTGGTATATAAATAAATATCTGGACGTTACTTTTACAATATGCATTTTGTTATACTTCATTTAATTTCTAAAAAATAAGGATAACATTTAACCTAACAAGGTTTAGTTTATGACCTTTAGTTTACGTAACGTTTATTAATTCATGTAGTATATACCTATTCAAATAAAAAAATTGCAAGTATATAGACAGTCTTCGTTTTCTTAAATAGTTTTAATTTAAATCCGTTGCAAGATATGACCACACCGATAAATTATTCAAATGTACCTAAATATATACGATAACTTCAGAATTCAAATATTATATATAATTTTTACGGCTAATCAATACTGTTTTGACATATCGACACTGACAAGTTAATATTTAAAAAATATCGGTAATTTATTATCGATAAATTTTAGCACTTTACAAAATGATCGAAATCTAAATACTTCCAAATATACTCAACGAATAAATTCCATGAACCAAATGAATGCTATAGATAAAATAGCAGAATATCCACAGAATAAATACTAAATTGTTTGGAGATGTAATCACCGTCACAGACTCGTATCATATTTGCGCAGAATAAAATATTACTCAGCATTGTTTTACTTGTAGATCAAGAACCTTATTATGCGCCAGAGTTAAAGGAAGAGGAAAAAAAAACCTTATTATGTATAGATTTTATTTGTTGCATGCTGTTAACAATTAATAATTAAATTCGATTAAAATCGGTGGTACTATTTTATAAAAACCGTCGAGAGTTACAAGTGCAAACTTAATGAACGATTCGTAATTGCAACAGTAAAATGGTCAGTATGTAATAGCAAAATTGTAGATTGCAATCCGTTTTGATTACGAATTGATAATAATATATTTAACTGAATTAAGGTTCGTATTAACTATGTATATACTAAAACAGTCAAATTCTTCATAAATTACAAAATAGGATCTGGTGCTTCAATTGGAGCCTTGAAGAACTTTTAAAGTAATCGCGGTCGATCGATTTCATTATCATTTACAAAAAAAAAAAAACAGTACTATGTTATATGTAAACAGTATTCGAAACTGAAATTAACGTCAGTTGCTACACCGATGTAAACATGACATATTTCATAAAATCTCAGTTATCCATCAACAGAGGGCACTTTTGTATGTAATAGTTGTTTTTTTATTATTCGACAGAGGGCACTTTTGTATCTGAAAGTTGAAGTTGTCTTTAACCCTGAACGAGAAAGTTGTAAATAATTTCCCTTAGAAAATCTACACAGTGAATTCGTTAAGGGCTGATGATAAATAAAAAGTGAATTAATGATTATAAAGTGATTTCTGAAAGTGATGGCTAACCTTAAATGGTGTGCCGTATGAAACAAAAAACTATCAGTGCGCACGATACCCCAACGCCATTTTGAGGCGAAATTTTGTATGTAAGTGCCAAGTATTTCGCAATATTTTCATTTTTCACTCTCAAAACACACATATAATTAATGATTATCAATAGCAGTGAACATAAGACACATCTACGGTGCCATACAAACGATATCCAGTGTTGTGACAGAGGTGGACACTGTTATGTCTAGATGGGTTGCGGCGCTATATATCTAGTGCTCGCATTAATTAAATTAATAGTCCTATCTTTAACTGACAATTGTTTAGCTGTTTAATTATGTGTAGACCGAAGTTATACGAACTTTAAACACGAATATTCAGTAGTTTTGTAGTGGCTAATGCGTTGAAATTCGGCATGGGATTGTTATCTTTACTATTTCCGATTGTTGTAGATAGCGGGTGGCGCAGAGGGATGGCCCCAGAAGACGGGAGCGCCCTAATCAACTGACGGACGTTGCCGGCTAACAGCTGGCGAGAGCAGTACGTACTTAGCATCATTTTAATTTACACTTCTTACACTACTTATCACACCTAGTATTTGACTAGTAGACACTTTTGTCATTTTTATTCCTATACTATATATTATTACTATATACTATAATTAACCAAACTTTTGTAAATATTTTGACTTTATACCTGATTGAATGACCAGTGCTGCAGTGGAATGTTCATTTTGTATTCATCTAAATATTTGTACTATTAATCTAGGACAACATACTGTTTTAATTATCCAAATTTATATCTTATCTGATTTACAATTTGACATACTACCCAAAAAGGATAGGTTTATCCTTGATATGAATTCAATAAAACAATTTATTTATTTACTTTGTCTATTTAATATCCTTTTCCTTTCAACTTAAGTTTATTCATTATATATGTGTATAAATAAATGTGGAATAAACTCATTTTGACACTGAAACACTAACATTTTTGTCTACAATAAACAAGGTAAAACTAAGTGTGGTACTAAAAATAGTCCAAGATGTACTACTTGGTTCATTTATGTTTGTCTCCATATGAGTTGCAAAAAGAATTCTCAGCATGTGTGCAGAATTTATAAAGATATCATAAACATATATATATATATAAATAAAAGTGTAGGCAAGTTACATTTATTTCATTTTTATTAATATAATATTATATAAAAACAAAAGTTTCTAGATGTGTCTATGTTTGCATGATCTAGTCTTATGTTTGAAGTATGTTTTAATACCAATAAAAATCTTGTATGTTTTATGTACAGTACATTAAAACATAGAAAATTATTTTGCCCACATTGCTATACTATATAAAAAAGAAATTGATAAATATGTAAATAATAAATATGATTTCTGTATTCATTGTAATGAATTATAAAGTAACAGATACCTGCATGGTATCCATACAAATCCATTATATATGAATCTAATTGTTTTTTTATTTGATATTTGTCAGTTTATAAAATCACAAATTAAGAACATGTAAAACAAGTTTACTTGTAAAACTTGTAAACCTAAAAAACATGCATATTTAAAAATGATTTCCAATATGACTGAATAGTTTGGTGAATAATTATATTCACCATTAGTTTAACCATTTGGTTAAACTCTGAAAGAAGTACTTGACTTATTTTAACGAGAATATTTCTGTTTGAATTCTGCTACTGTTTAACATGAAATAAATTAAAAGGGAATAGTAATAACTACTAGAACTAGTAATTCAAACTGAATATGTGAAAATTAGACTGCAAGTCTAATTTTATTTGAAAAAATAATTTTAACCCAAAAGCACCTATTACTGTCATCAAGGAGATATGATATGATAATTTAAGATCACATGATATGCTTAATCAATTAATTAAAATAAATGACACATCTCAAGGTTATTTACAAATTGACTTTTTGTTTGAGTACAATATAGTGATATAATGAAATTTTGTGCTTCCATTAGGTTTTATCCTTTGATTTTAATTTCTAGAAACACCCCTGAACTCATGAACTAAAATTATCTTTATTAGAAACATTTAGCTGACTTTATATGTACAGAAATGCTATATACTGGCTGTATACATAAATGTAGATATGTATGTATGGATTTTATTTTTTTATGTACTTAATTATAATGGGAAACAAGCTGCCACCCCACCTGATGCTAAATAGTAACATGTGTCAATATACTAGAACAGTGCTATGGACATCATATTATTATGTGACCTCTGGAATTTCACTCATACATTACTATTTGGAGAACTGAGGTGTCAACCCTGTAATTTCACCTTTCAATCAAACCATATCTTACAAATTAACTGCTTGGTGGCTGACACAGACGATATATTTTAAAAAGTCTACTGTGGTAGAACTTTGTTATTATAAAACGGTTAGGGGCCCATGTAAACTACATCTAAACATTAGCTTTTGCAGGTTGCATTCATTACTAGATACAGACTTGCATAATGTATAATCTATAATAAAATAATGGTGTAATTATGTTTACATTGATTATTACTTCAATGTGATGATCGTGAAATCAATCGATATATATAAACTGTTTACTATTATTGAGCACTTGGCAAACAGATTATGGTACAGTATACCAGTTCACCAGATTGTAAAAGGAAATAAAACAGAAAAAAGGAAAAGGTCTGACCAGCTAGAGGCACAAACTCGACCAGATGAAAACAACAGCCAAAATCCATAGAAGATAAACAGAATCAACGCTTTTGTACATATGAGAAAAAGGCCAGCTTTGGTTCCTAATTTTCAAATACAAAAGGATAACAACTAGCAATTAAACCGCAGTAACTAGAAAAAACAAAATATGAAAAATAAAACATTAACCAACAAATTACAAATACTTCCCCAAGCCGGTTGGTCCCCGTGGGGAAATACGACCACATCCCTCCAAGTAAGAAAGCTACAGATTTAAATATAGCAACAATAAATGTCAGGTCATTGAGCACAACAGAAAAATTAACAGAATTTGAAATTGTACTTAACAACATTAAATGGGACATAATAGGTATTAGTGAACTAAGAAGAATGGGTGAAAATATAGCACAACATAATGATTACATATTATTTAATAAAGGAGAAACACTAGGTCTATATGGAGTTGGCTTTTTAGTCAAAAAATACCTAGCAAAGTTTATAGATGAAATTATTGGAATATCTGAGAGGATTGTAACTTTAAATATAACAATACCAAACAATCGAAACGCTAAGGAAAAATGGACAGTAGTGCAAGCTTATGCACCCACAGAATCAACAGCTTATGAAAATATTGAGAAGTCTGAGAAATTTTGTGAAGAACTACACAACACTATCCACCAAAGTCATAAAAATTTGATTGTCATGGGTGACTTTAATGCAAAGATAGGAAAAGAAGGCAAGGCGAAGAACAAGTCATAGGGGAGTACTCTTACGGTACCAGAAGTAAAAATGGTGAAAGACTAATCAACCTAACCCTCCAAAATAGACTACGCATTTTAAATAGCCTATACAATAAAAAAGAATCAAAGAAATGGACGTGGATATCACCCGATGTAAAATTTAAAAATGAAATAGACTTTATAATGACCAATAATAGAAAACCATTTATCAATCTAAAGGTAATAAGCCAAAATCAACTAAATTTTAACACAGATCACAGAATGGTAAGAACAGCATTGAGAACCGGAATGTTAAATAAAACAACACCATGCTACAATAATAAAAAACCACTACTTTGCAAAGGAAACCGCAATAATTTAATAGAGAATCTCAGCAAATCCTTAAAACAAAATCAGACATCAGACATCACCTTAGAAGAGAAATATAATACATTTGTAACAAATCTTGTGAGAGAAACAGAAAAATCGAATGAGATAGGAAATAAGCGAATATCAGAAGAGACGAAATCACTTTTAAAACAACGAAAAGAGCTGCTACAACAAAATAGTGATAACAAATTCAAACATGAAATAACAACTATTAGCAAAAAAATAAGTGCAACTATACGAAAAGAGAAAAAAATAAATAGAGCAAAAACTATACAAAGACATATAGAAAAAACAGGCGGCGTCAAGAAATCTTTCAAAGAATTAACAGACAAAAAAGACTGGCTGCCCAGTCTAAAAGACGAAACAGCAAAGGAAACTAGAAACAGAAAAAAGATAGTTGATATAGCATCTAATTACTACCGCAAATTATATAGTAGCACAAAACTCGACAGCCAAACCTGTAATGGAACTATTAACATTGAATCACAAAATGCTGAAGAAATTGTAACTAAAATTATACTGGCAGAAACCATCAAAGCTATAAGAACACAAAAACATGGCAAACCACCAAGCTCAGACCAAATAACAAATTAATTACTCAAGGATACAATAAATGTAACAGCACCTAAATTAACAGCAATCTATAATGACATCCTTGAATCTGAAAGAGTACCCCCAGATTAGACTAAATCAACTATAGTACTAATACGTATAATTAGTAAAAATCACAGGATCTTACCACGTTTTATATTTATTTGTTTAGTTTTAAATATAAAACGTGGTAAGATCCCGTGATTTTTACTAATTATACGTATAAATTATGACCGCGTCAAGTTTCAATTTAATTTTTATGAAATTGAAAATTACAGGCCGATAAGCATAATGACAAACATATACAAAATATTTTCTAAAATAATACTATCCAGAATTACAAATACATTAGAAGAAAATCAACCCAAGGAGCAGGTAGGGTTTAGAAACAACTTCTCAACACTAGACCATATACATGTAGTCCGGCAAGTAATGCAGAAATACAATCAGTATAACAAAAAGTATTATATAGCATTTGTAGATTATAATAAAGCATTTGACACGCTTGAACATGAAATCATTTGGACAGCTTTAAAATCACAAGGAATCTGTAACAAATATATAAACATCTTAAAAAATATTTACTCAGTAAGTAAAAGTAAAAGTAGCGCAGTAATTAAATTAAATAGAACAAGTAAAGAGTTTCCAATAAGAAGAGGAGTACGACAGGGCGACCCAATGTCACCAAAAATATTCTCAGCGGTGTTAGAAATGGTCTTTCGTAACTTAGAATGGGATCAATATGGCTTGAAAATAAATGGAGAAAATCCCAACCACCTACGATTTGCAGATGATCTAGTATTATTTTCCGAAAACAGTAGGGACTTAGATATTATGCTGCAACAATTGTCATACCAAAGCTTAAGAGTGGGGCTCACTATAAATCCTAAAAAAACAAAAATGATGACTAACACAGTAAAAGTACAAATATTTATCAACAAACAATTGCTAGAATACGTACAGGAATATATATATCTAGGTCAAATAATATTAACAGAAGATATCATGCAAAAAGAAATAGAAAGACGAGTCACAAATTCGTGGAAAAGGTACTGGTCATTAAGTGAAGTGATGAATAATAAAGACATATCATTGAAAGAAAAAAGGAAAGTCTTCAACACATGTATCCTGCCCTGTCTAACATATGGGTGCCAAACTTGGAGTACTACAGAAAAACATTTGTAGAGACTAAGAGTATGTCAAAACTCAATAGAAAGAAGTGTTATCGGTGTTAAAGTAAGAGACAAATTAACCTAACCACAACCGCCTTATTGTAACGATACATGTGTCCTTTGTTATATTGTTTGTGCTTCTTCTTTACTGTACGTTGCAAATAAAGTATATTCTATCTTTCTATCTATCTATCTATCTAATAAAAATAAAAGAAAAAACAAAATTTAAAAACGTTGAAACAACTGTTAAATCTATGAAGTGGAGGTGGACAGGCCACATGATTAGGGATAAAATACCAAAATGTTAACAGTAAATAAAGGCTTTTAATATTATGTTATTATATTATTATTATTTTATATATATATTATATATCTCCCATTGATGAGGTAATAGACTGATCATTGCGGGTAAAAATCACCAAACTATTATTATTATTATTATACCAGTTCAACATATGACTTAATGACAATGGCTAGACAGTATGCCCAATGATTATGCTCCGCAATGATAATGAAAGATAGAGCAGAATACAGTTTTCTTTATGCATGTACTAATGTTCTGATAGCACTGTCAATGAAGAAATTGACCACTCCTCTATGACATGTTGTGACATCTTATAGCAGGTAGAATTCCTTATGATTGACAAATTACTACATTTCTACAGTGATGCTTGCATTGTTATATTTCTATGTAATATAAGCAGTGAATTCTTTGATATAAGTTAAGAGATTTCAAGAGTTCAGAGAGGTCTAAATGCCGTGAAGTATACTGTATATAAAATTATAATTGTTGTCCATAATATTTATACAGGTTCATGTTTACAGGCCTTTAATGCTCTACCTTCCCCTGTGACACTAAATCTTATAATCGAAGTGATAATTGCCTATGTTTATTCAAAAGCAATTCTATCGATTATCAATTTTCTTTTTGATTATTTTCATTAAATTGCTTACCTATGTAATAATTTACGGACCAATTCCCAAATTATTTGAATGAATTATTTTTGGAGTCCACTGCTCAGTTTTTAAACTGTATTAGTTACATTTGGTTTTTTTTACTATATTTGTTAATATAGATATTGATTACTTCCAGATAAAAATGCCACGACCTGGCAGCCTTAAGGATCCAGACATCGCCGAGTTATTTAGTAAACATGACCCCGACAAGATCTTTGAGGATCTACGGGAAATCGGGCATGGCTCCTTTGGTGCGGTATATTATGCTCGATGCAACCTCACCAAGGAAATCGTGGCCATCAAGAAGATGTCGTACTTGGGAAAGCAGAGTGAAGAAAAATGGCAAGACATTCTGAAAGAAATCAAGTAATAATACATAGTAATATTATAAATGCGAAAACTTGTCTGTTTTATAAGTTTTATAAGCTACATATTAAATTGGAATAATATCCTAAACGGATATTAATTCAATTTAATATGTAGATATATAGTATTAATGACAGACATAGGCTATACTTTATCTTAAAAATAATTTAGAAGGGAAAGAAGTTTGTGCAAACGCAATTGCAACAGCTAGTAATAAATAAGTATGCATTAATTTAGCATGACGTCGTTAGTATTATTTTTAGGGAAAAATTAAACCAGAAATTAAAAACAGATAAACCATTGTGGTGCAATTTTGGCCGTTTGGCACAGAACTGTTTTAGAAGCAACTAATGCTATCGATTTGATATAGGTATAAATGTTGTTCGGTGATTGTAAATTTTTTTATACCTATTTTCGAAATATAATTATTTGAAGAATTGAAATATATGTACAATGTACGGATAATTGTTTAAGGATCGTAATAAGTGAAATCGTCACCCATGTATTCTACTCGATCGTTACATATAGAGACATTGAATTAATTTCGATAACTACATACAATTGAACATATCAAGGAGTTATTTTGAAGTAATTTTAGTCTAACTGCATAAACACTGTTTAAAAAAAAAACATAAAAATATAATTGTGGTAAATAACCCGTTTATATAATGTGCACAATTCTAACTATATACATTTTGTATAGATTCCTGAAGCAGCTTGACCATCCAAACACCATAGAATACAAAGGTTGCTACAAGCGCGAGCATACGGCATGGTTGGTCATGGAGTACTGTGTTGGGTCCGCTTCTGATATTATAGAGGTGATTTTTTTATTCATTTGATTCGGTAAATCTTTCCTTACTATATTACTTACATGCTTCATGGAATATCGTTTCCATTTTAAATCATACTTGGAAATTCAAAGGTTTTGTCCGCCCATGCCTTGGAAAATGACTATCTATTAAAATAAATATAAAAAGTGCTGTATTATACTTTAATAAATATCTTATTTTTTATAGTAAAACTTTTATTGTATAGTGAAAACTATTTATTCATATACCACAACTTAACCCCTTATGCGTAACTATTGTCCAGTTAATGATAAGTTTGATTTTATCAAAATTAGTCGTCTTCTTTATGTTCATTTCTCAATATTTAGTTATTTTTATATTATATAGTTATTTATATTTGCTTCTCTATGTATATTGCAATGCTTGTTGTAAGTGTAATGCTCCAGGTAATAATAACAGACATAATCCTATATGTACGGGACAGTCACAGTCCATATTCTACGAAACTTAATGACTAGGTTCCAGCCAAATATACGTAACATACTTCAAATTATATGAGATCATAATTGTCTTCGATTCTCAGAAAGAATACCTCACAAATCAAATTGCGGGGTGACGTATTTATAGAATCATAATACGAAAATTATGTCCTAAAGCATCTTCTTGCATTTTTTTTACTCATCTTTTCCACTCATTACAATGATAGCTGTATACATTCCTTTATATACTGTACTGAGTTGAACAGTTATTAAATTACCTACTGTAGTATTCACTATGTCCATATATAAATTAATATATCTTTCATATTTTGAAATTGGTCTTATAGTACCACAAAATGTCTTCCACATTTCTTATCCACTCTGTCTCTTTTTCTTTTTATTATGTTTCATTTTAGACAATCTCATAAAAAGAATAATACAAAACCCTTGACGTTCATAAGCGCATATAATGTACTGCATGTGTAAATAATTATTGATTTGATTTGATATATCTAGTTTATACCCAACAAGTTATCTTTTACACTTTTTTTTGCCTCAAAACGAAATTACGTTGCGATATTAACATTAAATATTTATAGTTATTATTGACATTAAACTTACAATTTAGAAAGAAATACTTAAATGTGATTAACCTAATATAAAAATATTCAAATTTGATGCATTCATTACTAATTGTAAAATTGTGTTTATTTTTAGGTTTTATTTTACAATGCCGTACACAATTTGTATTGTTATTGAACAAATTACTATGACTGTTTTATATAAATACCTACATTATACAATTTACGTAATTTTAATTGTAAAGTTATTGTATACCACAATTGCAATCTTACTCTTATCTTGCTCAAAAATGATGCTCAATGGAGAATCAGTGACTAATCCATGACCTTACCTAATCAATGCCCAATGAGTAAAAGAACAATCTTACTTATATACATTACAATAAGCTCTGTTTATCATTTTAGTTACTTATCAATTGTCGATTAATTTATTGTGACAACACACATTTTATCAATCATTATCACTTTAGTTTATACAAACACCGCGGTATGAACGAATTCCCCTCATCTATTGAGTTTAAACTGTATACATTTAACTTCACATAATAACTACTAATCAAAACGAGTATTAGATACATTGTTCAGTATACCTATATGAAGTTTTAAATTTAATTTTATGTGTGGTCTGTGTGTAATATGTTATTTTACACACCGCCTTAAATATTATGGTCTATTTTCGCATGATACAAACAGTTATATTCATGAGTATGATTGTTTATAAAAGTTTGCGTGTTTCCTATGAATTACGCATATTACAAGTCCGATTTAGTTTAGGACTAGATGGCTCTGTGTGTATTGTCTTGGGGTTATTATTTTTCTGGATTTGTCCTACATGTTCATTGTTTTTTTTTTTCTTAATCAGCATAATCGTAGTTCACTTATCGACAATAGGTATTTATTTTTTTAAAGTATTTCTAGTGTTGTTTATTTCTAGTGTGTTATGTAAATATAAGCATTGCGATGACACATTTATTTATAATATTACACATCGAATAAAAATCACGGATTGTGTTTTGTTGATTACTATACCATAATTGATATGTTATACAAATATTTCGATATATGTATATAAAATATATGTAGAAGTGAAGTGAAACAATATTTTACTACCTTTGTGGTCTAGCGATTTAGCACACCGCCTTACTGCCAATGGTCGAGTATGCGTGTTTGTTTAGATCGAGCTATTTTCTATGTATATTATTTATGTACTTACGAAAATAATGTACATATTTAAGAATTTCTAATAGTTGTCTTAGTACATATATCATAATTTGGAAAATGACAATTCAAATTAAAAATATCAATGTTAACTGACACTGGTACGACCACTGTAAAGTACTAGTTTCTGTACCAAAGAGCCGTTTGTTTTATTTTAGGCACATATTTAATTTTTTGGAGAATCTTAAGTGGCTGAAGTGGCGGGAGAACGTTAATGTTGGAAACCCGTTGTTTTTCAAATATAGCGTTAAACAAACATTTTTGTATAGGTACATAAACGGCCATTGCGTGAGGAAGAAATAGCTGCGATATGTGAAGGTGTGGTCTGTGGGCTGTCATATCTACACAGCCTCGGTCGCATCCATCGCGACATCAAAGCGGGCAATATCCTTCTCACAGAGAATGGAACAGTGAAACTAGCGGACTTCGGCAGCGCGAGTATCAAGTGTCCTGCTAACAGTTTTGTTGGTACACCATACTGGATGGCGCCGGAGGTTATACTCGCTATGGATGAAGGACAGTATGATGGCAAAGTGAGTAGCTTGTATGAATTTAAAATATTTCTTAAAATTACTATACTGCAGCTTATTACTGATTGAGTAATGTACCCAATAAACCAGTAGTTAAAAATATAAAAAGTGCTGTATATATTTTGTGTACAACATTATCAGGGAAATTACATTATAATTATAATTAGAAAGTATATAATAGACTATAAATAAATAATAAAATATTATTGTTGCTAGGTTGACGTATGGTCACTTGGTATAACATGTATCGAGCTGGCAGAACGCAAACCACCCTATTTTAATATGAATGCCATGTCTGCGCTTTATCATATTGCACAGAATGACTCGCCAACTTTACAAGTAAGTATGAATTAATCTCGTCCTATTATTTTGTTATAAATATAAATAGCAGTTGCAAATAAATTCATTATTAATAGCATAATAATCAAGACCAAACATTTTTTTGTTAACATTATAATGTAGAAGGAATATAATAATACCGATTCTAATAAAATCTGTGAATATCGGCTAATAAATGAAAATGTTAATCTATATAAATATTTTTTTCATTTATAGAATGCTAAATTATCACTTAGTAACATATTATGCTGTATTTTATTTTAAAAAGAATTAGAATTTTTATTTTTCAATTTAAGAATAATTTTATTGTTGTTATCTAAACCTTATTTTAATATAAGTATATATATATATATATATTTTTTTAGGCGCCGGAATGGACCGATACGTTTCGCTATTTCGTTGAAGCGTGCCTACAGAAGAACCCACAAGAGCGGCCATCATCCACTAAGTTACTATCCCACCAGTTTATTTCACGACTACGCTCTCCACATGTACTCGTCGACCTTATACAGAGGACAAAGGCCGCAGTACGAGATCTCGATAACTTAAATTATAGGAAAATGAAGAAAATATTGATGGTGGATGCAGATAATGAGAGTGCAATTGGTAAGTACATCCTTGATATCTATCTTTGGCTCTATACTCTGTTCTACTGTAACTTATATAAAAGACATACAAACACTTTATTGTTAAAAATGTCACATAAGCACTAACTAAATTGATTTAGTAACATTCTTAAGGGTTTTAACCTTATATGTCCCCACTATTAGTAACAAAAGTTGTAGTAACACTTTCAAAATTGTACTTCAATGTATGTATGTACTATATATCCTTCTGTGTATGTACTTTAGTATATTATTTTTAGTTCTATCTTTGTTACTAATTTTTTTATATATTACTAGCTAAATAATAAATTTAAGTATTTTACTATAAAAAATACTACATGTATTGTTGCCATCATGTTTGTGAGGAGAAATAAATAAATCATATTAAAAAAAAAAAAATTAAATCATATTAAAAAAAAAAAAAATTAAATCATATTAAAAAAAAAATAAGAGACAGAGACTTAAAGATGAATGTAAGCATCTATATCGTTTATTGATGCTCCTCTTACTGTTGAAGTGTAATGTTATATAACATGAGGCTATTAACCAAACAAACACTGACTAATTTTGATCAATATACCAAGATTGTTCACTATATATAACAAGAGTAAAGTAAAATAGTGTAGTAAGTATTATTATTTGTCAATATCAGGTGATAGTGAGGAGACAGCTGAGGAAAGGTCAGGCGGCGACAGCTCGAAGTCAAACTCGGCGACGTCTGAACACAGCGCGGCCGGCGCCTCCAGCCAGAGCTCGTCATCGGGCAGCCTGCGCCGACGACCACATCCTGTTAGTTATCACCAATTATAATCCTTCCTAGCAACTTGCAAATCCAGATTCATGCTGGTGCAATTACATATAAATGCAATATTTTTTAATCAATTATATATTACTCGCTATTAATGTAACTTTCTGTAAGTATTTTTGGAAGTGTTTATTCATTTTTTAATTTCTCTCTTACAAAGAGAAAGTCATACCCTGTTATAATGTTAGTTTGGACTAGTAAAGTCAGTTATATGGATTTATCGTTATGAATTTGACTAGCTTATTGACTGTAATAAACGATGTTAGTTATTTATGTAATAGATAAATGTATATAAAATTTTATTACAAATACATTACTATTAAATAAAAACTATCCTAAGCCTAATTTTATTCAAGTTTATGTATTTACTATGTGGTTATTTTTATTGTTTACACTTAATTGTATTAATATAATTTATAATATCTTTACTAGTTGAACGCCAACCACCACAGTCAACACTCACAACAGCAGCCGTATCAACATCACAACCACCAGCATTCCTCACATTCTACCAGGTGAGAGCCGAATGTACTATACTTTATATTACTTTTTTATATATTATATAATGAAATATGTGCCAATTCATAATTTAAAATAACATAATATATGTTATTACGTTATTTTAAATTATTAACTAACTGCTTGCATGCATATAACTATGAGGCTTAATTATCATTCTCTTATGAATTAGTTGCATGTTTATATTATAACACATAATTTTCGGATCAGTGTCAATTTTTCTATTTCAAGTTCAAGTGAAAACAAGTGCATGTGAAATTTCATTTCAGAGTACATAGTTGCACTGCTCATATAAACAATTGCACAGTTCACACGTAGTTAGCGGCACCTATGCATGTCCCTTTCAGAAGTCGCAAGCGCAAGCTTTACTCATGTTGCTGTTTCGTACGCAGAGAGAGCGAGAGTACTCTGCCAGTGCACGACGACTACGTGAACCGCGACGCGTTGCGCGATTACGCCAACCGCGACTCGCTCTGCGACGACTACAGCGACGACTACGCCAACAAGGAGGCCATCCGAGAGGCGCAGCGCGAGCGCGAGCGCGAACGACACGCAGACTACCGCGAGTACGTCAACGCGCCCGCCGCCTGGCACGACGCCGGCGACGACAACCGCAACACGCAGCGCCGGCACACGCACAGAAGTCAGTACACGTATTACAATCTACACTAACAGTAACTACTCAGTTGGTGATCAACTGAAAGTCTTTTTGTCTTTTTTTTACAAACAGTAAGACCCCATTTAACGCTGTTTAGGTTTAGCGCCCCTTTATTTCAACTCGATATTCCCCGAATTTGTGTTTTACTAAATTTAATACTTAACTAATATTCTACTCATCTTCTCCTAACCCCACTATTTACATGTTAAGATAGACTCGTATAACGATGTATGTATCTATCTCTCTATCTATATTTTGAGATCGGTTCACCATGACTAGCAAATTTGTTGTGGCAGTCTGTTGACGGGAGAGAACTGTCTCATTACTTATTAATTACTCTATTTTTTCTCATCAGTGAATAAAATCCCATGCATGATGTCTTTTAAGCATTCTGTAGATATGGCTTATGTAGTGTTGTTGCAATATTAGTATGTCCCTATACGATCCCTATGTATGTACTTTTGTTTTGTGTACTACTCCTTCTCTGAATATTCTCATTCCCGGTACTCATCCAATTCAGTTGTTCTGATAAATCTTTTTATGTAACTAAAATTTTGAACGACATTACTATATATCTCACAGATAGTGGCAACCTATACCTATGGGCATGAATAATATAAAAAATATCGTATAAGAAATATGACTATGACATCCATATTCTTTCATGCATTTCCATTCTGGAGGAGGAGTTACTTTTTATTCTTATAACATGACAATGGCAAATAAGCATGCGGCCAATCTGATGTAAATAGTGACCATATTTCATACTTCATTAAACATGACTTAAAGTCGTCCATCATTGGAAATAGGTGAGACATAGGTACCTAAGCAGTCAATTTTTTAAGGGTCCACCTTTATATAAAGTGTTGTTGTCTTTATACATAGCTTCTTATACAGAAATATCAAATAAATCGATTTGTGAGATTCTCTGAGTATGAACCGTCCGTTCGTAGCGTCCTTATGGGACAGTTACCTAGATACCTCAATATAATACTTCCACTTAATTATGGCTAGTAAGACAAACTAAATATTATTACTAAGCACTGCTGTGTTTAAACTGTGTCACCCCACTTATTTATTATATAAGATCAATATTTTTATGTGCATTTGGTCAGTCCATTTTCATCTGTACATCGCCTCAACCGACAACATCGTATTATTACCTCCAGTCCTCAATATAGTTAAATTAGCTGTTCCCGCCTTCATCCGCGTGGAATTTAACTTTATTTTTCTAAAATAAAAGTAGCCTAAAGAACTAAATATTATTTTGTTCGTCTTAATTAATTCGTTCCATTAGGTACTGATAGGTTCAAACTAATACATTTACATCCTGCATCATCCCTTATTTTATCCCCATGGAGGTTGAATTTATCGACATCCTATTTAAGCGAACATCTTCATTATAATATCTTTAATTTCAGTTCAATCAGTCGAAAATCTTAGACGATTTATACATACTTTCTTTCCCTATTTTATCCTTTTACGGGTGGAATTTATCAAAATCCTTTCTTAGTGGATACCTACGTCATAGTAGCTTTATGCATGCAAAGTCTCAGCCCGATCGGTTTAAAATTGACAAAGTTTCATACAAACTTTCATCCCTTTACTTTTTTACTTTATCCCCTTGGGGGTAGAATTAATCAAAATCCTTTCTTAGCGGATGCCTACGTCATAACATCTACCTGCATGCCAAATTTCAGCCCGCTCCGACTAGTGGTTTGGGCTGTGCGTTGATAGATCACTATGTCAGTCACCTTTGAGTTATATATATTGAAGAAGATGACAGGTGAAAATAAAAATGATTAAGAATGTAGTTATGTTAACTGTTATCTATTTTGATACTTCAGTAAATTAAGTTGAAGTACAAAATAGATAACATTTCTACGATTTCAGACTAGCTATATAATGTACAAATAAACCAAATGATTAAATTTGTACTGATATTGTAAATTACAGGTGTAAGCAATAATGTGTCTGCGGCAATGTCCCTAGTGTCCGAACACGGAGCCAACAATTTCGCCACAATACGAACAACTAGTATTGTTACCAAACAGCAAAAGGAACACAACCAGGTATATGACAAAGCCACTATAATATTGTTAAGAGATATGGTATATATTTAAACAGTGTTAAACAGTTAAAAACCATTGTTATAAACGCGCACAAAAAATGAAAGAAAAACATATACTCAAGAATATTTTGGCGATAATAAAAAAAGGCGACGAACAAATCGGAATGTACTGTATACTATTTGTAGGATAGTTAGTTTTTATTTTATCGTAAGTATCTTATATAGTCCTTAAGAGGCCTTTCACATTTTTTGGCCTAAAAGCAGGGTCTTTGGGGTTCTGGTTCTAAGAAATTAAGAGTCGGATATACATTTTGATTCCTGAATTATATAGATAGATATCTAATCTTAAAAACAACATCTTTGAAATGTTAATTTTCTCTTTGTTAGTCTTCCTAATTTCTAAAATAGTTTATTCAAAAACGCTAAGAGACAAAAGTTTGGGGTCGTCGTTCATTAATAAACAAACATAAATTGATATGATATCTTTACTAAAACTTGATAATTACTTTATAAATTGAGACAGCATCGTCCTTTTTTTCATTTTCAACTTAAATATATAAAAAATTGATCATAATTAAACCCGAAATTTCAACAAAACTTTGCTATAATCATTTCTAATTTTCTCATAAATACAACGAAATTTTTGCATAAAAAAACACAATAATAAAGTTAATATACTTGTAAATTAGAAATATAAAAAAAAAAATATAAGTTTCTAAGAAAAAAACAAACAATAATAATAATTTAAAGTTGTATAAATTCCGTTGCACCAAAAGTAAATTCTCAGTGCTGCGCTAGCGCTCGTCGAGGTAGGACCTATGCTATTTTTTACGACACCGCTACGATAAGACATTCGTAAACATTTGTCAGTGAACATTAGTATGGTGCGACTAAAAAATTTTGATAATTTAAGTAATATTTAATTAATTTTGCTAATATATACTTATTTCTACGAATATTAATTTAAACTTATTGTTAAATATACATATACAGTCAACCCTCCTATAACGCTATTTTTTTGTATGGACTATAAGAAACTCGCCATACGATAAGACATTCGTAAACATTTGTCATATGTGAACATTAGTATGGAAACAAAAACTAAACTAAAAAACTGCGACTAAAAAAAATTTTGATAATTTAAGTAATATTTAATTAATTATATATCTTTCATGCTAATATATACTTATTTCTACGAATATTAAACATTTAAAACTTATTGTTAAATATACATATATATAATATTTATTTTAGCATGCCAAGACAAAAGTACAGTTATGCTACAAATAAAACCTAACTACCCTGCTGCACTATGAAAAGCACAAGAGCATGGTATTTCGTCACACTAATGGCAATTAATTGTTAAAATTAAAAAAGAGAACATTTTAGTATTTTTAAAAATAACGCTTATCTGAGAGAAAAATGTAAACAAATTTTATTTTGTAGTTTTTTTCTAAATCAAAATAGGGTTATTGTTTATAAAAATACCATTATTATTTTTACGTACATTTGTCTTGTGTTATATCATCTAGTATGCAATGTGGATTGTAAATAAATTACCAAATTATATATAAATTATATTCCTTAATGTTTAGAGATATTTTATCCAATTTACTTTATTTTATTTTACACAATACAGATATTTCTAAATTGCAGCCATTCTGTTATTATACTCGTTGGACTTTCATTACTGTACAGTTATGTCAAATAATTATGCGTGTTTGGGTGAAAAGTCAACAACATTATAAATGTTTTTATTTAGAGACTAGCTTTTAGCTCGCGGCTTCGTCCACGTGAATATGGGATATATAGGTTATCGCGCGTTTAAAGATACAGTATTGGGACGTTATATATAAACCTTCCTCTTGAGTCTATCTATTCTGTCTATTAAATAACAACGAATCAAAATCTGCGTAGTTTTTTAAGATCAAAACATACATAGATCTATTACATGTGTAGATGATATTTTAACCGGAAATTGAAGCCGTTAAAATGGTATTGGCAGATCAGTTGGAATCATCGGTATTCTTGGTATATAAGCTGGTTGCCCAGCTAACGTACCGGTTATAATGGTCTACAATTAAATTGTCTTTCAATTCTTTAGTAAGCAACATATCCAATGGGACGCCATTGTTCGGCGGGCTTAAATTTCATGACTGGATCATGCTTTTGAGAAATTCCTTCCTCAAGTTTAAGCAGTTAGTGTGGGAAATCACTATCTGTGCTTCCATAAAAATGAGCTCTCAAATTTGTCAGTAGTTTTAAACTTTCAATTAAAGTCCATAAGGGAGACGATGTTAATGACACAGAGAGTCTTTCAGAAATCTGCAGCAAAAGTATAAAAGTAATCCCGCCAATGAGAGCAGAGGTGTTTCTAAGGTCTTTTAAGGTTCTGTCCAAAATCTCTATAGCTCATGGTGATTTCATTACATATAATCAATGAGGCGTCTTGTAATAATTTATAAAAAGGTTTGATATTAACAAATAATTATTTATCAAGAATCAAGAATCGGCCAACCAAGAACGAGAAGCTGCAATATCAGCCAATATCATGCGGCGACGTCAATGATGCAGGAACAGATAGATAGAGAGAACAGGAATGATAGCAGTTGAAGCTTTTTTTTTACAACTTAGAATGGCAAACAAGCTGACGGCTCTCCTGATGGAAAGGCGTACCCGTCGCCTATATACATGAGCAGTACCTGACATGTCCATATCAGCATATTGTTTCCCTCATGCGTTGCCATTCCTGAAAACTCGGGTGTTATTCCCCTGTACCCTGTAAATTCACTACCATATATATACACAGGTAGTCTATATAGATAGATATACATATACACAGATAGTATACCCTGAGAAAGGTCATAGACTACTTTATAGTGCGAAAAAAGTATTATAAGAGATTAAAAGCGGAGATGAAAGGTTGTATAAAAGTATCGTCGTTGTTTAAGTGAAACAATGAAACTTTTTTAGGTTATAATCTAAATATATTTCCTTTATTTGGTCAATTTCATTATACCACGCTGACGAAGTCGCGGACACACCTAATATACATATAAGGATGGGACCTTTAAATCAAAACAAAGCCTTGAAAACACAACTATTATATATAAATAAAATAATTATTTGCTAAGTATAATATTTAGAACAAGTGAATATGGCAATAATGTATCCGACTCTTATAATAAATTATATTGTATCTATTAATAAATAAACTGAATTAATATGTAAGAAGAATTAATTAGGAAATTTATGTTATAGTAATTTCATCTTCCTGTCCTTATCCCAATTATTTGTTACTCATATTACTTGGCTTTTAGTTGTACAATCAGCCAGCATCCTGACATCAACCCTCTAGGAATAATATAATAAAAAAATATGGTCATTATTATACTTTGATAATTAAGATAAATCACGTTATTTAAAAAATCCAATAAGTAGTTTATGTTACTCAGTTAAGTAGAAACATATCACATTATTAATTAAAATATTACAAGGATCAAAATGGTTCATACTAAATCCACACCGATTGCGCTACACGGTTATTTGCGCCTGTGTGCGTGTATTACTGTGTGTGTACGTAAATCCATGCGATTAAACCTAAAGTTGAGCAGCATCATTTTGTAATAGGCCTCTTAATCCTAATGGTAGTTTATCTTCATCAATAACTTTTTTTTGTAATTTGTACGGTTAATGGATAAATGGCTGCCGTCACCAATATATACAAAGAACTTTCAAAATTAGTATCTGATTAACTGAATTTGAAACTTACACTTGATTACATATGAGGTATTGTTGCTTTACAGGAAATGCACGAGCAGATGTCCGGATACAAACGAATGCGTCGCGAGCACCAGGCGGCGCTGCTGAAGCTGGAGGAACGGTGCAAGGCAGATGTGGACGCGCATAAGGCGCAACTCGACCGCGAGTATGACACGCTGCTATTACAACTCTCTAGGGACCTCGAGCGACTCCAGGTGAGTCCATTTGTAATTCCAATTTTATATATTGACAATCAATCTGACGTCGTTACTCTCTGACTGAGGCATTTTATGTATGTGTAAAAGTTACACACAGTTATATGAATGGCAAACAGACTGCATCTGATGGAGAATGACAATCGTCGCTGTACAGGAACAGCAGAAAAGATATTACGGCATATGGTGACCCACTTTTTTTTTAGGATGTTAATGAAATGGTGCACCTGCCTGCGCTAACGGTTTTCGCTGGCGAAACTCGTGAGGAGGATGATAAGATGAATATGTGGTCAGGTCAGTTAGCCCATCGTGACAAACTTACTAAGAATTTTTTCACGATGGTTTCCAGGAGGACCCGCATGGAGGTCGACCTAAAATCGTAACCATTACATTGCTAGTAATGGGTAGTACTAGTTTCCATTACTAATAACCTTCTTCCCTCCGGTGCCTCACGTTAATTCTATTGTGGAGGACTAACTTAACTTCCACATCCTGTAATTTTAATTGATGATGATGTCCAGACACGGCACGGACAAGAACTCGAACGCAAGCAGAAGCAAAGCACGGCCGCAGAAAAGAAGTTGTTCAAGGACATCACGGCACGGCAAGAACAAGAGCGGAAGGCGTTCGAGACGCAGCGTAAGCGCGAATATAAGGCCAACAAGGAGCGCTGGAAAAAGGAACTCAGTATGGACGATGCCACGCCTAAGCGGCAACGGGACGCCACTCTACAGTACGTATTTTTTGTTTTCATAATAATGAATCAATTTACGCTACTATTTTAACGGTTGCGCAGTGGGGCACCAGTGGATGACGTTAAGTTAGTTTGTCTATCATGGCAAAATATCCAGAAAGTTATGGATAATGATGAATGAAAAATGAATCAATCGTTCCTAGGGGTAACCGTGTGGAGGTCAATATGACATGGTATATTACTAGCAAAGGGATTATTAGTACACATTACTAAGAATCCAATAGTGCATTTTCAATTCACTATCATCTTATCATACTCTAAACCTTTAACCTTACAGTGATCAGATTAATTCATAAACTAGGATTAGACAGCAAACTTGACAAAAATCATCAATCACTTTTTGAAAAAGCATTCAGGAATGTGTAAATCAGTAAAACAAAACAGAGGCTTTTTTTATGATAATTTGTGTAACCAATATATTTTTATATGACCTGCTCAGGAAATCAAACGGTACATGTTGAAAAGCATAGTTGAAAGACAGTTGTGGTATAAATTTATAAGAAAGTATGTAAAGGTACATGTTTCCTTCTTATAGATTGATTATTATTTAAAATAGATTTTGTCACAGCCTTTTAACGGCTAACGGGTAGGAGCCAATTTTTTATAAAGTATTAGGAATTTAAATTGGAATTTTTTATTTCTGTATTTAGGTCACAAAAAGTCAGCCTAAAGCAAGCGGAGGCGGCGGAAGAGGCGAGGCTAGTTCGGTCGCAGCGCGAGTACCTGGAACTTGAGGTGCGGCGCTTCTGTCGCCGGCGCATGCTCGCATTACATCACAAGGAGCAAGAACTGTTACGAGAGGTCAGTGTAGATAATGTATTTTTATCCAGCTTATGTAATTATTTACATTTTCAATTATGAAGCATAATTTACATTTTTTACGTAATTGGAATATCAAACAAACAGAACTTGTATACTCAACAGCACTACATCACATTATCATGTACTTCGCGTAAGTGGTCGTTGCATACTCGGGCATTGTTATTCATGAGAACTAAAATGTCATGCTTCTTAACCTGTAAATTTATTAATATTAGTTAAAATTCTTTTTGGTTAACATATATATAAATAAATGAAGACTAAAATATATTATAGATAATATAAGAATGTAAATTTATACTGGTATTTATCAGGACCATACAAAGTTTAATCAAAAAATTTGAATGTCAACTTTCTTTAATACACATTATGTAAAGAACATTTTTTTACATTATTTGTACAGGAGTTGAACAAAAGACAAAATCAGCTGGATCAGGCTCACGCGATGCTGCTACGACATCACGAAAAGACGCAGGATCTGGAGTATCGCCAGCAGAAGGGCGTGCATGCGCTTAGGTATGAATTAATATTTTTATATTTCAGTACTATTCTATTTAAAATTTAAAATGTAAGAGTCGTCGACATACAGTAATGATTCTTGCGAAAAAATAATAATAATGTAAAGTAATGTTTTCACACTTTTCCAGGGAAGAGCAACTGTCGAACCAGCATGCGACCGAGCTGGCTAACCAGCGCGAGTACATGCAGCGAGCCGAGCATGAACTGCGCAAGAAACATGCATTACAACTCAAACAGCAACCTAAGAGCCTCAAGGTCAGTTACAGTTTTATATCCTACAGTAGCGTTTCTGTAACTGGAATGACAAACAACTTATGGAAAGTAGTAACCGTCTCCTAATGTGTCTATAGGGTTACCTCAATCTTACATATTTTTGGCGCTAAACAGCTTGATTTGGTTTGTACTGAATCTAATAAGTACGGAGGTGTGACGTATTAGTACGATTTGAAATGCATGAGAGGTAGGTACCACCGACGTCTATACGCATATCAATATATAATATATTGAAAGTATCAATAATAATAATAACATCCTGGAGAATTCACACCGCTCCATCTAGTCCCAAGCTCAGCAGAGCTTGTGTTATGGGTAGTGAATAACTGATAAAAATGTTTTTTTCTTAAATAGGTTTCTAATACATAAAACCTCTAGATAAATACAATCATACACATAAATGCGAATGTTTGTATTGTACTGGTCAAACAATGTCCAAAACCACTAGACCACTGAGGCCGTTAATATTGCAAAAACTGTTGTTCTGTAATCATCAGTATGTAATCCTAATAAATGAAATGTTGAAATTGTTTACAGCAAAAGGAAATGCAGATTCGTAAGCAGTTCCGAGAGACTTGCAAAATACAAACGCGTCAGTACAAGGCACTCAAGGCGCAAATATTGCAAAATACTGCTAAGGTACAACTCAAATTATATTAAAAATTATGAAAAACAAGTCAAACTATACTAGTACTTACACGAAATTGCTTCAATGGTTTCCTTTTTTTTAACACAAAAAAACAAGTTCCTGCTGCTTGCCAAAAAATCCTTCCTTCCTACTGTCCACTTCTTTAATAATATAAATACATTGTCCACTACACTAGTCGACTGAACTGAGAATGTGAGAATAAAAAAGTAACTAGTTCAATCAACTGAATTGGATAATTGAACTACTATGAATAGTCATATTTATAACTGTTCCGTTATTGACCCATTACTAGCAATGTACCATGTCAGGTTGACCTCCACGTGGTTCCCCCTGGAAACCATCGTGATAAATTCCTGGTGAATTTGTCACGATGGGCTAACTGACCTGACCTCATGCTCATCTTATCATCCTCCACTGGTGCCCCGCCAGCGGAAACCGTTAGCGCAGGCGGGTGCACCATACCATTATCATCCGTAAAAAAAAACTGTTCCGTTATGGTCTGATATCTAAAATTATTAAATTATTTGTAACTTGAAAACCTTTTAAAATTTATTTATTTTACATTATTTTTACGCCTACAGGAACAACAAAAGGAAGTAATAAAGACTCTAAAGGACGAGAAACGACGCAAGTTAGTTTTACTAGGTGAACAGTATGATCAGAGCATCACAGAGATGCTACAAAAACAAACCGTCAGATTGGATGAAAGCCAAATGGTAAGTTAACCTTTATATATAATGAAAGGCCTTTATGTTCCACTAAAATTAAAGAATGATTTGTTTGACAATGTTTGCTATAACTTACCTATAGGTATAAGTAGATCATAGTGAATACTCAAATCTCAATTAGTATATACAATACTATGAGTATTGAATATTAATAAAAACTACTTGATTTGCCATCTAGTCTTCTAACAAATACATGTTGGACCAAAATAAACACATTTTCTTTAAAACATATTCATGTAGGTCATTTTAGATGCTTAGAAACTTTAGTTCCGTGTACGATTATTTTACGATCTCTATCAAGAATCTATCTCTAGTGTAAAACAAAGTTGCTGTATTTATGTTTGTTGCTTCATTTTCTTTTAAACCAGCCGAACGGCGAGTTATAAGAGTGAATTAAAGGAGAGTTGAAAATATATATAAAATATAAAGGAATCACCAAAAGAGCAAGGAGCCTCACATAGACTGCTGTGCGTTATATATAATAGATTTTATTTTACATAACGTAGTCTTAGTGGTAACTAGGCAATAGTAATACATGAACTAACGATATTTCGTGATTTGTGGTACTCATGTATTGTTCATCCCTCTATTCCCTGTAATTTTATTGCCCATACCACAGATAATATAATATTACATACAGATACCCCATCCCATACAAGAAAATGGTTCCTTCCTAACTCGGGCTATTCTTCGGGCTATTTTATTTCGCCGCCGTAGGCGCTAGATGTCGCTATATCTGAAGCAGTTTGGATTACTAGTGGGTGCTTAGTAACAAAGCATGAAAATAGATGGCAGAGAATTCGGTCTACATGACATCTGTTTTGCAAAGATACGTACATAATAGATATATAACTGTATCGAACTCCTGATTGGGTACAATCGAAAATTCAATGTAGGTATAATATTGTTCGCTGACAGTCTACAGACACGGCTACCTATGTATCTATGTATCTATGTACTATGTTACAGTTACTTTTTTACATGCCTACTTTTTTTCTCCCAACGAAGATATGTCGTAACGCGTCTGCACTAAAATCGGGCTATCGGTTAAGGAGCAATAGCTCCTTAACGAATAGCCCGATTTTAATACGGTTTTTTTTATTTAAATTGTTATGTGATAGTGATAGATTTTAGCTATAATCAATTGATGTGGATATGGGTACCTCATATAATTTTCAGTGTATAATTATTTCTCAATATGTAGTTAATTATGGTAAACTGGCAATTTGTAAAACTGAAAATAATATCTGCAAAACATCAATCTGTTATATGTAGGTTCTTTCAGGGATACTACATCGGTGCTAATGACATGTAGGTACTTATTTTGATGTTATACCTATTTGTAGAACCTTCGATATCTACAAACTACGCCTTTACTGCTAGTTTTTTGGTATTTATGTAAGTTGTTATTCAGTTGAAATTAAGCTGCGAAATTACAGGATATTTGGACATAACATCTATGTTCTCCGGAATGATAACGTATGCGGGATATAGCGGGCACGACATGATGACGTAATGCTGTTTAATAATATATGTCTATGTATGTACGTCGGATAGCGTCGTGGTTGGATGGATCGTCAGCTTATTTACCATTTCAGTTAATAATAGTAGGTAGTAACTTTTGACAATATGGATGAAGGAGGGTAACGGTGATGATGATGAGATCAATAATGACTGTTGACGATAGTGACGGTGGTATTTATTTATGACCACCATAAAATTCATCATTGGCAGCATTCTCAACATTATCATCATTGTTCATCATGATGATTGAGATCAAATTAATTAATTGATTAAAAAAGTAGCAAGTATTAGGTAGGTACTAAGTCCTTATATGACTTAAATACAAGGTTCTGGGATGCTGTGATATACTACAGTCTCTAGATTTTGTTTCTTATTAGTATTCCACGACCAAAGTCTATAGACAGAGAAATATAGATTTACACAAAGTTTCTTGATGTAAATGGGAATTATTATACACATTGCATTAAAAAATATATATGATTACCATCTAATACAAAATCATTATGTAGTAAATAATTCCTGACATTTTAAATCGAATGAGATGAAACTAACATTGCATGAACACAACACTTGAAGATCATAACATTTTTATTTCAGGTAATAAAACACTTTTAAATAATTTATTAATCACAGAATAAACAATTGTTAATAATTTACAATAATATTTCTTTCACTGCTTGTCTGTTATACCACTAAAACTTCAAACACTTCTGTTATTTTTATAGTATATTCCAAATAAATCAATATCAAGAAATATAATATTTCATCAAAATCATTTCATAATTAATTCCTGGTACACAAAATATTCCTGGATTTGTTGATGAAGCAATATAATAATAATCATGAGCTTAAATCATAAACTTATTTGCAGTCGGTTACACATAATATAATTACTTGGAATTTCTTCTCATCACTAGTCCGTTGCTTTCTTACTTATTTAATTATATTATTAATTGCATTGTGATTAATAATTTACAGATTTTTCTTCTGCTTTTTTCTCTTATTTTTACTTGCATTATTATTTTATACAGTAAAATGTTCATATATATATATATATATATTTCTTATTCTTTTGAACTCCTGTTCTTTACAGTAAAAATGTTATTTATCTTCATCTGAATGACTAGGAGATTTAGAATATCATCTCTTATTTGTTTAAACTTTGTTCAGTATTAAGTTGTTGATGTCAGGAAAATCTGAAAACAATATCATATACCATGTTACATTTTCATGAACTCACATGAATGAATTTACATGAAAGTAACTAAACTGTAACCTTATTAGTACAATAAACATATTATTCATACATCATATTCATTCAGTTCTAATAAAATATAAAAATAATACTACTGTTTAGTACTTTATTTTGATTAATAATTTTCAGTATTTTCTCAATCAATCAAAAATTATAAAATCAGTGTTAGTTTTTTGAAGTTACATTCATACCAATAATAAAAACATAATAATACCACATTAAAGCGGTCACCAAGTACCTATGTTTATTATATTTTAATATGAAAGATACACACGCATACATATGCAAGTTTTTAACAACTTATAGTTATACCTGGTATGAGATAATCCTCAAAGACACGATAGTTTACTAAATATTTGTAGTAGTCCTTAGACACATTTAAATTATTGAGTTTGACAAAAAAATAAGAAGTTCAATGAACTCTGAACAGGGACAATTCAAAAGTTGAAGTACCTACTTAACTTAAATGATGAAAAAAGAGAAAAAATCCAATGCTAGTGAAAATATGTTTTAAGCATTTGACTTAAAGTCGTTTATCCTATTCTTTTATTCCTATATTTTATATTTTTAACATTTCATTTATGTTGCCAGTACTCGTTGTCATTTCGATATAATAAAAAAATATGGACCAACCTACGATTTTAAATCGATATTTTTATTTGTGATGAAATCTAATAATATAAATTATTAATAACCTACCCTTGAATGGAGATATTAAAAAACTAATTATCATGAATAGTAGGTACTAGGATCAGTAATATATCATAGTATTATGAATGATTATCGTTTCAAAACCTTGTACAATTTAGTAAGGTTGAAAATATCCTTCTACAAAAGCAAAATTCGAGTATTTGTAAAGTTTCTTATGAGTATTTTTAAAAATTCGAGGATCCTCATATTTAGCTATCAATGTCAGTAATTTATGTAGATACCATATAACACTTGTTTATTGAGGTATAAAGGTATAGCTGACCTTATATACTCTATACCACATTCAATTCTCATTCATTAAATTACAATAAGTAGGTATTTATTTTTTTAATAGAAGAACTATGTCACTAATGTCATTAATTGCTATAATTACCAGGGTGACCGCGTGGAGGTTGATATAATAGTGTACACTTGTATCAGATCAATCTAATTAATATTTCCCTCTTCAAGTTTCGAAGTTATGAGCGAACAGATAAATATATAGTACTTGCATACCTGTCAAAATCTCTCTATTTTGCCGTCGTCAAGTAAAAATTATGCATTGCAATTCGTTACAAATAAGAGTATAATACAAAATGATGAAATTTTACTGTTTGCAAAGACTAATTAAAAGCACCATCGAATAATGCGTTGTAATATCCTGTTATCGATTATTCGAAAAAATCGATAAATCTATGCATTTATTTTTAATATGGCAACACTTTCTAAATAAGTATTACTGGAATAATATGGTTTTCTTGTTTAGCTGTTTTATATTTACTTAAACTTTTTTATGTTTAATTTATCATAATAGTATAGTAAGTACTTATTATTTGAAAATATAAAATAAACATTTAAAATACGGTATACAAATGAAAACAGCGCCATCTATGAAAGTATTTTGGAAACAATAAGCCCCAATTAGCAATGATTAAATTGTAAACAAATACAGGGCAACAACAAAATGAGTAAATATATGAAAATTACTTTTCAAAACGCATTATTTCATTTTAACATCTATATATGATATCATCTATCTTTTTAAAAATAGATTAAACCTTTTTAAAAACATAGTTTTGGGTTTTAAACGATTACAAAACAATGTTGAATTCCATTCGATACCAATGACGCCATCTAAATCCGTTTTTCGAACTAAAAATGGCTACTATGCCATTGATCCCCACTGCCCATACCTAATCCTTCAACCAAAACAACTTACAAAGCAAGCTCATATATACAAAAGTGTATAATTTTAATCGCAGATGGAGTGCCAACAGTTGAAAATGCAGCTGGAACATGAGCTAGACATGCTGACGGCATACCAGAGCAAGAGTAAGATGCAAGCTGAGGCGCAGCGGAATAGGGAACGACGCGAACTGGAGGACCGCGTCGCTGTGCGGAGGGCGCTGCTTGAGCAGAAGGTCATCGTCATAATTCATTATTATTAACATTGTTTAGCACACTTGGTCTTATAAAGACAGGCTTTAGCCAAACTATTTCCATGTTGTGTTTATAGTATTATTGATAGAGGGCAAAAAAGGGAATGATGTATAACTGTTTAACAGATGGAGTCGGAATCGGCGCAGTTCCTAGCGGAGCGTGCGGAAAGAACACGTGATTTGCACGAGCGGCACGAACGCAACCTCGCACAGTTTGACGGCGAGAGCACACGTCTTGGCTTCAGGTATACTTACCATACTCTTATTGTATATGTACAGTATATGTGACCGATATTGCGGATATAACAGTTAGACAAGACAATCTTCCTTCAGATGGTCACAGGTTCATAACTACACATCTATATGGCTGTGTATTAGTGTAAAACAGGGATGTTAGGGAGCTCCATAACCGTAACCGAATCCGGAATAAAAGTTTCGGATAATATCAGATACGGGGCGGAACCTAATTGAGACACGTTACATAACCATTTTATTAGCTATTTGTATTTATCTTTTGAAATTACTTAATAATTCATTAATAGAAGTAGAATGCAACGAGCATTGAAACCCTTACACACCTGCAGTATCCGCTTGTATAATAAGTATTGTATTATTTACTTTTTTAGCGCTCTGGCGATCGCAGAGGGTAGCCGCGAGGGTTATGGCGACGAGGAGCAATCACTGTCCGGCTCCATGCTATCGCTGGCCCACAGCAACTCGTCGGCCAGTTTCCCAGCTGGTTCACTCTAACCGCTCAATCGTTCGACCGCTACACCGCTCGCGACGCTACATACGACATCCGATTGACCGGTAATGCTGTTGCCAAATCTCTACTCATTTAAAATTATAATGGCAGTAATAGTAGTTTCTCAGCACTGAATTTTGTTACCACTGATTTATAGTTACGTATATTATTAGTATACGTATATTAATAGTTTTTGCTCATAGTATGCCCAACCTTGATTGGTTAAATAATTGGATATTACATTGATTATGTTTATCAATTTGTTTTCCAATACATTAAAGGATTATGTAATCTGATATTAATTCAGATTACAAAAATCATAAATAAATGACAAACACGCCGATCGTGAATTTTTCGAAAGTATATTGCAATCTTCTTGTACCAGCAAACAATAATACAATATACAATCTTAATAAAGAAGGCATTCTCCCTTGTATCAGAGATTACATTGGTTAACTTATACTTGAGATGGAAAAACAGGAACTCACACATTGTTCTTTTATGTATGAAAAATTTTTTTTTAAAATAAAAACAGTCCTTACAACTCCCAATTTATTTATTAAATTGTGAAATGCCAAATTTTGCCACTGCTTGATTAGTGAAGTAAGAATGTAGTGAAATCATTGCATTCAGCATCATTGTTCTGAAGAACACTGCCAGATAAAGCTGAAGCAATTGGAGCGAAAGACGAAAACTTAAAAGAATATAAAATTTCTATAGTTACAAAAATATTAATGCAACAAATTTACATAAGTTTTAAAAATAATATTTATTAAGAATTGTTTAATTATTGCCTAAATGGCAATAATTAAACAATTCTTATATTATAATACAACATATTTGAAGGAATTACTCCTTGAATGACTTATTACATTGTGTTTTAAATTCCCTTTTTGATATAATTTCCAGACATTTAAGAGTTAGGAATTCATTTGTTGATATTATAGCAAAGAAATTGAAAATAACAGTTTTCTGTAGGATTTTTATTAATATTACCAATATGATTTTTTTCTTTTTTCATATTAATTGTGTAATTTCAAAGTACAAAACAAAAATATGATCGTTTCCTGTTTTCAAACAAAATTCATAAACACGAAGAGATAATAGTCGTAAATGTGGATTTGGCAACAGCATTAGTTCTCGTGTCCCATTGATTACTGAGACTGTCAGCCCTCCCGGTAAATGTTTGGCTGTAACACGGCAATATTGAATATTGTGCTTCAAATTATTGTCTATTGTATAATTTGTGATTATTTATGTTGTCTTCCAAGAAGTGCGTCAATATTCGCGTATTCAATGGTGACTTTTCGGGAGGGTATTTCCTATTTTGTTACACTATTAAGTTTATTGCACTCCATAGTTAATTATTTCGTGCTTGCAGTTGGACTAATAGCGAATATAAAATTAAAAATTGTCACACTTCCCATACACATTATTTAGATTTTCCGCCTCTATTAAATACGAGTATTATTTAAGTCTCTAATAATATGTCTATATTCCGAACGCTATAGCACGGTGCCGATAACAGCTGGTATTTTAGTACGTTTTGTTATAAAAATAACTATATTTTGTGGTCAAAATCGCAAATGATATTTCTCTACATACGCCCTTATGGCCTTTGTAATTTACCTTATATCTTTTGTACTACATAATTTATTTGCTCGCTCGCCTGCACCTTGCTATAACGCGCGATTGTGTATATATTACCGGCAATGTGTAATTCAGGTATTCTATACAGTACAATACAATACTGTGTAATGTATACTTTCACTGTTAGTTTAGATTCTATACACGTATTGTCGCCGGTAACATGTACATATAGTTTTACTATAGACTAAAAATTTGAGAATACCTATGGATTACCCTAAAAAGTTAGTAATATATTACTGGAATGACGTTATGAATGATAAATTTAAATATCCTTATAGAACAAAATAGTAATAAAATCACACAAATGACGTAACCGTTATTAGTCCCACCGCGCGATATACTCAATGTGTTTCTGGTATATAATACCGTACTTTAGTCTCTAATTATATTTCATGTATTTTTGTCGTGTTCTGAAATAATTTCAAATAAACCACAACCAACAAACAATATCGATGTAATAAAGTAAAATCCGGTACTTACGAAGATGGTATCTCCTAGTTCGAGATCTTTAATGAAGATGTTTTAGAGTAAGTTCAGAAAAGTCATATTTTATATATCTTCATAATTATCAGAATGTGCCAGAAACACGTTGCTAAAATAATTAAAAATCGTATTAATATGTAACTGATGAAGTAAGCCTGTGTGTTAATAGTTGGGTATATTAAATGATAATGTGATGATGTGAGAATGGAACGCTTATCTATTAGCTAACTCATAATGCGACTCTGTACCGTCACTATTGATTATAGGCTAACACCAAAATTACCAAAAATGCACGTGTGTGCTTAAAAATAATAGGTAATTTGATTGATACATGCCTGATAAACGATCTCCTAGATATAAGTAATTTTATCTTCGAGTGTATTAGCATAGAAGAAAATCAATCATATATTAAAAAGTTAGACCGTCCATCTATAAAAAAAATTAATGTAAAATAAAAAACATATTTTATTGGATCATCGATTTTGGTGTTATGGAAATCTAAATACTGAATTTGAATTATTCTGTTTAATTCCAATACTATTGGCATGAGACCACAAAGAATTGAGATGACTCATAAATGTGAAAAGTCATAGATCCATCATTTGTGGCGGTCACTCCCTCGCCCTATTGACAGGTTAATGGTAGCAGAACCATTCCAATTCAGTATTTTGTTTTAATAAAAAAAAAAACAATATTAAAAGCGACGGAGCAGAGTACAGAATAGAGCATGATTAAAACTAAAAATAAATAAAAAATCTAGTATTCTCGATTTACTCTTGTATAATATATAGTTTATCATAAGTCTTTATAGCGTCTTTAGCTAATTTTCCATCTTGATACACTGTCAATATAAGATGAAAGAGTTTGAATTACGAACACATCTATAAGTACATTAAAACAAACTTTTGTAGCTCATCCCGATAAGAATACTCGATGTGTATACTTAGATATTTGGGAAAAGAAATTAGACGAATGTAGTGTGCTCATGACAGGCCGAGCCTCCCACGCGATGCCCGAACCAAATCACAAATGGTATTATATCATTATTATTTACTTCTTAGATAGTCAAAATTTTATATTCATATCATTAGTTTTTACTTTAGAAAATATTTACGTGTATATTGATTTGATTAGCAATCGTATTTTGTTTGACACAGGGGGACTGTGTTTATTGTAAACATTACAGTTCTTGTACATAATTACATTACATGTTCATTTCATTTTACGTTTATAGTCTGTAGCGTCTGATAATTTAAATAATAACAGAGGTGCTGTTTACGATTATTGTGCATCTGACTGCCAGTTATGTTTTGTAAATATAATAAATTGTCTGTAATATATATGTATGTGTTAGCAAGCACACAGTTTGCCTTATATCGTGAATTCGACCGTGGGGCTCGGCGTTTTGTATATAATGAAAAATAATATATAATTAACATTTATACATAGTCTGTTACTGTTTGTAAGGTGCGGTATATTCTTGTACATTCGAAGTGCGATCAACATGTGCTAATATTTCCTTTTATTTAGTATCCTAATACTTTTGTATTGTCAAGCTTTTCAGTCATTTTATATATAGGCGATTACGTGAGTTATTTAATTTAACACCGATTTTAGTCATAAATATCCAAATTTAGTATATGCTATTTTTAAAGGTAATTTTTACTCTTAATTATATTATCTGCCTATATCACATTGCTTGCAAGCATCACACGATGTGATCATATTTTGTTTTATTATAGACTAATCTCGTTAGTCTTGACCCACTTGAATTTTGTGTAAGTATAGTTGATCTAAAATTATTAATAGATATCGACCCACACTGCCATTGACATGTTTACTTTTTTTTATTTAATATGCTAGTTAATACAAACGTATTCGATGGCATTGTGAATCGAAATGATACGAAATAATGTAGCTACCACTCTCCTCCTCAACTGACCAAGTAAATGACAATAATCTCTAGACACAGCCTAACTTGACTCGTCATCCTGTCATTGTACATACGTATTTAGGCCGGTGTGTGAGAGCGAAGCGGTGGCCTCCGGTGTTACTCGTCAAATTTGTAGAATAATTATCATGACAAATTATTATAATTAAGTTGGTTTGTTCGAAAGTCGAGTATAAAAATGAGCTGCTTTCTGTCAATTCATTGAGCGATCTCACTTGTTAGTACTAGTAGCTTCGTTTCAGTCTTGTATCCATATTGTTCAGTTTTAGACAGAACACTATTATAGTACATATTGCAAAGATGATATCCACAATGTGTTGGCATGAAACCTCACTTGTGAATGTTTCGTCGATACTTGTGACATCTTGTGAGTTGTTAGATAGTTTGATGTCGTTTACTGTCTATAAATTTAGTTCTGTAGGTTAGCATTTTAATCGAGTATTCATTTATTTTGAATACTTTGATTTAATTATATTTAATGGCCCTGTAGATCTATGCTCATTTATATCTATTTCACAAAATTACTAGATCTGATTAAATGAGCGGGCTGAACTGTCTTATACAAGCGCGGAAGAATAAATTAAATTTAATACGATTTTAAGGTACTTAGATCCAATGAGTATAGATTCGTAAAAGAAAGCTTTTTAATGCCATTAAATGTAAAAGCTTGCAATATGCGCGTGATTTAATTCGTATTTGGTCCATCGCTACGCTCTACGAAGGTCATAGCAAAATCTGGAACCGAAGCACTAAGGAATTGAAATGTAAGCTGTATGTTCGCTTGCGTGCAAATAGATGGTCGGTACTTAACATTAGGCGCGTAGTCATTCGCTCGCTGTTAGTTCTCTGTCCCATAGTCGAGCAGTTGTAGAGCCACAGATTCTATAATATTTAACGATTCAAGATTGAACGTAATCTTCAACTGTGATCTATTATTGGATCATATTATTTATTGTAAATTATTTTTATTATTATAAAGCGAGCAACTGTATCGTCTGTGGTCAAGAGTTTAGTGCGTAGACGCGTCTCTCCCTCTTCTAAACTCCCACCACTTAGCTGTTCTAGAGTTAGTTATCACGCTACAATTTTCGACCGACAAATTATTAATTATTAATATATAGAAGTACCAAACTCGTAGTTAGCTGTCACATATTATGATGTACATTGTACTAAATAATTTTTATATTTTACCATTGTATAGTCGTTTATCACTGATAGATAGCAATATTGAGACGAAGGTATGACAAGGCGTGCGGGCGCCGCCACCGTACGCGAATATAGTTTGCGTACGTAACGGCTCGCTCAGTGCACCATTGTTGGTTTTCTTTTTATTTTTTGTTATATATTTAAATAACACAATCGACTTGTAGTTTTAATAATTATTATCATTAATTATTATATTGTAATATAATCTTAATAATGAAAAAATCAAAGCGGAAATAAATAAATAGAAACGATCACATTGTGCAATTATTTTAGCTTATCAACCTTTATTTATTTCGCATGATCGATAAGATGTAATCCATAAGGACGTACACGTGGACTTAGTAAAAACAAGGACTAAAGTACAGTTGGTACCCCAAACAAATTATTAAGGATGATTATTATTATGATATGTACAATAGAAATGTATGGGTGGAAATTATAAAAATAAAACGTAACCTTACGTTAAAACATATGTATTGTAACAAATAATTGAAAAAAAAAAAAAAAACTTGGATATACGAAACACACCAGCTATAAATTTCTACATAATTGACTCGTATATAAATGCTATAAAAATAACAAAAACCAATATCTAAAGTATAAGTATATTATAAAAAAAACTAATTTTCACAAGATACACTCTATTATATTTATTCATTCAAATGCACCCTCTGATAAAATACAGTACCTATAGGGATTAATTAATTGTACGATCAATACGTACGACAGACATTAAGACTGTCGGGGTTGTTAGCGATCCCGAATATTGCAATGTTTACAATGTTTATCAGCTAGTTTCATAGTTCATTGAACAATTTCATGGTAGTAATAGACAACCACTCACAAAGCTTGTACTGTAAATTAAAGTTATAAGGACTAACATTGTATACTAGTATGGAATATTTGGTACAAAATAAGAAATGGTATTAATACCCACCATTCTTTCAGTAAATTCTTATATCGAAATATATATTGTTAAAATTTTAAATTTGAAAATATTTACATTTTTTATATTAATTACAATACAGGTCTTCGTGGTCGCAATTCACTCAGCCTCGGTTAAATAGAATAATATTATAAAGCATGCGTATGAATTCGCAATACTCAAAAGGGCCTCAAATACACAAATATCTACATGCAAATTAAGGTTAATTTTAGGTTTAAAGGTTTATATTATTTAGTTACAAAGTCGATAACTAAAAGTGAAGTATACTTACATCTGAGAAGTATACTTAAATCTGTATATCGCAATCAATTTGATCGAATATGTGCGTGATATATTACAATAAAACATTCAAATTACTTATTCTAAGATTAAAACAGAAATTAACAACTGTTACACAACCGCTGAGGCTACGTATTGGCAGTAAAATTATCCATATCAGCACAGCATATTTTTTTATTAGTATATATTCATATTTTTTTACATGTGTGTGTATATTTACGTAATACGTAATACGTATTTGAAAGTAGGCTGTAACCTCAAGAAGAGTACTTCTTATTTTGAGGTCAGTTTTGACTGCATTTTACGTGATTTATTCGCGGAAATCGCAATGAATTTTTAGTATTACATTTGCTACCAATATTTTACCTGTTTTTGCCATATATTACACACATGTCTACATATCTATAGAACCAACACAAGTATGAAAATTAATAAGTTACTCTTTTCTTATGTGGACAAAATAGACATTCTCGTTTATTAAATCAACTCGTATATACTGAACATAGATCTTTAATACATTTTTTCAAATAGCTTAAGGTACTCTATTTTATTTTTGTGTGTATACAAGTTACACGATAAATTGGGAAAAACTGATATTTTAATTTCCTTCTAGTAACAGAGTTTTCTTGTTGGTCCCTCTATATATTCTTACTGTTTAATACACAATCAGAAATTGTGAATGCAAATTCATTATTTCATTACAATTCATTTGTTTTTAGTAACAGCACTATACCACTTTCTGACGTAACAGCCAATTAAGATCAGGGAATTCATCTTATTACTATATATTATTCCTTATATTCTTCTTTAAAGTGAATAATGAATTGAAATAATTGTTTATAATTACTATTACACCATATTTTTATTCAAATTAAAGATTATAAGTTTCTTTGAATCTTTGAAATAAAGTATGTACGTTTCCTAATATTAATAACCTACCTGTATCCGCCATTTTATTCGGACTTTATATAATAATTACTCTAAATATATGAATATAAGTTACATTTTAATATTTAGAATATTTTTTATTATTATTGCTATACCAAGATTAAACAGTTATTTTTAATAATTTCGCAAAAGTGAACACTGTTATATTAAGATAAGGAACTATAAAATTGAAACATGTATTTAATCATTGTACACTGTTTTCATGAATACCAGTATTTTGTTATTAATATTTACTCAAATTTAAGAAGGAACTATTATAATCATATGCTGGATTTTATGAATTTGACCAGGATTAGCCGAGATTAAACATAACCTACGTCCTTTATAGCAATTGCTATGTATATTCCAAATTTCATATTGAATGGTTAAACCATTATATATATATATATATATATATATATATATATATATATATATCATAACAAATAAATAAACTATTATTTGTTTATATAATATTAAGTTGCGACTATTTAACGGACTATATAATTAGTGCCATTGTATTGGAAAATAATTTATATTTTCCAGTACTATTATTCATATTTTATATGCATAGGATTAAGCACGTCATTTATATATATTTTTCTAATATGTATTATTTATATATAAATATCCTGTTAATAACTTCATATAATATTATTGATCTCATACAACGTTGTACTACAGGTATATGTAGTAAAAGAAAATAACATTCAACATAACATTACTATAATTTACCTTGTTATGTATGTAAATATAATTTGTATGTTCATCTCAAAGATGTTATTTGTTATAATAATTATTGAATAATACGGCACTTAGTTCTCTCTTCGTTAATAATATTTTTATTTGTGTGACAGACAACAACATAACTTAAATCATATTTTCATTTTATTTTTAACTCAATAGCTAATATATACAATGACCAATACGATAATGCAGGGAGCGTATGAAGCTAACAAAAGTGATTATTGTTTTAAGTAAAACCCGAGTTCTAAATACGGCGCTTTTGGTGTTGCTGTGTTAAATTAAAGCAGAATGCATTAAAGATACGACCGCCTTTCCTATTTCAAACTATATATATTCTATGTCTTTGATATTCTATTATACATATTAAAAAAACAAACGTGTAAAACTTAATATGCTGATGGACGCCTTTGAAATAAAAATGGCAATATACATTACGCATCCATATACAAACTCGATTCAAACACTGATATCGTACCAATTTTCTGTGCGCCTACTGGGTGGGTGAAAACTCTGTAGGCTCGAGGATACGGCAGTGCATCTCCCTGATGAGTGGCACGGTGTAAGCGACACATTCATCCCAGCCTGGATTGCGCCATGTGCTTTCACGGGTCTCTCGCCGAGCCTGCAAGTTCTTGTAACCTGTCATATAGAAATATTGTTCTTTTTTCAATATAGTTTTGTTAAATAATTTTAAGGTTACATAGAAGACGGCGTTATACAGATGTAAACTAAAAGTCCCTATAATATTTACTTTGTTACCTTTTGACAACTAAATGGTTAAATTCAACAAAGACACACAAACACGATAGTGGGAATATTATAATTATTTAGTCTGAAAATAAGTAAAACGAACTAAAAGAAGCATGGCATTTTAGTCCTCAGGAATGGCAACGCATGAATGGTCGCAAGGGTCACATAGTAGTGCTGATTGTTGTGTGTGTGCCGTCAGCTTGTTTACCATTCCAATTATATAAATATATCATCGGCGCTATACTACAACGCGCATAAATGTTTTTACTGTAAATAAATATTAAAACTTACACCAAATATGGTGCACGTTATAAAGCCGGCCTATTTGTGAGAAGTATCCAGCGAACGCCTCGTTCTGAGACCGCCGGTAAGAAAGTCCTCGAGCCCAGTTATTTCCCCACTCGATCATAGTACCCGGTTTCAAGCTGGAACATAATACAAGAAATCGTTCTTGCTTACATAAATCAAATAAGTCACCAGATTTAATTTAATGCGTTACCTTTCACGATCTTAATGAAATTTCATGTGAAACCAATATATCGTGAGGCTATTTTTATATGAAAAAAAAACAGACGAAGCCGCGTAACAGTTAGTATTATAAACTCAAAAGTTTTGTTTGTTTGTTACCTATTTATGACTATACAGATAAACTTATCTTAATATATGTCGCCAAGTCCTGTGAGGAATGATTTAAAAAATTACGATGTCAAAGGAAAAACAAGTTTCTAAAATAAACTTAATCAGATAAAAAATAACCATGAAAATTATAGCGTATCCCTTAACACCCTGGATATTATCACTCTAGGAACGCAATAAAAACCGTCTATGTTAAGATGAGATGTCATGTCTATATGTCTATAGGTTTAGGTCGGATTGGGATATGGATTGAGTGAGAGCATGTCTACGTTATTCCACTAAATACTGAATGGGATCGGCATCTAAAGCATCTAAGCCAGGGATATTGCGCACTGCATTTACCCTGGCATTGTGAGACCCAACCCAGACCGCCGCAACGTTAATCATAAACCTGACCGTTGAACTGACCGCTTATCTTTTGAACCGAAACCCATAGATAATTAATATAGATATATTACAATTTCATACATCCTGTTTTTTAATACATTAAAATATTATTATTATGTCCAACTGGCTAATTTAACTGTTCTGAATTTATTTATATGTTTTATCTTGATTCATTACTTTACATAAGATAGGTATCAGTTTTATATCTAATCCACAGTATGATAAAATTGTTGTTTATATAAAAACAATTTTTAATTAAATCTTTGATGTAAATTTGCTCTATATTTCTTATAATCTTATATTGGTTTATAAATAGGAGATTAGTGGTTCTGATGGTTTTTAATAACCACCAAAGTTGCGATCATCTGTTGATAAAGTAATAGATATAGGAAATTCAGAACAGTTTATAGATCAGACTTAATCAATAAATATCCTCCATGGTGTGAATTATTGTTTAATACCTGTATGATCGTATCTCGTAAATGTTATGGGGTGAGCGAGGTTCACCATTTGGCCAGAAACTGAATGCAAGTAAGTACTGTAAGTGCCGAGATCGTACAAAATTGCCGCGCTCCTTTTCAAGCGCTGAATAATCCTGAAAAGAAGTTTTTAGGGTATTTTTGAAATAATCCTATTCTAGTATTATGATACAATGATAAAAAATATTTTAGAGTTCGTAGTTAAAAGGCAAAAACGGAATGTATCAAATAATAGCATCAACCTCGGTTTGATAAGTTGGTTTGACCACATGACCAATGGTCGACAGTTCGTTTTCTTCACTATACATTGTACTACAAACATTTATATTCATGAGTATGATCATTTGTGTTGGTCTGGTTGTATAAAAAAAAAGTATTTCAATCTGTTGTTTAGTACCCAGAAGACATGCTCTGCTTAGATTGGGACTAGATGCCTTTGTGTGAATTGGCTTGGGTTAATTTATTGTTATTATTTTCTACATACGATATAAAAATTTACGATGTTTAAATTGTACAGTTTGCAACAAATAATTTGTACGATCAACAAAACTTTAAAGAACACTGCAAAGAAATGTATGTAAAATTGTACAGTGTCCATATCTAAATATTTTGAGTGCATTTTGATTTTACACTTTATGTAGAGATAATTTAGCAACCCAAGATAATATATTGAAAAAATTATGATAAGAGTATATCTAAAGAAGTTATATAAAATAACAGCACCAAAATAAGATTAAATAAATAAAAAACAAAGCAAACAATAGTTTGCTTTAGACTTGGCTCAGATTATTAGGTTCCTTCTTGAGGTACTATCCTGGCAATCTCGTTCGACACAGTTCTTTAAATACTTAAAAAATATAGGCATGCTAATGGATGTAATTCCGAATTAAAATTAAATAAATAAATAATGAAACAATGTATTTGAGTGTTCACTAAATAAAATTGTGACTTACTGGGTTATTTTTGAATAGAATCTTGGCCTTATCTATTTTCTCGAATCCACCTACATAACGCCATAAATGCAAGGCCTGATCCATATCTCCCACTGACACTGTCCATGATCCCACTAGTTCGCAACCCAACTCAGATTTTTGTGAGTGAACAAATTCCACTGAGTCTTTACTGTAAATTTGATATTTTAAAGTATTGCTAATAAAAAGTATATGAAACCTTTTTCCTTTGTACATTGGATAACAAAAAATATTTGTTCAACCATCTTAATGTGATTGTACTCATATATAAAACATGTTTCAGAAATTTTAATAGTAATGCTAGCAATATCTTAATAATATTATAAATGTGAAAGTTTGTTAGTATGGATGTTGCTCTTTCATGCAAAAACTACTGAACAGATTTTGATGAAACATTACAGTAATATAGCTTATGCATCAAAATAACACTATATATTTTACATTGAAATCTGTATATTTAAATTTAATGGTGGTAAACCCGCAGGAACAGCTAGTACAGTACTCTAGTCTCTACCCTAACCTTGGTGGATTAGCTGCTTTACATATTGCCTTACTACCAGAATTGTAGGTTCTATTCTGGTGCTATATAAATATTTGTATTTATAAGTATAATTATTTGTATTAGCTTGGGGAGTGTTTTTAATAAATATCTTATTTATTTTAGGAACATTGAAGGTGTATTTTCACATATTACTAATCATATTGCAAATATTGTATTCCAATTAATAATGTTCACCAATATTGTTCTGAATTTAAGTCTTTTTCTATTAGTTCTTTAGTTATTAGTGAATTATTATAATTAGATCTAACTCTGTGATAGTACTGTCTCTGAAAACATTATTACATTTTTTGTTGAAATCTAATTTTATATTTTGATCCTTCCCTGGTGTCTCCCAAGAGACACCATTAGTGAAAATTTAATAATTCATAACTATTCCACCATCAATCACAAAGCAATTAAACTGGCAGCACTGATGTAGCATGAGGGGTGGAGAGTTTACATTTGTTTTTAATTAAAATGAATTGCATTGAAAAATATTTCTATTAATAAAAAATAAATAGAGAGGATGGCAAACATACAACAATGAAGACACTGTCTGATGCAATTTTACTTTAAAACTACCAGACAGTGTTTTAGCATATCAAAATTAATTTGAAATTAGTAAATTTTGTTTTAATATAAAAAAAAAAATGTTGTTTTATTTATGTTTATAAATACATATAAATATTGTTATGATACCACTGGTAATACATATAAATATTACCAGTTGTATGATATACATAATATGGTGAATATTTAGAGAAATACTGCCATTGTATATAAAGACTGTTGCATAATAGTCATTAGAATCCCTATATAAATTTTATAAATGAAAATTTGGTCAGTGGGGTATCTTTAAATTTTCCACATATAAATACTTACTAATTCTTCAAATATTTATCTACAGAATCAGGCCGTATATTGTGCGTGTGTAGTGCATATATTATCTCCTTGTCGCTAAGCATACGGCTGTGAGATTCTTTCGTCGGTTCTATCCTCCGCACCAGCAATTTTGAAAACCATCCATCGTCGGCATTTAATCGAACGTTTGTTGTACTGATCAACCTACAAAAAAAACAAAGTACTTTGCTCGACACGTTCCAAATTTAAAACATTCGTAGATATCAATAACATTATTTTGACAATACCTTGCATATTTCGGTACATGAACAGAAAAACTAATTGCTCTATTTATACAATTCATATTTAGTACACAAAGTGAATAATATAATGTTCGATCACTTCACAGTCTTACACTGTGTTTTTACTTGAACAAATTGTTGGCTGATAATAAGTTGTTTTGTTATCAATCACTACAAAATCAGTTGAAGGTTATCTCAAAGAGGTAGTATATCTATATAATGTCGCCAGTTCACCATCATGGCTTACCCCAAATATTGTTCTCTTCATGAATAGAAGTCTGTGTAATTACTGACAGCATACCCTGTATAATTGACCATTAAAATATATTAATGCTTAAGTTAAAGTTTTAGCCAAAGTATTTACACGTTATGGAAATAATATTAACGTAACAAAAAACATCGCTTTCTTCATTCTTATAGTATACACCCAAGTTTAGAGGTATTTTCCGCAATTTGGCTTCACTGTTTCTGTATCTGTGGTTATTACAATTCATAAACAAAAGCAATGTCCTTCTTCTTCTTCTTCTTCTTTTAGTTTAAATGGCTTCCACCAAATGAGGTCGGTGATTTTGCCAACGTCGTGGTTTGTGAGACACAGTGATGTGGTTTACGGTTTTCTTGACTGTGTTCGTAGAAAGGACTGTTTCAGTTGGCTGAGAAAGCAATATCCTTATTAAATGACTTTGACTTTGCTGACAACTAGACTGATTTAATTATGTTTTGCTGTCATTCAGTGTTAAGACATATAATTCATATAATCGTATTGTAGAAACAGTTTGTTGAAATGAAAAGATCTTGTTTTTTTAAAGATAAAACCTAAATTGAACTTTCAGTCGTTTTGTTAATTTTTGGTTAAGACCTTCATAATGGGTGAGTAAGACAAATGTAATGTACATTGTAAATCCACTGTAATTCGCTCATAGGCTTCTGTATAGTGGGCGGTTGTCCATGTCGATTGTTAAATTGTGATTATTATGACTAATTTACCTCTTTTCTGTAGCGTCGAGTGAGGTGACAAAACTTCAACAGCACTTGTCGCTGCTGAAGGAAGAATACAGCAAACTGCAAAGTCACTGTGCTGAAGTAGAGCGAAAGTACACGCTGGCGGCAGCTTCTGCCGGAGACCTCAGTGAGACCAGTTTTGTAGCTCGGCTTCTGATGACGGTTGCAACACTTTATGGCAGAGATACGTATTCAGATATTATTATCAAGTTGCAGAGTAAGTCTATGCCTGGACACAAGTTTGTTTTGAATGCTCGCTCTGATGATTGGAATGAAGAAGACTTGAGAAACCTTGAAGAATTAGGTAAGTTGCCCAATGGAATATACATATTTTAAGCCCTAACATATCAGTGTCAAATAGCATATTTGAATATTACAATAACGGATCATTTATGAAGAATTACTTTCTTCAACTGTAGCTGTTCATGGAAAGTGTGGGAGGGAAGGAAACTGCTTGTAATACCTAGTGATCCTATTGCTAACAATGTTGTGTATGTATGTATTGTGTCACATTGATCTCATCAAACCTTATTTGTGAATCCATCAAAATGGGCTAATTGATTTGTCTTCATGCTCATTCTATCGTCAACTGGTACACAGCATAGGCAGGTATACCATACCACAATCATTCATAAAAACATATTTTCTTTAAAACCTTAAATGCTGAAATATTAGTTATCAACTGCATCATTTTAGAGCAACTTGTGTGTTGGACTCTTTTAGCCTTAGCCTCTTATGAGCTCTTGCACCCAATGTAACTACTAATCAAGGATAACTTATGGACTGACAAAGAATGCAGTTCTGAAGTAATATCCTTAAACATATTGCACAGAGAAATAAATTTCTGTTTTATAAAATTGGTATATCAATAACTTGTAGAATAGAAGTAAATAGTAAATAAATAAACTATTTAATGAATCAGCTTAAACTTGCAGAGTAATTTGAAGTAGAAAGAAATAAAGTATAAACTAAATCAATCTATAATCTGTAAATATTAATTATATTACTTGAATAATAAATGGTTTTATTACAGATTGGTCAAACCTACCTGATGATATTGGCGCTGCACTTTTAAAATGGCTATACACAGATGTGGTAGACCTAACACGTGGAGATGCATTTGCACTTCAACTTATGAAGTCTGCAGCTGGTTTCAAGCTACATGGCCTAGTTGGCAAATGTGAACAGGCTCTAATAGCTTCTGTGGGTGTAAGGTGAGCATATTAATTGATAATTGTAAGTTATGGAATAACTAGAGTGTGTTTAAGTTATGGTTAGGTTAGAAGAATATTCATGTTTATTAATTGTTTGCATTTGTGTTCTAATATATTATATATATATATATATATATATATATATATATATATATTAAAATTCTATATGTTTCTTACCCAATATAATAAACATTTATACTTAAATTACTCTGTACAGTTTAATCTGAAATGTAGTAAATTAAGTTAGTATATTCTTAAAAGCATATATTCTGCCTAGTATAATACAGCAACAAATTCAATGTAATTGTACTGTAATTAGTGAAGCATAAATGTAATTTACAAATCATAATAGATATTCATTTGTAGCCATGGTTCAGTGCACACTTGTTATGTTTTTAAATAGATAATTTATAGGCAATGAAATAATAATAGCTGAAAGAACCATGGAGAGAGGAGAGTTTTTTGTGACAATCATAAAGATAATACAAGTTGTAAAATCTCTTGCCAAATGGGGATTTATTATGGAATAATATTTATAGATCATAGCTAGAAAGTGCTCAGTGGTCTAGTACTTTAAAATTATATTAGGTACATCCTAATATAATTTCCTCCTTCACTTCTCATCCTATCCCATAAAGTAATCAGGTATATTATAGAGCATCTTAGCTGATGAAAGGGACTGTTGATTCTTATTATGCTCATGCTGTGGGATTGGAATAAGATTAGTGAAATAGTAACTAAATAAAATTATGTAATTATTTTACTTTTTCTTTTTTTTAGATCATGTGTTAAGTTTTATTCAGCTGCTGATGAGATAGGTGCATCTGCTCTCAAAGAACATTGCTCTGGACTGATATCGGCACATTGGGATGATCTTACAGGCAAGTTTCAAATGTTTAATACCAAAATATGCAAATATTATGAGTATGCATGCTGTTAATCCTATCAAGAAGATTATAATTAAAAGATCTTACTATTACAAAAAAGTAATTAGGGCCTAAAAAGCAGACATGCGACTAGTCAAATAATACTACCTATCATTACTCCAGGAATAGATAGCAAACATTAGTTTAGCCTAGGCTTAATGGTAAAGTTGATAACCATAGTGACGATAGATTACATAAAAGTTTGTGTTATTATGAGTCCTAAAAAATTACTAAAAAGGTATGTACCCTCACTTTTCAGTTGTACGTTAATATATGACGACAAATTCCAATGTTAAATAATAAATAAAATGCAATTAGGAAGTTTTTGAAGTAAATTTGTTTGGATGCCACAATGGTATGTAATAGATTGACTTAAATCAATCCTAATTACTAGGACTGTCTCATTTCTAAAATAGGGCAATTATTATAGAGCTATACATACATATATATATATATATATATATATATATATATATATATATATATATATATATATTTTAAAATAAATAACGGCTCCTGCTACTCTCTGATAATGTATTTTTCAATACAAACGAATTGGTCGCATATTATTTATTTTATCCATTACAATCATAGAATTAAATATTAGTTTTATTTTATTCTTAGGTGAAGACTTCGCCCATATGTCATCAGCGCTACTTTACCGCATGTTGAAGAGTAAGACTACACAGCCGTTACATGGAGCGGTGCGGCTCATGCGCGAAGATGTCGTATTTCTTTGCCTCGTGGAGAATCATGCGAACGTGAGTACATAGCACTAAGAGCAATCTATACATATAAATTAAATTGGAGTGTCTGTTTGTAATATTGAAATAACCGTTTTTTTACTACATGCATATGAATTAGTAGTAATTACTACAAAATATCATTTCTTACAATTTTTGTCTGTCTGTTTGTTCCGGCTAATCTCTGAAATGGCTGGACTAGTCTTGACAGGACTTTATTTGACTCATTAATTATAGTTAATGAGTACTGAGATAAATGATCTGTGTGGACCTCTGTCTTACCTATTTTAGCTGCCAAGCAACTTGCTCTGATTAGATTGAAAGGTGATATGCGGTAGTAAAATTACAGGATACAGTGGCGTGACGTCTTAGTCCTCTGAAACGATAACCCATAAGTGGTGCCACAGGTGTTACAAGATGGTATCCGCAGTAGTGTTCACGTTTATGAGCGTCGCGGCGTTTTATTTTAATGGTAATTACAAAAAAAGTGAAGTTCTTGGACTTCTTAATTAGCTTTTTGACATTGTGAACATTTCGTTTCCATTCGTTAGAAAAATATGACACCCTCTTTCAACCAATCGGAAACGAGATGCCTAAAGTATCGAAGTTTTAAATATGTCTTTCCAAAATATAGTACAAAACATAGTTACAATCTCTATTTTTACACATTCTTTTCTCTGTATTCTCTCTCATTTTTCACTTAATACTGTTAGAACTACATGGAACGTAAAGACATTGCTGACTACAGGGAAACTAGATGAAATACTTCATGAAATGAATAGATTAAAAATAGACATTTTAGGGTTAGATGGGAAGGCTACTGGAAGGAGAATTATAGAATAATATATACAGGAAGATGCAAATGGAACAGCTATAATACTAAATAAAAAATGGGGTAGACTGGTAGAAAATACGATACATTATAGTGACAGAGAATTAAAATAGAATAATATATACAAGGTGTAAATATCCAGATGAAGAAATAGAAGAGATGTATAATCACATTGATGAAATACTAGATACAGTATAAAAAAGATAATTTAAATAAAAACGCAGTGGTCGGGGAAGGAGAAGTCGAAAATGTGGTAGGAGTAAAAATGGTAGAGGAGATAAACTAATACAATTCTGTAAAGAAAATGACATGTTCATTGGAAACACCTTTTTTAAACACCATAAATGACGTCTATATACGTGGAAAATGCCAGGAGACATTGGAAGATACCAAATTTATTTATAATAATAAGAAATAGTCATCGTAATCAAATAACATCATGCAAAACACTTCCAGGGGCTGACCTTAATACTGACCACAACCTTTTAACTAGCACACATAATTTTCTAGTAAAAAAAATCAAAAGAATAAATAGACGTAAGCAAATAGATCTCACTAAACTTAAGTTAGAAAGCAATAATAGGGTGCAATATAGTAATAAGTTAAAAGATAAAATAGAAACCCACAAGGGTATATTAAATAATAAGAATATAGATATAGAGGATAGGTGGAATACAGTAAAATATATTATTAAAACATCGGCGGAGGAGAGCATAGAATAAAAAATAATACCAAGAAAGAAATGGCTTACTACTGAAATAATAGACCTTATGTTAGAAAGAAGAAAACTAAGAAACAAAAGAGATGAAAATAGTATAATGGAATATAAAAGAATTACTAACAGAATTACTCTAAAATGTAGAGAAAGTAAAGAGAAGGACATAGAAAAGACTTGTAATAAAATTGATGACCATATGAAAAAAGGAAAAATGAGTAGAGCATATAATATGATTAGGGAAATACACAAGAAGCCTAAAATAAAAAGTACTGCAATATTAGACGAAAATAGCAGAATATTATTTAACAATAAAGACATAATAAATAGGTGGAAAAGATACATAGAAAATCTTTACTATGGTCAAGGCTTAAGTGATAAGGATATAGAAGATGAAAACATAATAGATAAAGACAATCTTGGGCCTCCAATATTAAGAGAAGAATTTGACAAAGCAGTAATTAGTATTCAAAGTGGAAAAGCAGTTGGTAACGATGATATTTATATAGAAATGATTAAATACATAGATAATAGTATAATAAAGGATAAAATATATGAAATAATTTGTGAAATATACGAAACAGGTAGTATACCGAATGATTTTTCATTAAGTAAGACAGTAACACTCCCAAAGAAGGCAAATACATTAAAATGTGAAGAATATAGAACATTAAGTTTACTGTCATATAACCAAAATACTCTTAAAAATAATCCAGAACAGAATAAGACCACACACAGAGAGATTCATAGGACCAGATCAATACGGTTTTAGAGTAAATAAAGGAACGCGTGAAGCAATATTAGCACTACGTTTAATAATGGACAGAAGAATGGAACTCTGTAGGGAGACTTGTATTGCATTCGTAGACTTAGAGAAAGCCTTTGATAAAGTAAATTGGAGAAAAATGATGCAAATTTTAAAAGACGTAGGTATAGATTACAGAGATAGGAGAATAATTTACCAACTTTATAAAAACCAAGAAACTACAATAGAGATAGGAAATGTAACGGAAAGAGCTAAAATTAAACAGGGAGTACGATAGGGATGTCCACTTTCACCTCTTATTTTCAATATCTTTATAGAAGCTGCAGTAAAAGAAATAATAGAATTACACCAGGGAGGTATTCAAATAAACGGACAAAGGATACATTTTATAAGATTTGCTGACGACATAGCTGCCCTAGCTGAAGACTACACACAGCTTCATACACTTTTGGACATAATGAATAAAATTTTTAAAACATATGGACTTAATATTAATACCAAGAAAACTAAAATAATGACAGTAGCAAAACATAAACCCCATAACAGAAATACTACAAGAATAAAAAATATACAATTTGAAAATGTAGATACATTTAAATATTTAGGTAGTTTGATTACCAGTGACTCCAGATGTACTAAGGACATTAATATCAGAATAGCTATAGCGAAAACAGCATTTAATGATAAAAAACATCTTTTGAGAGCTAATATATCAAAGTCCTCTCGGAAACAACTTATCAAGACCTACATCTGGAGTATAGCCTTGTATGCCTGTGAGACGTGGACTGACACAATATAATATATAGAATATGTGAAAATATGGAGCATCTTAAAATAACGAATTTGATATGTAATTGTATACACCGTTGTTACCCAATATACGGTTTCAATGAGTCTGATAGGATAAGGAACCAAGAAAACTGTCTGGCAATTTAGGAAACTCAGTTTAATAGTTCTCTCAATAATATATATAAAGTTCAGCTTTATTAAAATGACGTAAGTTTATTTATAAAATAGTATAGTTTAGGGGGGTCCGGCGGGGGGTTGGAACCATACTAAGTGTCTGGCAATGAGCAGCGCAAGTTATAATAATGCTACGAACAATATATGAAAATATGGAGTTTCTTAAAATAACGAATTTAATATGAAATTTTTTACACCTTTGTTACCTATTACCTGCCAATGGAATCACGATCCAGGTTTCATGTTTGGGGATCGTTCTTACTTGTGTTGGGGACACACATACAAGAACTTTCACGTTTACTAATATGACGTATGTCTGGCCGTCGTGGGCTCTTGTTCTATTTCTTTATCGGTATCTAGCTAAATAGCTAGATTATTTTATTCCTTGAGACCTTATTGAAATTCATCATAGTTTCACATTCTTAACTTGTATATAATCTATGTACATATATAGTGTAAACATATATCTTAATTTTACTATTCTTATATTGTATTTAAAATATTTTTAGATAAATATTACGATATTTCTATTTATCCTTTTGGGTCGCCGAGAACAGATTACAGAACTAGGCGGAATGAATACATAGTTTTGTATTTATTTAATCGAGGAAAAAATAAAATTAATGTACGAGTATAAATAATAACACTGATACTAAAGGTCTAAACTTTAATATATTGTACAAATTGGCATAAATTATTATTATTATCTATTAGGAATGGTATCTTTTCTTTTTAGTTTTCCATTTAAATATAGATCACAAACTGATTTCACGTTTTGAACGCATAATAGATACGTGTAGAATAATATGCATAATCGACTATGGTTTAAACATTTTAGGCGTAGGTAAGACCATCACCTTGTTTAGCAGCTTGTTTATAAGATTTATTAATATTTATTTGTCTTCTATAGCAGAAATAGTTATATTAGTGTCTTTGCCTTAGTCGACTCTTCATTGGTACAAATAAATGTCATACTTGCTATCACACATTATGACATTTATTTGTACCAATTGTATTATTTTTCCGTTACTACATACAGGTGCGACGAGGAGGAAGTATATGTGGAAAAAATAATAATATAGAGGAAAGTTCTGATATTTATGACTAGTTAGACGTGCAACAATTTCCTTATTTTATATGTAGTAGTTCTTCCTTTATTTCAAACCTATTATAATAGGTATGTTACTTTATCATGTCTACACAAAAGTACTAAGGACTCTATATTTCCACTTTTTTATATAAACTTATGTATTGGGTAAATTCTAATGAATACTATCTTTGAGTTATGAATTATTATCTCCATCCCTTACATAGTATCTGTCACAGATAAAGAAGTAAGTACTCTGTCTTACTTATTTGTTCTATGTTATTAATAATGAAAAATATAATGACTAGCAACAATACTTACGACTATAAGCACCGTAATGAAGCATACTTTTTTAGTTCTTTGGACAGACGTACTTTCTAATGATTCAGTTATGTCCATCATATTATTAATAGACAATATTCTTATCGTACATTGCATGTAGATATAGTATGTATGTAATACCTACTACTTCAATGAGATTATACCGTCTTAATGCGCCTTTTAAAATATTAATTTTGAGCAAACTTCCATCTTATAATCGTGTGTTATTAATATGCATATGTACTTTATTATATCTCCACGTATGTATGTATACCAGATACACAGTTTGCCCAGTTAATCCGTACCGTCGCAGTGCACAGATTTCATACACTTTAAGTCCTAAACTATATTTCCTTATAACTTTTTGCGTCTACTTATATTTAAAAATCATTATACTGCTTAGTGTCATAAGTAACGAGTTAATAGAAATCTTTGTAGAAGTATTACAAAAATCACCGCGGCAGTAACAATGCAGGGAGTTTGTGAGTCGATCAAATTCCGTGGTGACATCCTCTTCACATGTCTCCTTATAAACTTCATATATGTTGTTTACTAAAGTCCATTTTCCGTTAATTTTCTTTTGATCACCGCTCATTGTTTGAGATGCGCAGCCCCGTTGATATGTCGTTATTACTGTAAATAATAAATGTATAGCCATTAGGGGTAGTGAATCATCCAATAAAAATTCGCATGGTGTTATGTTTTAATTAATGAAAATATATTGCTAGCTGTGACGTAAATAGACGAGGGTAGCGACCGACCACACCTACTACACTTGTCCGGCTTGACCTATTTATTGTCGATTGTTATTTTCGATACCTGTTCATAGGTGGAGTGGTTAATATTTGTTATTTATCTCAAACCAGCTGCTGTCGTCGTGATGAGTGATACCATATTTCACCCCTAACCGATTTTTTTTAATGAAAGACAACTTATGTCGTCTATATCTTCCAGTCTGCTCAATTTCAAGACCTGTTCATCCGTTTTGTCGTGACGAGGTAACAAACAAGCAGGCAGATACAGTTTCGCTTTTATAGTATTATAATATGGATTATAGATTTACCATTACTTCGACTTCATGTAGTATAAATTTGTATATCCTAGCAACTACATCAAACAATCTTCATACAAACAGCATATATGGGATTTGTAGATGAACTCTGTATCGGAATCGACTTAACCAATTGCAATGAAGTTTATTTGCAATAAGAAAGAATCGCGACATCGTTATGTTGTATCAACTTATATTTATTTTAATTACTTATTATGTACTTATTAATGTAATTAATTTTAGGTAACTGAAAGATTATATATTATATAAAAAGTATATGTATAATTGTATTTATATAATATAGATTATTATAATATAAGTTTTTAGTTATAATTTATTGTGAATTAAGATTTATTGCAAATTTAGGAATTCAGTGTCAATGAAAAGTTAGTAAATTATTGTCAATCATTCTATTGTTATTTTGGTAATAGGTAACAGTTTCATTGTCATTTTAAAGCTATATTAAACAAAATTTGCTTTTTAATTACCATATGTATTCCGTATAACAGCAAAAATACAACGTATTGTGTAGTGACGAATTTTTCACATCATACCTACAGCTACGTTCTGCCATCGCATAAGTTTGCAATGAACAAGGAATATTTGACATACTCTGGAACGGGCGGTGCGGTTTCAGAGGAATTTCCTCCCATGCTGTACTCAGATTGTGAAATGAACTTATTGGCGAAATTTTCTCTAGAGATTGCATTATTTTTTGTCAAACAGGATATATTAATGTTGCTTAACGGTCGCCAACATGCATGTTACGCCACTGGTAATTGAGGCGTGTCTAGGCTATGGTAATCAGATGGCCCTTATTGTTGTTGCTACCGTTGTGGTATAAAAAAATCCGAAACAATAAACTTTTTATGGTAAATCTTGTTTAAAATATAAAAGCAAAAGATTACTGATTAATTAATCCCGAAATGTCAATGAACAACTTGAATTACTATTAATTTACTAACCAAATGATAGGGTTTCTAGATTTTCCACAATAATAGAATAACATGGCTTTTGTCCGGGATAAGCTGCCGTATATAAAAGTATTCATTTGTCTCCAACATTGTAATAACGAAACAGCGAACTCATTTTTATGACTAGTGTTTATTATCGCGGCATTTACTATTAGCTAAACATAATTTATTATCGTTAACTACTCTCCCGTTTAACTCTCCAACCACGTGTGCTTCTTTGAACGTCGGAATATGCATAAATAATTAGCAATATTAGTATCAGAGGCGTTGATAATAAATGCGTCATGTGTTGATTCGACAAGTGCATCCGCTTGCACGATATAAAATTCCAGTGATTTGTATTCGTAATTTATTTACGTGTAGGTATGTTGTTACTCATAACAGCTATACAGCGAGCGATTTCATTTCCAATGCAATTTATAATAAAAGTGGTGGTCCAGTTCATGTCTGTGACTACATTTTGATCAATTTATAGCATCAAAGATAATCATAGTATCTAGTTTTATAAAAAATGTATGCATTAAGTATATAGGTGACATTAGCGACCTCGTGCGACTTCAATTTACCAATTGGCCTAGTTTCCTTACAAGTAGTAGTTAAGTGTCCTTTAGTATATGGGCATAAAGTTGCACGGCGCCGCGGCTGTCGCCTCTTGGTCGCTATAAAATTACGGTAACTGTCCTTATAAACATATATTATTCTTAAAATAGAGAGTTACGTAAATACAACAATTTTGTAATATTTTACAAATAACAATACTATGCAACTGAATTTTAATTAAATAATAAACGCGGATTTTGATTAAAAATAAAATTATGCTACACTATCGGTATCGCTCGGTTCTGTTCATGTGAATTATTACCTATGATTATGAATTTTTATACTTGATAGAATGTTTAAAATCGTTCAAGTTTATTTTTATTTTATCCATTACAAACAAATAAACATGTGAAATATTACTCTTTATAATATTACTGTTGATAGCAGAGTGCTTTAACCCTATAAAATTATTTACCTACAGTTCTATATTACAATATTATCGTATCCGGTGTGCCAAATTTAATGTAATACTTTAAGGCCACGAAAAAACAACTCCATCGCATTGTTATGGAGATAACTCAGAAATTACTGGTGCTTCGTTAAATTTATGCCAATACACTAGCTCTCTAACAAAAATAAATTGAAAAAATTCGATTTCAGTATAGAAAAATGTTAGTTGACACTTAAAAAAATTGGAAATGTTCACCTTCAGTTTTTTTGTAGTCGGTTAAAAATCCATGCGAATATATTCCATTCCATAAATTCATTGAATTCGAAACTCTATTTATAATCATATGTCTTTTGTGGTCGTTTGGTGCACTGGCAGTGCATTTGACCGGACGTTTAGCATGCCGATGACCTTTTTGATAACTGATATTTTTAATGTTTTTGTCATTGACATGTATAATCTCATTTCATGACTATCTACTTTTATCTTCTTTTCATAACTATTAGATCTATTTGAAGGAATAGTCTAATCTACTATATTTTTACTCCGACATCGATGAAATAATTATTCTTTGAAATTTTTAAAGTGCACTTCGCAGCAGTGCAGTTCTCTAAGTATTTCTTTTGTTTTGATTTGTTCATGTTTTGAGCAACCAGACTCGCACTTTTATAGTTAGTTACTACGTCTAGTTTTATTTTTTAATATGCTATTATATCTGAGTCTTCTCATCTTAATCTAGACCACATCGATTAATTTTTATTAATCAATATTGGCCATTTTGTTTATTAGTTCTAAGTAATATTATTATTTTCGCGTATTTCTGTTGCTAAGCAATTACTTTAAGCTGTGTTCTTAAAAATGAAGTGAGTTATGGCAGTGACATTGCAGCATTCGGAGACCTAACCACATAGTCTTTAGGAATAGCAAACAAGAGAGGTACCACTCGCGTAGGCTGAATGCGAACCTTCATACCGTTTCTCCTACTCCGTCCCTACCTTCAGGGAACGGTTAGCCTTCACACGCTACATAAATCCTCCCGATGGTTTTGCATGCTCACTGCACTCGCTCCCAATTTAATCCGGTGAAGCTGTAAAGGCCATGTATGGCCAGCAGCATTAGAATAGTTCGACTGATTAGAAAAGGGACGGTAATGTGAAAAAGGAACTATAATTACATAATAATGATGATATTTCTACGTAATTTAAGTCTGACTGAAACCTAATCAATTAAAAAATAAAATAAATACATCACATTCGTGATACATATACCATAATTATAAGATATACAGTCGAATAGAAAATCTTAACCTTTGAATGCAGGCAAAACATTGTCATATTTTAACATGTAGTTCCATCTTCATTGATGGATTCTAGATTTTTTATACTACCTTGGTTATTGTAACTTACAATTATTCCCTAGGTCAATTGTGATTTTCTTCTTAAAACACATAGTGGAGGAGTTGCACTGTTGTATATATTTGTTGCTGCTGTCAAAGAATTCGCAGTTGTTCACGCTGCTGCTACTGGTGTGTGGAGTAAACCGCGATTCACATTGGAAACACCATACTGTTGCCGATACCACAGAATCTGAAATATTTCTAATCCTATTAATAATCCTTCTTGCTAAGTAAATGAATTTATAGGTAAGGTTTGTCGTGGTAGAATGACACCATGGTTCCAAGATTTTACTTCAATCAAACTACTTTGTGTGGTTTTTAGTGATTAATATAATCGTATGGGGATATGTGTGAATATTACTCATTTTGATTTTGGTGATTACACATTGTATATAATTATACTAGTATAAAGCTGACAACACACATTAACATTAGTTTTATAAGTTTATTCTGTTTGATATATAGTAGAAGGTCAATTAATATATTGACTTATTGTATTATTTCACTTACCTACCTAATTAATTTACATAATATAGTAAATAAAAAAAAAAAGGTAGGTATAATCCACGGCTATGCCCGCGTAATATAATTAAACGCAAATTGGCCAAATCACTTTGCCTAATATGATCACTAACAAACGGGATCATCAGGTATATAAAGAGAGAGAGAGAGAAGTGAGATTGTATTAAATTATTATAGAAACGTGGGAAGTCAAATGAATATATAGCCCGGTATGGACTAACATATATCACATACAAAATATGTAAATGTTTCGGTAAATTATATTATTAGAACACAGAGACATGTGGCGACGTATTTATTGCCTTATTACTAAATAGCTGATCCGCGCAACTTCGTCTGTGTCGCATTTAACTTACAAATAAATTTCTATTGGAAAACTTTTTTTAAATAATTTCAGTAGATTCGGAGATTACCCTTCCTACAACCTATCAAATATTACCTCTATAATAATAATTTATAATATTAGTTTAGTTATTATTTAATAATCAAATTGATATCAAATATCAATAATATAGATTCTCGATAAATTATATTATTAATTAATGTCAATTGTATTCTCATCGCTACATCGGATGTATATCCCTTTGTTTTACTTTAAAGGAAAGCACAGGTCGTAAAACCTTAGAAGCCCTTAATGTATGTCATACAGGGAATGTATACTACTGAGCATTCGATCATTGGTAACACACGTAGACATCGATCCGTCTAAATCTTAAAACAAGGTACGTCGTCATGTTACGTGTGTATGATAATTTCGTATGCAGGATATTATCCGGATTTGTGGCTATGCGCTACGTACTGATTATACATGTCATAGTAACATTTCATAGCTACAATTTAATAAAACATATATAGCAATGACACTGGTTCTCACAAATTGCACAATGAATTTAATATAACCTACCTAATTGTGTAAAATGTAGAATAGATGTATATTCGCCGTAAGTTCGTTACGTAGTAGACCGGGATAATTGAATTAATTAAACCAATATTAAATGTTCTGCTATTGCTCTAGTTAAATTTAATAAATGCCTGTTGATGAAAATATGAAAAGATTTATAATTAGTGTGCCAGCGATATGTGCTAGAGATGTAGGATTTTCTTCTAGTAATAGCACGGAACATTTGATTGTAGTGTCTAGAAGTAAATTTCTATTAAATACTGTGATTATAAATTAATTAATAAACTAATTAAACTATAAGGACAAAACTAGGACATTTTAAACTGTGAGATACTGTTTTATAGAACATAAAACAGTATCTCAGGGAAATGAATAGGTAATTTTTTTAATAGTTTTTATAGGGTTGACTGGCTGTATCGGTTTATATTGTACCGCATAATTTATAATATTATGTTCATACGTGATATGTAAAACGTAAATCATTATATATACATCAAAAAATTTTACTGTTAGTAGGCCTATAATGTGTTGCTACATAAATTGAAGGAATAATAATATCGTGATAGCAGTGGAGATAACGATTTGTAGAAAATATCAAGTCCACTTGATAACTTAATCAATGTTTCGCCTTCATTCCGCCTACAATTCAATGATAAAAATTCAAACCATATGTTCTAAGTAGCTATGAACCCACATACTTAAATGTTAATGTGCTCAATAGCTACTTATACTTTTAAATTAAATTGTATAGCTAAATAAAACTCGTGTGTTTATGGTAACCACTTACGTCTTCACAGAAAACACTTCATCCCTATCTATGTACCATAAATCCAGATAAAAATAGTTATTTTTACAACATTTACAATAAAAACAGTACACTTACATTTCCAATACAAAATAAAACTCAACAAGAATAATCTTATATCCATTATTATAAATAAAACTCCACTTTTAAAACTGTTTCAGAGGTCGCCTATTATTATTAGAAATTTAAACATCAATTCACCGGAGAATTTCATAAATGACTCTTAAAGAATAACATTTTCGAGTAACTAACTATTCACACGAACGTGTATACACCTCCATGCGTTTAAGAAGACTGAAAACGACTCGAAGCGGCAGGCAGTATTGCCACTTCCTTCTTATTTTTCCCTAATTCTGCTCAAATTAATTTTTTTTTAAAAACTTACGTGAATACTTATAGAAGTATAAGTATTCATGTAAGTTTTTAAAAAAATCGTCTCAATAATAGTGCAATAGGTAGACTGCCATAAAATTTTATTAATGTGTTAATTATGTTTTTGTTTCATGCAATAGAGCGAATTTGCGAGTCTTGGTCTTCTGTTCTTGTTTTTTTATTACTTCAATCCTTCTGTCTGTTATGTTTATGATTTTTAATTATAGAAATTTGTGAGCATCCTACATTTACGTACAAAAACATCTCTCACATCCTCCAACTTTAATTTTGTATCGTGGGTACTCCCCATGTACCCCGTTAAATATTTGTTTCCCCTCATCGTAAAAAGGTAATCTCAGTTTGAGGGGATTCCTCCCAATCTGGCATCACCAACGTCGTGATTCACAGGAAGGAAACACAGTGGCAAAACGGTACATGTCCAAATATCGAATAAGTGAGACTATAATTCGAATAGTAGCGATGAATCATGTAATCGATTCTGGCGCCGGCGCGAAACTTTCCAACTCGTCATTTTTTATGGGTGTCCGCTTTGAACATATGCGATAAGTTTAGTTTGGTTATATATTGGGTCATTTTCTCGAGCTTTTCAATTTCTCGGGTCTCGAGAATCTCGAGGTCAATTTCTCGGGTTTCTCGGGTTTTTTACATTTATGTACGTTTTCTCATATTATTTGGTTCCAATAACTCAAAAAATTCAGTCTGTCAAATAAAAGTATCAAATTAAACTTTTATTGATTTTTTAATATTACATATGAATATATATTTTTTTTTAAATAAATAAATAACATTAGCATCCTTACATATGAAATTGGCGTTTTGTCGTACATCTCAAATATCTCATCTTTCTTTATACAGCTATTCACTTTGGGTCACTCACAGCATACAAAATGAAAAAACTTAAAATATCGCGTTATTTACGAGTACGAGTTCCGTTGTGGCACCAGTGCTACACGGTGATAAACGGCTCGAAGTATTAATGATGTGTATGGCAGTGGTCTCGCAAAAGAAAACACGTGCATTTTTGGTTCCAACGTTTTCGTTCTGGAAATTTCGACCTGCAAAGCAATCTCCGTGGGCGACCGGAAACCAAGTTAAATTGAAGGCTTGTGGAAGCGGATTCATCGCAAACCCGTCATCTGCAGGCAGCCTAACAAAACTGTTTAATCCTTTAGCAAATTGGGAAGGTGAAAAAGCTTGAAAAGTGGGTCCCTCAAGAATTCAATGGAGTAAATCGACAAACGCGCGTAGCTTGCTGCGTTACATTAATCAACCAGCATAATAATGAAGGGATTTTAAATCAAATCATTTCCTGTGATGGAAAGTGGATCTTGTACGATAATCGGAAACGCTTGCAATGGCTAAGGCGAACCAACCAAATCCTGCCCCAAGCGAAATATGGCTCAAAAAATGTTACTTGTGAACGTTTGGTGGACTATTTCCGTGTTGTTCACTTCGGCTTTCTTTAAATCTGGCCAGACGATTACGGCAAATGTGTATTGTCAGCAATTGAGAAACCATAATGGAAAAGCTAGCTGCTAAACAACCGAGGCTGGTCAATCGCCAAGAACGCTTGACCACATAGTGCACAACAGACAGTTACCAAATTAGAAGAGCTTCAATTAGAATATCTAAGACAACCACCGTACTTCCCGGGCCTTGCTCCAACAGATTACCATTTTTTTTTCGAAATTTGGATAACTTCTTGCAAGGGAAAGAATTACACTGCGATGGGACAGTCCCAAGTGCAAAAACAAAAGGCAAAAGTGCATAAATAGAAATGGTACATACTTTGATTAAATAAATATATGTTATATATTATTTACTTTGATATATTTTGAAAAAAAAAATACTTTCTTTCAACTCAAAACGTTTAAATTTTTTAGGACATTTTCAGCCTTATATTTATAATGATAGCACTATTTTTGGCTGCTTATTTAGATAAAAAAAAAAACAATGTAAACAAAAATAGTTTCTACAAAATAAAAAAATAACATGAAAGAAAACAAAAACGTTAATATCTTTAATTATTGCGCCGCCACGCAACAAAACAAAGGGCAATTTAATTTCTATTTAGGTACATGATTTCTCGAGTTCTCGACTTTTCTCGAGCTTGATTTCCCGGGAACAAAATCCATGATTAATTCTCGAACCGAGAATTCCCGGGAATGAACCCTAGTCATATATATCACAAGTATATATTAATTGGTTAAATATGACATACACTGTTTGCTGTTAATAGTATCTACTGTAATACAGAATTACAGTAGGTACTATTAACACACTTTATATTATTTATTTTTTTTATTTAAAACTTTATTGATTTTGTACAATAGGCGGGCTTAATGCTAATAGCATTCTCTACCAGCCAACCTTAGGGAGTGCAGAGATACTCGAAGGCGGTTTAGTTTTAAGAAATTAAATGTAATTATATTAAATAGATATAAGATCATACATATACATGATAATATACCACATACAAACGAATTATGAGCATACATACATACATATTTATATATATTATAAACATACTACACATATAAATAAGATAATGATAATGATGATCATTTTGCAGATCTATGATAGACTATTTAAAAGGTAAGCATTAACTCTTTTTTTAAAACTATATTTTGTAGGACGTGTACGAATGTCTTCAGGCCATATCCAGCCATTATATTCTAGAGACATTAGTTTTGGTGGTGGCTTTTAACAGATATAGTCTCGAACATCTAATATTAATTGATTTCATTTGCAATTGTTTTTCAACCGACTTAATTAATCCATTGTGAAATAAGTTTGTACCAGTTAGCAGTTACGAACATCCTTCGCACTAATAATGTTTTTACAATTGTAACTGTGTTTTGTTCTAATTCATCAAAAGTCTCCGAGCTGGAGCCAAATTTTGTCAATAATTTGGTCATCACAGTCTGATCCTGGCTAGCGGGTTAGTATAGCGATTGGACTAAAACAAATACAATTTTTTTTTTTGAGCTTATCTCAAAAGATTATTGGAAACCGCAAGAAATAGTGAAGCCGTTTTTGATATAGTCCCTTCAAACGCACTCACAAAGAGACAAAAATTCTAACAATTATTGTATTGGATTCTATTCCATAGAAAAAGTTCCTACTAATCATTGTTTTTCTTGGAAATTTTTCATGTACAGAGAGCGATCTGTTCCATCATTATATATATATATATAGATAATATAACTACAATATTCTACAGTTTATGCCTGGTTTTTGTAATTTATTTAGACTGTCAAATATCACATCTGGTTTATCGCATTGATTGCGTGTTGGAAAAATGGCAGCTTGCTTAGAGCTTCTAGACGTAGCATTTTTCAATTGAATACTGAAAATATCTGATCTGAATTAATAATCTACTTATTTAAGATAATTAAAGATGTTTTTATAAAAGAAAATCTTAACTTAAGATTGATGAGAATGTAATGTGTACGAATAGATTGAAAATATGCGTTTTTTGAAATTTAGAGAATTTAGAGAAATTTATAGTAATGTAAATACAACGAAAGGATGATATAAAACGGAGGAAAAGAGTTCTAGACGGAGAGTAAACGGAAATATTTGAGGTATTGAAATGAACAATGTGAGACGATGTTTATTACTAATCCTGTCTAGCGAAAATATATCATTATATTTTAATTTTACACATTCGTTTTGTACAAAATTGTAAACAACCGTGGCATAAACCGAAGTTATAGTGAAAACAGTGTACGTGTATTTTTGTATAGTGCACGTGGCAAGTTGTGTCGATTTATTTCACGTGCCAAAATAGTTAAATATTTTTGTCAATAATACCTTGAGATCTATAATTTACTTAAATATTGCTCTCTGATGATCTTCACGAGTCTGAGTAAACAAATGCAGAATAAACGAGTACAAAACAAAGTAATGAACGTTATTTTTAGTTGTAAATAATAATATATACTTCGTGAAATATATCTGTACTCAACAGACCAGTTAGATAATATTGTTTAGGATATCGTATATAAAAGAATGACTGTCAATTTGTAATATAAACTATTTAATTATTAATAATCAAATATTGCATGATTGCTTATAATTAGTATAATCACAACTTTGAACTATATCTATACACGACAATGAGAATAATTTATATAATATAGACATTTGTATCACATTTTCGTAAAATCAAAACTTTGGACCCTTTTATTTTCTCTAAATATCTTTCTTCTGTGGTACTTCTCTACCTGAGGCTATTAATATACTTCATAAGGTTGAAAACTACAATGACGCCCATGATGTCAGTATAACCTTCGTGGTTCGTGCTCGGAGACGAATTGCAGAGATTACCTCGACAGTAGCAATATCTGTAAATTAAAGAATGCAAAAAATATCGTTAATTTGTATTAGGCACAATGATTTAAGAAGAAAAAGTATAATCCATCACATTTATAATAAGTAATCATATTGCTAAGTAATGCAGTTGTTATGTAACCTGCAAATGTGATCGAAACAAGAATAAATTATTTTCGCTACTATATTATCCACTGAATATCTTCATCAATTTGTGCAGATATTCTGTTTTATGTAAATTGACCTTTAAAACAGCTGTTGTTCCTCTTTTGAACACTGTATACTTTGGTAGATGCTGTAACGGATCAATAAACTAGGCTTAGTAACTAATTAAAGACCTAATTTTACTTGTATGAAGAAATTTTTGTATAAATTACATTTAATAGGCTACCAAGTTGTTACATTTTAAAATAAATATAATTAACACAATGCCTTGTGTTAGTTATAATCATGATTGTAGAAAAATTAATAGCTTCTCATTTATTTTATTCAATATTACATGGTCAAGGTCTGATGGTATAGTGTTGTGTTTTCCAGTAACTTTTAGCTGATTGGCATAAGCCTTTTATACTTATCTGAATAACTATTTATACACGAATTCGAAAAGCAGTAAATTTCTAATTGTCTCTCTTGCACTAGGGATCATATCGTTTTAAATAAATAATTTGGTTTCTAAGGTAATCCCATACGTATTTGATAAAATGGGATAATTTGTGGAAAAATATTATTGTTGCTACTATTTATTAAATATTAATAAAAAATATATCTAAAGGCAGTGTTTCATATTTTACTATAATGAACCATGATGATTCTTACCGATTAAATGCTGTTGTTCTTTCACCTTTATCGTCTATTACTTGACAACCTTCTTGATACGGTTCCTTAACTTCGGCTTTTGAAACCCATTCACCATCCACATAATCACGATATTTTAGTGTCTGAGAGGCGCAGTCACGTAACACGTTGGTGATCCTCTCTGTAATACGGAAAATAAGTCGTCCCATATATTATTATGACTTCTACAATACATACTACGCATACTGTATGAGAGTTATGAGATCAGAATATATTTTTATCACAATAATAAGTCGGAAAAAACTATGTCAAACGAATTTTGCAAATGTTATGTATTCTTTACAAATGTATTGTATTATAATCATAATATTTACCTCTGACGAAAATTACGTGGATTATGGAGTATGAATTTTATTAAAGTTAAAGATATGAATGAATAAAATATGCTAGTATAATTCAATCTTTTGTATAATATAATTTAATGCCCAATCTATCTCTTTAAATATGAGCATTAAATTATACAATAACTTATTTATTTTGTTTAAGCAAGCAAGTACGTCGAACCAGCAACATTTTCAAGCTTTCTCTTGTTATGAAGAAATTAATATTTTCATACTACTTTATTTTATACATATTAATAATTTTAAATTTGTAATTATATGATATAAAATTATGGTGGGAATATTTATGTTTCATATATTTCTAAAAATGCATTTATTAATTTAATGTTTTATTGGAATTACATATTTGTCCTTGTACATCTGACTTGGTGTCACGCTTTGAGACTTAATCTCGGTTCGTGCAAATTATCATTTTTCACGGTACCAAACATATAATGTACCATAATACATGTACCATACATACATATATTTGTCTACAATGCCATGTCGCGGTAAATTTATGTACGTCCTAAAATGCTAATTGTAAATGGTGTTAAAATATTACTGATCGTCATTAAGAGATATAAACTTCCTCCTGTTGCGTCTAAATTTCCTCTTATAAAAGAAGATATATAGGCTACTTCTACTACTTTGCGCTTGTATCGTTGTATATAGAGTTTTATTTATTACAGTAGTTAATTTCTGCTAATATCCTGGGGATAAAAACAATTTGTTCACACATTGTTCAGTCATAACACGAGAACATTTTTGTTGACATTTTGATATTAACTAGATGAAAACCCGCTCGGGTAGATTTTTCTGTAGTAATCGGTTCTTAAAGAATATTAAGTCAGCAAGACATAGATACGTAAAGCTTCCTTCATTGTGTTTAATAAATACTATAGTAAATAATAAGTGCAAAAGTATTTATACAAATAATTTTTATTTTAAATCAACATTCAAAATAAATTAAATAACATATAACTTTTAAGGTTTAGTCTCTGTTAACCTCTTTGTTTTAAGCACTCTCTATTTTGCCAGATATTTAAAACCAATTGCTTCATCCAAACATCTTTCCCATTCTTTTTCGTCATTTACATTCTTTTTTTTTATTTAGTCCGCGCGACTCTCCGGGATTTGTCGAGTTCCTAGTTTTGTCGCTCTTTCAGAAGTACGACGACGTGGTCCACCACCGTCCTTTTCCCCTTCTTCCTCTTTTTCCTATCCATTTCCTCTTCCTTTCAACCTTCCCTCTCGTCCCGCGTTAGCCATTTGCTATGCTCCCACTCTGGAGTCGAGCCCCCATAAACATGCGGGGCTTGGGGCTACAGGGACACCAAGTAGCTTAGTAATTAATTTGTAAGTGCCATACTTGGTTATAGTTTGTTTTTTAATCCGGGAGACTAAATTGACAGGTTTAAATGTCAAATTTTCAAATAATGTTACCACCTCAGCTGTATGGGCGCAGTTCCCTTTGCCTTTCCGATTAAGGTTAAACAGAACAAAAAAAATGTAGCCATACCGATTTGTTTAATCGGAAACTTTTATTCTAACAAATTAGTTTTAAAGTTTAATATGACGTTTCCATAACAGAATTGTATAATTTACGTACATATACTAATGTTTCCACTACTGTCGTAGTATTATAGAGAATAAATATATATTCTTGTCGTTTCCGTACAAATAGTAATTTTTACAGTATTAATCTACAAACCAACATTTTTTTCTTACAATCAGCTAAATAATCTATGACACTATGAAAAAGTCATGTCAAAAAGGCAGTTAGTCTTTATTTTAGTGAAAAATAACAAAATCTATTTTTATACAACAACCACATATTTATTAATACCTACCTATACTTTATTAATTTGGTGTTAATGCTTTTTAAATAAACACCCACACATTATTTCCGTATAACCTATAAAAATGGGTAAATAGCATTAATTTCCAATAGTGCCACAACCTTATTTAAAAAATGCAAATACCTGACATTATGTGTGTAATAATAAAATGTGAAGAAATTGTGATTGTTATTAAGTTTTTTTTTTAATAAGTTAATAAGAACAGAGAATCAACATTTGACATTTATTATTATTTGACATTGGACATTGACTTTAATTTTTGTAATTTATATTGTTAAAGTTGGGCTAAAAATGACTTGTATCCAGAGCCGTGAAACAAATTAATAAAAAAATATTGTCAAATATTACCAATTTAAAGAAAAATCACATAACTGTATACTCTTTTATCATAAAAAAGTGTCAAAAACTATATTTTCGCGAAACGTCAACGACACATGTCATATGTCACAGTTCTTTGTGATGGATCTTTGGCGCGAACGCACGCGTAGTGTTGATTGGTTGTTAGCTAGTGACATGAAAAGATGGCGACTGCAGTTTGTTTGTCAGTGTTTGTAATTAGAATTTAACGAAATACTCCATAATCCGAATTTTGCGGATATATGTTACCGACTCGAAATCAATATTTTTTTATGTTTTATTATTCACATAAGGATTCGTTCGAGTCTACCATACCCCTTGACGGAATTATTAATATAGATATTAAAATATTTTTATTAACAACACATTATTACTGTATATTTTAAATAAACCTTTAAAAAATATTTATATATACCGATTTATTCATTTTCAACATTTAAATGTAATAGGCGACAAAAGTTGCTTCTCTTCATGTAAATAGACAGTAAATTTAGGTCGTAAAAGTTTGGCACTTGTGATTTTTTAACCCATTAGAGCTAATTAATCTAACGGTACTTATTTATGTATACTCTTTATTGTACCAATTACAGAACAAAAATAAAAACAATTAAAGTAGAAAATATATATTGATACAAAAGGCGGTCTTATCGCTAAGCTAACGGTACTTATAAAGAATACTAAAGGCCATCATCGATTAATTTTAATAAGTGTTAATCGGAATGATTTTATTGTTGTCTTGTCACTTGCCCGGTAGAAATTATATTGATACTTTGAAGTACTATAGTTTTTTTTTAATTATAATTTAATTCAGTTTAATTAGTCCTCACTAGGGTTCATTCCCGGGAAATTCATGGGTTTTGTTCCCGGGAAATCAAGCTCGAGAAATGTCGAGAACTCGAGAAATCATGTACCTATATAGAAATTAAATTGCCCTTTGTTTTGTTGCGTGGCGGCGCAATAATTTAAGATATTAACGTTTTTGTTTTCTTTCATGTTATTTTTTTATTTTGTAGTAACTATTTTTGTTTACGTTGTTTTTATTTTCTAAATAAGCAGCCAAAAATGGTGCTGTCATTATAAATATATAATATATGTCATTATAAATAAGTCTAATTATAACAACAATTAGGTCCTGAAAAATTGAAATTGGCGTTTTGTAAGGGAATAACCTGAAGTATTTTTTTTCAAAATATAATATATTTATTTAATCTAGGTACCTATATACCATTTCTATTTATGCACTTTTGCCTTTTGTTTTTGCACTTTGGACTGCCCCATCGGAGTTTAATTTTTTCCCTTTGCAAGAAGTTATTAAAATTACTTAGTAAATTTTGAAAAAAATGGTAATCTGTTGGAGCAAGGTCCGGGAAGTACGGTGGTTGTCTTAGACATTCCAACTGAAGCTCTTCTAATTTGGTAACTGTCTATTGTGCAGTATGTGGTCAAGCGTTCTTGGCGTTTGACCAGCCTCGGTTGTTTAGCAGCTAGCTTTTCCATCATGGTTTCTCAATTGCTGACAATACACATTGCCGAAGTGAACAACACCGGAAAAAGTCCACCAAACGTTCACAAATAACATTTTTTGAGCCAATTTTCGCTTGGGGCAGGATTTGGTTGGTTCGCCAGGGTTTAGCCATTGCAATGAGCGTTTCCGATTATCGTACAAGATCCACTTTCCATCACAGGAAATGATTTTATTTAAAATCCCTTCATTATTATGCCGGTTGACTAATGTAACGCAGCAAGCTACGCGCGTTTGTCGATTTACTCCATTGAATTCATGAGGGACCCACTTTTCAAGCTTTTTCACCTTCCCAATTTGCTAAAAGATTAAAACAGTTTTGTCACTAACACCGCAGCCTGCAGCTAACTCGGACGGGTTTGGATCCGCTTCCACAATAGCCTTCAATTCTTCATTATCAACCTTGGATTCCGGCCGCCCACCGAGATTGCTTTGCATTTTTTTTTTCGGACTACTCTGATGGTGTTGGCCGTAGCTGGCCTTTACAGCTTCACCGGACGTTAGGAGGCGAGTGCAGATGGTACTCCAAACCCGCGGAAGGACTTATGGAGCGGCTGAAGGCCAACTCCTGCCTGACGGATACGACTTTAGTCTGAGGGCACCACTAGGGGTTCGAATCTCGGCTCGGGCCGTTGTAATTTCGATCCCCGTTTGAATTGGACGGGGGATCGATCGAAGGGGCGCCGGTGTGGAGCGCACAGGCGCCCGGTATGCGCGATATTGTGTGTTTGAGGTCGTCGTCTTCGCCGGTGAGGACGGTGTCGTGTGTATGTGTAAATGTGTGGTCGGAGTAGAACGGGTGGGCCCGTGGAGAGGTTACCTGCCGTTATGAGGTCCTCGGAGTCAATGAGAACGTGCCTTGGGCGACGTTGTCGCGTATGTCTGATATTACTCCTTGGTGCGTAGTTGACCGCATTGTCTATAAGCGGGTTAGGGTGGGATTGGGCAGAGTCGAAGTAGCGTCGGGACGCTTCCTTCATAAACTGCTTGATGGAGGGCAGATTAAGATCGCGGTGGAGGTCTACGCTGCGAACGAACCACGGCGCACCGGTGACTCGACGCAGAAACCTATTCTGTATGATTTGTAGTCGGTTGATTAAACAGTAGGGTATGTGGGCGAATACGAGACTAGCGTAAGTCATGATGGGACGGATTGCCTTGTATAGTGTCAGCTTGTTGCGAAGCGACATTTTACTGTGCTTGTTAATAAAAGGATAGAGTCGCCCTAGTATAAAGGCGGCTCAGTCGCGGACACGCTTGATGTGAGGACGAAACGTTAGTTTCCTATCTAGGGTGACGCCGAGGTATTTCGTTTTCGAAACCCACGGGATGTTTTGGCCGAATAGTTCGATCGGGTGATTCATAGAGTCGAATTCCCTGCTAAAGTACACTGCTGCACTTTTTTCGGGATTGACTTCTATGCGCCACCGACGGAACTATTCGCCCAGTATCGTTACGGCTTTCTGAAGCCGTCTGGCTATTGTCGCACGGGACTTGGCGGATGTAAAGAGAGCCGTGTCATCGGCAAACAGCGATATTTCGACTTTTAAGTCGGAGAATTTAGAAACGAGTTGAATATTATAAATTTGGAAATGGAATTCTATTTGAGATCAAAGTGACCAGTACGACAAAACGCCAATTTCATATGTAAGGACCTAATATTATTTATCTATCTAAAAAAAAAATATTCTTAATATTAATGTTTTTAAATATACTCAATAAAAGTTTAATTTGATACTTTTATTTGAGACGAAAATCACTGAATTTTTTGACGTTATTGAAACCAAATAATATGAGAAAACGTACGTAAATGTAAATTTCTCGACAACCCGAGAAGACCCGAGAAATTGACCTCGAGAATTCTCGAGACCCGAGAAATTGAAAAGCTCGAGAAATCATGAACCCTAGTCCTCACCTCCATTTAATATGTCGAGATGAAACTCTTGTATCATGCACATGGTTGAGTACGGACAGTCCACGATGAACTTTTCTGAGTAGTCGAAGTGAGCGCATAGATTCTCTGTTGTGTCGTACTTTTCACCAGGGAGGGGGTTGATCAGGCATTGGTAACACTGCAATGGCGTTCCTGGAACATATTATAATATTTCTCTAATGAAAATTAATGATTTGGACTTGATTGAAATCCAAATCGATGTTAATGATTTAGTAGCAAACTACTTTCTTCACGGTTTTAACCGTTCGATGTTATCTTTCATCCCTATAAGTATTTGTTATACTGGTTTTACCTTTTCTCGAATACTTCGAGAAAAGGTAAAATTTTAATTGCATATCGCTTGAACTTTGATAAATCAGTCAGTTAGAACAAGTCTTTTTATAATTATAAATTAGTATTTGTCGGTGTCTATTATTAACCTTAAAAAATAACCTAGTTTAAATATTAGTTATCATAAACACTCTGGTCACGATTACAAATTGCTCTAAGTGTCGTTGCCCTCTAAACACAGCCAGATAACCTAACGACTTCTCTATAGTTTTGAAAATGTTTAATTTAAGTATTAAACTACAGTTACAAAGTATACTGATTTTGATGACCTCATTATGGTTAAGGAAATTAGGTGGTTTATTTGCAACCTATTTTTCCTTTATTAATTTATGTATTGTTTTATGACTACAATATTAGACATAAACGGGACAATCAACAATGTTTAGGTATTAATATCTAGAATATATATTCTTTTCATTTTTTTTATTATACTGATATCACAGCATTTATACGTGAACACATTAATTACAACTGTTAAATAGAATATATAATTAGTAATTTCTGCTAATAAATTAGAAATTAGAATATAAAAAGTTTCCCGTACTTTGTGAGCGTTGTAACCCTATTGTAACCGTACTTTTTTATGGGGAAACATCAAGACGTTCTCTGGCTCTAGAATCTAGAACTAAAAATTATGAAATAATTTAGATATTCTTTATTGAGAGTAAAGTATTATATAAGCTACATTTTCTTATTTAGAGGTATTTATAGGCCAGAAATATATTCAACGGTTCAAAAATAAGTAAGTCTATGTTTATCAGTCAGTCACTTCAGAATAATTTTTTTTATCTCTACTGTGTATTATGAATAAGTATGAAAATGTACACACATCGGTCAACGATCTGTGAACATCAGCCAAGCGAAGCTGCCCTAACTGTCATGGTAACGTTATTATGTTCGTTCTTTTTAACAGAAAGGGTTTATATGCCGTGTTAGTACAAATACAAGTTAGTTAAAATTCAAATTGGCCAGGCTGTCACCATTTAACTTTGCCACTGCAATGGTTCACTTAGCAGGTAGTAACGTCATTATTACATTCTACAATTTTGTAACAAGTTCATTATAATATGTTAATAATAATTATCCTGTAAGTTATTTATATTAATGTTTTTATATATTACATACAATAGAATATGACTCATGTTCTGCTTAAGACCTCCCACGCAGGATGCTGTTACTCGTTCACTGATGAGTGATAGTTCTCAAAATCGATCCTTGCCCTCTTGAACAGTCATATACAATACAAGTATAACTATTTTTATAGCTCCTTCACAGTTATACGAATTAGAACTAGAAGTTGACTTAATGCGAAAATGCTATGATTATCGTATTAAGTCAAATTGGGATTCCCTATCTATTGTTACGATACATAATTTTAAGTTCAAGTTATTCTAAAAATTAATTATCTCTTAATATTTAGACAATCTATTTTTATAATATTTATTTTATAATAAAAATATATGGTTGCGTATCTCCTCTTTTGACGACAAAATGTCGAAAAATGGTAAATTACAGCGGCGAATTTGTTTACGTCGGCTTTGTTTATTTAATATGTAAATTAAATACACCGTCTATATATTAGTTATTTAAATGATGAGAAAGATGGGGTCACAATAGTATTGACGGGTATCTACCACAGTTCAACAAGCATCTATTAGAAATTTTATGACTATATTTAAATGATTATATATGTATATGGTATATATAGTTATACAATATAGCACGTAAAATGCGTTTCAATTATATTATTAAGGATAATTCTAAAACTAATTGAAATAACAATATAGTTGATATGAGTCCTTTTTGAAGCCGGTCGAAACGGTAGCCGAAGCCGGTAATTCAACTCTGGCAGTGACACCTAAATTTGATCCAGTAGGTCTCGGAAGTGTTATTATAGTAATAATGGTTTTAAATGAAATATGTTTATTGTTGTTTTTGGTTTTGAAATGTATCGGACTAGATAAAGATTACTATATTAATGACATAGTAATAGAAGATACCTATCAAGGTGAAAATAATTCTAAAGAAATAGAACGAACATATGGTAGTTCTACAACGTCTGTCGATAGTATTTCTGTTACAAAACCAACCTTGTTAGCAGCTAACGCTACATTATTTGATGAATATGAACAGGATGATGAATTTAAAGTGTATTTAAAAGTAGAAAAGAATATAAAAATTGTGTCAGTCATAACGTCCAGTACTAAAGCAAAAATAGAAAAAACTTCTTCAAATAAATTATCTCCTAAGTCTTCTACCATGATCCCATTATCACCGCTTGATGTGATAAATACTTACCAATTCGATTATAATGACGATGATACCCAATTAGAGGTACAATTAATTGAAAATAATGTGCAGCGAAGTGCTGTCCCATTGATAAACATATCTAAAACAAAGAACGTAACACATAACGTTACCAATCCGAAAATATTCTACGCGGACTTTTTTAATTTAAAATCTGCTGCAGATATTGTTAGCTACAAACATCTGACTTCTAAAAGTAATATTTGGTATGTCCCTGAAAAATATCCTTGTTGGAATTTGCCTCCTTTGTATGGAAAATTACAAAGAAAAAGGAATCCTACTGATGTTTTTCTACTTTATACTGGTAAACTAATAAATGTAATAGACGATGGAAAACAAGAAAGTCCTGTACTTAAATCATATACCCAAACTTCATCACAAACATTTTATAACAAATGGTGCACTGCTGAACCTTGTTATGGTGATCATACTCTTTGTTTATTTCCTCAGAAAACCATTTCAAAATTATGTGATGAAGGTTACAAAGTTGAAAATCCTAGTACCATTCAACAAATTGCATTTGTTAATACTCTGAATTCTATGCGAAATCGTATAGCTAATGGCGCGGCAGGAGAATACCCTCATTTGCCTCCCGCTGCCAATATGAAGCAAATTACATATGACCTTGATCTAGAAAGAATAGCAGAAGCATGGTTGCGCCAATGTCTTCCTGGACCAGCTCCTTGTTCTGCCCTTGATGGAAATTACATAACTTCTTTAGAATGCACAAAAAGTGCCGAAAATTGTTGTAAACATTCGTTCAATACCGATGCAACTTCTAAATGGTAAAGTATTATTTTGATTAACAGTGGAAAAACTCAGAATATTTTCTTATTAGCTATACTATACGTTAGTATTAGGAATTTCGTCAAGAAAATATAATTATACGAATTTAAGTATATATCAATAAAATATATTAAAACATGCTAGTAGACATCAGGACATTATACCTATATTTATAGCCGTAATATGTCACTTGTTCAACCTAATGTGTTTGCTAATATTAGTTACAATTAATTTACGATATTTTTAGCTATTGTAGGGTTATAAGTAGTCGGATCTGTGGTTATTATTATAACAAAATACATTTCTTATATTATTATAGTAAAGGACTCGTATTTTTATAAACGTGTACTGTTCATATATAAATATAATATAATTAATTGATAAATCTCAATTACTATTATTATTGAATCATATAATCAAATGTTTTGATTTTGTAGAAAATAATGTGATTATCGTTACGTTATACTTGTACGTTACAATTTTAATACATTGAAATATTGTTTTGTTTCCAGCATACCTTTGAAAGAATGCCTTGTTACACCTATACTTGGATGTATTTATATCTGGTTCTTAAGTGCCGGAACTAAGTTAAATAAAACTGATATACAATGTGGTCACACAAGTGCGATGACATTTAACACCGCTCAGTTGATTTGGGCTGATACTAATAAAATAGGTTGCTCTTACGGTATTCGAACTAATGGTGATATCAGAGTTGTCTGCAATTTTGCACCAGGTGCACCATTCTTTCTCAATACCAAATACTATTGTGGTTATATTGCACATAAGGATATTTCAAAGATTCAATTTCAAATTAAAGAGAACAGTGATGTTACAGATTTAAAATATCTCTCTTCTTTGGGACTTCAATTAAATCGATCAAAAGATACATTAACAGATCCGTGGTACGGCGATATGAAATACAATATGAAATATTCTAAATATTCAATTAATGATTATATAAAATATTGGGGCATGCGTAATTTAACTAGAAAATATGATCAACACCAAATGAGGAAAAATATAACGGGATATACTAATGGAACGATAGGAATAATAGCAAAATTAGTTACGAAATATACCTTTTTTGATGAAAGTCAATCACGGTGTGATGCTGATGCACCAATATATATTATTGGAAAACCAGGCTCATTATGTATAGAACAAAGCAGGAGGTTCCACGCCTTGTGTTACGATTTTAGAGATCCAACGCCTGGTTATAGATTGGTAGCTGTTATAGCACCTATTGCGTTGTTTTCACTAATTTTATACGATTTATTTAGTGGTGTAGTAAGGCAGACAAATTACTAATATAAAATTAGAATGAATTAAGACTATATTAATGTATGTATAAATACAACTTATTTAATTACAGTAAAAATAGTGTTTTAAATAAATGAAACGGCTACAGACGCCGTTTTAATGCTTTCCATCAGGTGGTTAGAGAACTTCTTAACCATTGCGATGACATAAAACATCGTAAAGTAGTTATTATTATATGAAGAATATCTGCTGTATTCATTACTCACCTTTAGTGAAAAAAGCTGACAAGGTTAACATCACAGCAAAAATACTCCGCTTCATTCTTATATTTTATATAATATATTTTACTATTTATATCCACTAAATACTTATATGAATGTAAATTTCATTTGTAGTTTTAATATCAGCTCTGTATTCTCAGTGTGTTCATCTCATCAGTATTTACCCTTTCCGGAGAATTCCTGTAAAAATAAAAATATTAATCTTTAATATTGTGTTGTATAATTATATATAAATAAGATTAATAATAATTGCCGTTCCATAATAATGTAGTATCTGGAGACAACTAGAACAAGTTCTAAAAAGGACATTTCACATATATATATACCCGGTACCAATAAAAATACAGAATTATAAATTTCTATAAACCCACCATTCTTTCATGCTAAAATCACTAGTATTAAATTGTATCGGTATCATACGTCGTCAAATATAATTATATAATGGAGGATACCTTACATAGGGTCAACAATTATTTGGTGCAATTATATTACGTAAAAGGTATATATATAGATTAAATATTATTTAAAAATTGTATGTAATATTTTATAATATAATTTTAACATATATTTTATATTAATTTTTAAATGTAACTTAGTGATTGAAATGCAATATTGTTATATATAATACATGAATAATGACAGTTAAAAGACAAGCACTCTAATTGCCTGTATTTTTGTGATTGTAAACGACTAATAAACCCATATTTTTCTGGTCTTTTTATAGACGTTTAAGCTTTAAAGTTGTATAAATTTGATTCACGAACGTGATTCTTTTTTAGCAATCTATGCCTCAAGATATTATATCGTGTCTATCGAACTGTGTTATGCAGGCAATTACATATAATTTATAATTATATAACCTTTAAATTGAAGTAGCATTTTGTATGCATATTCAAGTAAGCGTATAATGTGTTCGTGCATTTTTCAAGGCCTCGACCTTTGCAATAAGCCTTTCTCTCATCTACGATCATCTGAATGTGAGTATATTAACACGTTGACGGACAGTAGGAACAAGCGAAGTTCGAAAATTGACACTATATGTTTTTGTGATTTTTAGAATGTTAGAAGTATAGTTTTACTCTTTCTGCTTAAATAAACTTATATATTATATATTATATAATATATATAATATATATTTATCATTTACATTATCATTATTTATTTATATTTCAAATGTAAAACCAAAAAAAAAAGTAAACAGTATAACCTATAGTATCGTTAATAACCTAAAATGCTAAATTTTGTTTTTTTATTTCTGTTTAAAGTATAAAATGAATAATAAACAAATACATACCAGTATAGTTATATAAATAATAATAAATCGATCGCACTACTCCCTTCACAACCACGTGCATAATGAATCTGCAACTCGTATAACAGGTGAAATATGAACTTCAACCTAAAAAGATGTTTTCAAAACACGACACTATGCTTCTACGTATACGCCAGTAAGTGCAAATTTGTGCTGCTATAGCCGTAGTGTCTAAACACGACCGTTTCGTTTTGGACGGCTATAGCAGTCAAATTGTGAACTTCGTTTGACTATATTATAAAATATTAAGTACTATTACTGACAACACAAATGTGCTCTATATTGTCTGCTGCTGTTACTAATACTGATATATGACAGATATTGATAAATAAGTACTTATTATATTTATACTCTTAAATTAAGCTGAGTATTAAGTAGAATTAATAATGTTAGTAGTTAATTACTAGATTTAACCATTATTTGAGATATTATCATAGAGCTGTATATACAACAGAATGCGTTGAGTTATCCTAATTGATTGATACATCTTACTACTCGTACCTACTTCCTCTAATCATGTTTTTTATTGCGTACGAAATCTATCAACAAGCTGTTATTTGTAATTTATGTGTACATATTGATGTACAATGATCTATGTCCAACAAACTTATTCACGTATTATCAAACTTTGCACAATCAATCAAACACAAATTAGTAGGTCTTGTTAAATTTGTAAACACTACCTATGCAAATTTGTGTTATATTAAGAACTTAAATAGCTATTGGGGATTATGAAATAGTTTTTATTTGAATAGACGTTATCCTATATTATTGCGATGGTTATGTAGTTATGTCTTAGTATCAGTACATCTTCTTTCTGCTGGTTACAAGTTTCTTGATAAGAGTATCATCTATTTGTTCTATTATAAACTGACTGGCATAGTGTTACTAGTAAGACTACAATGAGTATAAAAAAATGTATAACCTAAAGCAGTAAACTAAATAGTATATGTCACGGTAATGGCTCCAGGTACCAGTGACAGATGAAATCAAACTTGACCATCATAATCAAATGCACAAGGAGTTAACTGCTATGGAATGGAAGACGAAGGACATTAGTGAAGTTGCTTTACGTCTAAATATGAATGAAATTCTATAATTGTTTGGATTCGTAAGAACGAGGTGCGTTAATTTATTTAATTATAATAATGTCTCAGGATAATTTACATAGCGCCATCTAATCATAAGCTAAGCAGAGCTCTATGTGGGTACTAGACAACTGATATAAATACAAAGATATTTTTTTTTATAAATACATACATAATATGTATGTACATAAAAATCAACCAGACCGATTCAAACATTTATACGATTTATACGACGATAGAACGTAAGATATAGTGCGAAGATTAGGAGTCAGATCTCCTAATATTGTAATAGTAGGTATTGAGCGTGTGTACGAGTAGGATTGGAAACATATTAATTGACTTTGCCTACGTCGTAAAGTAAATCGTAGTCTTGTTTTTTGCGGCAACAGTATATTTTACACACACAAGACTTTAGCTATATAAATTACATATAACTAAATAATAGCCGTTTTCTTTGTCATGTAAATATTTTTATTTTACAAAACAATTAGACTGTACTACGAATATCCGGACTAATATAAAATCTTTGCAAATATAAGCATGCAATACGGAGTTTAATAATAGATATACGACAATTTCTCAGGCAAGTGTGCGGTGTCGAGGACCGTTCAGTACAATTGGTTTTGATGTGGTGTGCCATTTATGTATGTTATGTCTAACATGGTTTGTTTTTTTGCGTGTATAATATAATAAATTTTGAGTTTGCTTGACAAACATTTTTTTTGTTCCTGGTTTATCCGCGATCAGTATGTCTACTATAATCGGATTGGTTGGCAAATAGCAATGAGAGTCTGCAGTCCATTGAGTGCAAGACTTTTTATTTAATGACGCCCTCCGGCATATATTCAGGAATTAAGAAATGGAGTTTTGCTCCATTAGATATGTTCTTTTCAGGCGTTTTGGGAGGTTGTCAGTTAGTAACCTCTGAGCTTGTTCATTAGGGTGGACACTCAGCCGAGCCTTGTATTTTGAGCATGTGTTAGCAAGCTCCTCTCGTACTGTGGGTAAATTCGAAGTGATGTATTTCCGAGTTGGTTATAAACCATAGTGCCCTAAGAATGGTCTTCAAGATAGCGTTCTGGGACCGTTGGAGAATCTCAATGTTAGAGGTACTAGCACTTCCCCACAGTTGAATGCCATAGGTCCAATTTGGTTTGATGACCAGCTTATAAACAAGCAACTTGTTCTCTACTAAGAGGTTAGAGTTTCTACTTAAGCGCCAGTACAAGTTCCTAAATCTGAGGTTGGTTTCATCTCGTTTAGCTTTGATGTGAGTTTTCTAGGTGAGCCGCGATCCAAATGAAGACCCAGGTACCTGACGGTCTCTCTGTAGGGTATTATTAGCAAAATTAACCGGGGGACAGTTACCCTGTCGAAGAGTAAATGTTATTTGTGAGGATTTAGTGGAGCTAGCTTTAATTCTCCATTTCTTCAGCCATCCATCTATTTTGTCAAATTGTACTTGTAATATCGCTGCAGCTATTTCGGGCTTTGGGTGGCTTGCTAAAATAGTTGTATCATCTACAGATGTAGCTGTTGTGACATTGTTAGTCATCGGCAGATCTGCAGTGAACAAAGTGTATAGATATGGTCCCAACACAAATCCCTGAGGTACATCAGATCCGATTTTATACAGCTTTCTCTTCCTTTACTTGGAAGATCCTACCATGTAAGTAGGATTTTAAAACCTCCAAGAAAGAATGGGGAGCTTGACAAACATAAGAGCCGTATCTTATAGAGGCAATGTATTCCTTAATTTTGTAACATATTTTGTATTATACATAGTTTTGTAATTGAGTCTACCATTGCTATGAAAGGTAAAATATTCTCAAATACTTCATTAACTCTAAATATTACTACTAAAGTCCGTCTATATTTTTGCTACTATTAATCGTTATTTTTTTTTTTAATTTATTAAATATTGAGGGTTTATTCCGGAGAATATGCCACCCCCATCGGTGCAACAGTACAAAATATTTAAATTATTATATATGTCTCTCGTTAATGCCAAATTTAACTATATTAATCATTTTGATGGCCTCTTCTGTTATTGGGTTATTGAGAATACTGTTGCAGAGGCCGATACCATTTCGAATATAAGGTAACAATTCGCGCCTTTTGGTCTCGTAATATGATAGACATCTTCAATTTTTCCACATACCGTACAATTTGGAGTTACAGATTTTCTCATTAAAAATGCAAAACTATTCAAAGGAAAGTGTCCAGAGCGAAGTCTTAGTGCCAAAACAATATCTTGTCTACTCATATTAGAATGTTCAAACCAGGGAATGCGAAGGAGATTGGGCTGGATTGTTTTATACCAGATACCTTTGGATAGGGATCTTTCATCAAAGTACTCCGACCAAAGTTTCCAACAGTCTTGTCTCATAATTGGAATTAAATCTGAGAAACCCATCATATAATTAAAGTTAATCCCATCCGAAATAGCCTCTTTAGCCAGTCTATCCGCCTCCTCATTCCCAGGCAGACCAATATGCGCCGGTATCCATTGTATTCTTACACATATATTATTATCTTTGAGTTTAATTATACTTTTAATTATCTCATAGGCCAATGGTAGTCCTCTAAAAACAGTAGTACATTTAATTAAATGAAGTAATGCGCTTTTGGAATCAGTGAGAACAACAACCTTTCTGTAAGGCATGATTCGATATATGCTAACGCCTCGGCAATGGCAACCAACTCTGCATGCATGATACACATTTGTGTATTTATTTTTAATTTAAGATAAATGTTTTCCTGAATATCTATGAATGCTG